AGCTGTGAGCCCCAGCTGTGTTCGGCACACGGTTCCGGCTCCGGGAGGGCATGTTCGCCGGCGTCCCCAGGCGGTGGCCCAGGGGCCGGCAGGCAAGGGTCCTTCCCCGACAGGCTAGCTTGGCGCGCTAGCCGCCGGCGAAGGCTCTTCAGGGTGAAGCAAGCACAGCTCTCACATGACCCGGGGACTTCCAATGCCAGCTGGGCGAGTTCCAGCCCGAGGCAGCTCGAGCAGACCTTGTGCGGGTCTTTGCTCGAGATTTTGTTCCGTCTGTGAACAGCTGAGCTAAACCTGAGAGATAAGCAACCACCGAAGCGAGAAGAGGTGATTGAATAGTGCGTGCGTTGGGACGCTTGCTACTTATAGTAGCAGGGGACGCGTACGTCACGGTCACTGGCCAATCAGGATTGGCGTATTGAGATAAGTGCTTCTGAGGAATCCGCAGAGGGGCGTATCCCATAGTGAGACATCGAAACGAATGTTAAGAAAGAGAACCAGGGTTTCTCAACCTTTTTCAGCATATTGAAATGACGCTATGCATTACGGGGCTCCCAGGGGCAGATAAGAGTTGGTCTCTCTCCGAGAATAGTTACAAATTTATTACATTTTCCCAAATCTGCAAATCTCACTGGAAGAACACAAACCGAGGACAATATTTTCCTGATATAGGGTTTATTACTCAAGTAAGGGTAACAAAATATCTGATTAGAAGGCTACTTGAGTACTGAGTATCATCTGATCTAATATTTTTAAATGATCACATCAAACAGACAAAAAATAAGAAGTTATGGGCAAATATTGGTATTTTAAAGACTAAAGGGAAAAATGTAAACAAATAAACAAGAATTACAAAATAACACATTTTAGGCAAAATTTAGACACAAACAGAGGACAATATTTCCTGACATACAGGGTTTATTTAATTGTGTGAAAATCTAGCACGTTTAAAAATAAATACCGCGATAATACCCAAAACCATGGTAATTTTGGTCACAATAACCGTGAGGTTAAATTTTCACACCGTGACAACCCTAGTCTCGCCATGATGAACTCTTATGTGTTCACTTCTGGTATACTGAGGCATACAAGAAGTTCATCTACTGACTCAAAAGACCAAGATTCCTTGCGAATAGAACATGCGCAGAGAAAGAGTAATCCCGATACGAGTTTACATGATCTGATATTCGGGTCAGAAATGGGTTACCCAAGGGGTAATAACCTGATTTTTAAGTCGTTCACTGTCATTGATGACAAAAGTCATCATTAGCATTTTTTTACTGTGTGTGCGTCGGAACGAGCCCCCGCACCATGAGAACAAACAGCCCAGCTCTAAAGCCGATCTTCATCCGCGTACATCACACGTCACGTGATCAGAAAGCAGAAAATCCATGTGTTAGATCATTTTGGGCTGCTGCTGTAAAATAGTGAGGAACGAACCTGAAAAGCTTCTGCCGATCACAATATAAAATTTAAAAAACGCTGAAAAACTCAGCAAAGGGCTTTTCTGATCAAGAAACAGCTGCCAGTGAATGAGTTAAAAACCTGGTTATGAGCATAACCAGGTTTTTGCCAGTGTTTACACAGCCTTGCAGAAATGGTTTATTGCAAATAACCAGGTTTTGAACGGGTTATTGGCTGCATGTAAACACAGTCACTGAACCAGCCTCTTTCAAAGAAAAGGAGGCAACCTGAGCAGATTTCCTGAAGTGAAATTATCTGAAATTATCTGAATAATCACATCATGTGTTGTTAAACCTCTCCCTGGGCTGCCACCTTACCGTGGTGGAGGGGTTTGAGTGTCTCAATGATCCTAGGAGCTAACTTGTCTAAGGCTTTCTGCCTCTGGTAGGGTCACCCATGGCAAACAGGTCCTAGGTGAGGGATCAGACAAAGAGCAGCCCGACGACCTCTTATGATGAATTATATAAATGGAAACCACGTTCCCTCACCCGGACGTGGGTCACCGGGGCCCCCCTCTGGAGCCAGGCCTGGAGGTGGGGCACGCTGGCGAGCGCCTGGTGGCCAGGCTTTCACCCATGGAGCCTGGCCGGGCACAGCCCGAAGAGGAAACTTGGGTCCCCATTTCCATGGGCTCACCAGTCGTGGGAGGGGCCAAAGGGGTCGGGTGCAGTGTGTGAGGCGTGGTAGTCGAGAGCAGGGACCTTGACATTGGGGTTTACCCTCTCATTCACTGGGGTAAACCCCAATGTACATGCACCAAGATAGGGGGCAACTAGTATGCCCACCCCTGCTCGGCACCTCTCAGTGAGAGTAACTCCAGAGTGGTAGAAAGTCCAACCCATCTCAAGGAAACTGACCACTACCTGGTGGTGAGTTGGCTCAGATGGTGGGGGAGGATGCCGGTCAGACCAGGCAGGCCCAAACGTATCGCGACGGTCTGCTGGGAATGTCTGGCAGAGTCTCCTGTCAGAAGGAACATCAATTCCCACCTCCGACACAACTTCCAAAATGTTCTGGGGGAGGCGGGGGACACTGAGTCTGAATGGACCCTGTTAAGTGCCTCCATTGTTGAGGCGGCCGACCGGATCTGTGGTCGCAGGATTGTTGGTGCCTGTTGTGGTGGCAACCCCCGAACCCACTGATGGACACCGGCGGTTAGGGATGATGTCAAGCTATCCGGTCTTTTTGGCCTGTGGGACTCCAGAGGCAGCTGACTGGTACCGGAAGTCCAAGCGGAACAAGGCTCGGGTGGTCGCCAAGGCAAAAACCTGGGCATGGGAGGAGCTCGGTGAAACCATGGAGCAAGATTTCCGTATGGCTTTGAGGAGATTCTGGTCCACCATCCAGCACCTCAGGGGGGAAAGCAGTGCTCTACCAACGCTATCTATAGTGGGGACAGTGTGCTGCTGACCTCTACTCAGGACGTTGTGGATCGGTGGGCAGAATACTTCGAAGACCTCCTCAATCCCATCGACTCGTCTTCCAGTGAGGAAGTAGAGTCTGGGGACTTTGGGTTGGCCTCTCAAATCTCTGGTGCTGAGGTCACTCAGGTGGTTAAAAAGCTCCTCTGTGGCAAGGCTCCGGGGGGTGGATGAGATCCGCCCGGAGTTCCTTAAGGCTCTGGATGTTGCGGGGCTGTGTTGGCTGACGCGGCTCTGCAATATCGCCTGGGCATCGGGGGCAGTACCACTGGACTGGCAGACCGGGGTTGTGGTCCCCTTATTTAAAAAAGGGGACCACAGGGTGTGTTCCAACTACAGGGGGATCACACTCCTGAGCCTTCCTGGTAAGGGGTTCTGGAGAGGAGGGTCCGTCGGATTGTTGAACCTCAGATTCAGGAGGGGCAATGTGGTTTTCGTGCTGGCCATGGAACACTGGACCAGCTCTATACCCTTAGGGGGATCCTGGAGGGTGCGTGGGAATTTGCCCAACCAGTCTACATGTGTTTTGTGGATTTGGAGAAGGCGTTTGACCACGTCCCTCGGGGGCCCTGTGGGGGCTACTCTGGGAGTATGGGGTACCAGGCCCTCTGATGCGGGCTGTTAGGTCCCTGTATGACCGGTGTCAGAGCTTGGTCCGCATTACCAGCAGTAAGTCGGGCTCGTTCCCAGTTAGGAGTTGGACTCCGCCAAGGCTGCCCTTTGTCACCGATTCTGTTCATAACCTTTATGGACAGAACTTCTAGGCACAGCCAAGGTGTGGGGGGCATCTGTTTTGGTGGCCTGAGGATCAGGTCTCTGCTTTTTGCAGATGATGTGGTCCTGTTGGCTTCATCAGAACGTGATCTTCAGCTTTCGCTGGAGCGGTTCGCAACCGAGTGTGAAAGCAGCTGGGATGAGAATCACTTCCTCTAAATCTGAGACCATGGTCTTGATTCGGAAAAGGGTAGAATGCCTTCTCCGGGTCAGGGATGAGGTCCTGCCCCAAGTGGAGGAGTTTAAGTATCTCGGGGTCTTGTTCACGAGTGAGGGAAAACTGGAGCGTGAGATTGATGGGTGGATTGGTGCTGCATCTACAGTGATGCGGGCGTTGTACCGGTCTGTCATGGAGAAGAGAGAGCGGAGTCAGAAGGCGAAGCTCTCGATTTACCGGTCGATTTACGTTCCTACTCTCACCTATGTTCATGAGCTTTGGGTAGTGACCGAAAGAACGAGATTGCGGATACAAGCGGCCAAAATGAGTTTTCTTCGCAGAGTGGCTGGGCTCTCCCTTAGAGATAGGGTGAGAAGCTCGGTCATCCGGGAGGGGCTCGGAGTAGATTCGCTGCTCCTCCACATTGAGATGAGCCAGTTGAGGTGGCTCGGGCATCTGGTCAGGATGCCTCCTGGACGCCTCCCTGGTGAGGTTTTACGGGCACGTCCAACCCGGAGGAGACCTAAAGGTAGACCCAGGACTGGCCAGGGAACGCCTTGGGATTCCCCCGGAGGAGCTGGCCCAAGTGGCTGGGACGAGGGAAGTCTGGGCCTCTCGCCTTAGGATACTTCCCCCACGACCCGACTCCGGATAAGTGGATGAAAATGAATGAATGAATGAACGAACGAACGGACGGACGGACGTTTTGTTAAACACATTAAACAGGAATCAGCTGATCTGACACTCAAAGATCCTCTTTTTCCCCTGGTCTCTGAATGCACCATCGTGTGAAGCCTTGTTAGTACATTACAACACTGTCCTGTTTTATTTTCAACAGGAAATTAGGAGAAAAAAAATGAAAACAAAAGCAACGAGTAGAGTTGTGACTTTAGAGCTGAGCACCAGCAGCTGCTCTGCAGCAGGATTACTCAGATTAATGCAGATAAATAATATTTCACAATTTCATCAGACTTTAGAAACATAAATGTTATACATTCCAGGTCAGACCTGGTCTGGGCCCATAAACCCAGAATCATCAGAACTTCTGTTTAAATCTTAAACTACCTTCCTTCTATTTTCAAACTATGGCTGTGATTTGTAAATGCTACCATGTTTAACATTTTTAGCAAAATGTGACATAATTTGGGTAAAAATGTATAAAACATTTTGACACTGATGAGACTCACCACAAGAGCTTTCTCTGATTCAACAATGTTCCAGCTTCTGTTCCTCTGATTGATGTAGCTGGGAGACAAAAATACACACATTCCATCAACGTTTGTAACAACGTTCCTGAACTTTTCCAGCTTTAAGATCCTGCTCATTTGCATGTGTAACGTCCAGCAATGGTCAGTTTTAGGTACTGTTTGACCATTCAACATCTGGTCAAGAAGGAGACAAGAGACTGCATGTGTTCCCTTTAAATCAGCCTGCCTCCATCCCATCAGCTGGAGCTCAGAGCCTCTCTGCAGCTCTGAACACATGATAACGAATTGTCAACATCAATGTTCTCTCCTCAAGGTTCAAGCTTCCCTCATCATCCTACAGGATTCTTCATGCCTTTGAATAAGTGAACACTCGCAGCCTGGATTAGTTGCTAAATCAAAGAATGATTTCCTAAATTAAATATGAACTTCTAAAACTTATAAGTTAGATAATCATTACATAAACGTTTGTTTATTGCTACTTATAATAATTATAATATAATGAAATGTTTCCATTAATCTGTGCTCAATGATTGAAGTTTGAAATGAATGGTATGTTATAATTACAATGGTTGAAATATGTTTCAGCATGTTGATATGACAAGGTCATCACCATTTGCACTCACACAAGAACAAGTAAAGTTAAACGCGTGACACATAGATAGCCCTTTACCCCAGATCAGAGCATCCGGTATCAAAGGCGGCGTGTTTCTGAGGTTGTCTTGGTAAAATTCCTCAACTTGTCAACCTCTGGTTGGCTACACAAATCATAACATGAGAACATTAAAACTGGATCACTCTGGTGATTCATCAGTTCTAGGGAAAGCTTCAGACCGGCTATCTCAAGCAAAACACCTCTTTAGCCATCAAAGCTTTTGACACGTCATCAAAATCTTTTTGCACCTGCAAAGCTGACACAGCAAACAGTTCCTGCAGAACAAGCTGATATTGTTCCGACTCCTTAAGAGTCCCAGACGCGCGGTTCCATCCATCTGTCGTGACCCGAGACATCTCTGGACTGAAGAGTCGGTGCCACGGTATTCTACAGCCCTTCGGTGCCAGAGGTCGTCCGACCTCTCTGACCTTTGGATCCACCAAGAGGGTCTCCGAGAACAGGTGAAGTAGACACACAGATAGCGTCTGATGTGTTTTGATAATAATCAACTTCATAGCTTAGCGCAACCCAAATTACTTTACATCCAGAACTCAGCTCTCCTAGATACGGAAGTTCTGACTAACATCACATTCACACATAGGTTTCATACATCACATCTAGTTCCATCCACTCACAGTAAATGTTAGTTAACTTGTCATGCTTTAATTGTTGGTAAAATAAATTCTTACTTTTATAAACCTGACTCTTTTCTGAATCAAAATGAAGTGTGTACAATCCCCTGATAAAGCAAAAACCTAGAATCTTCTGATTAAAACACAGTAAAGACCAGGCAGAGTGATATTATATATATATACATATATACACACACATATACATATATATATATATATACACACATATACATATATACACACATATACATATATATACACACATATACATACATACATACATACATATACATACATACATACATACATACATACATATATATATATATATATATATATATATATATATATATATATATATATATATATATATTAGAGGTGGGAAAAATGATCGATTCTAAGATGCATCGCGATTCAGCCGTGCATGATTACGCATCGATGCAGTAACGTGACATAATGAGATTCTCTCCCTATGTCTATGTCGGGGGTCGGCAACCGCGGCTCTGTAGCCGCATGCGGCTCTTCCATCCATCTGATGCGGCTCTCTGTGCTTGTAAAATAATGAATGGATATTTAAATAAAATGTTTTATATTTTACTGCATTAATTTTACATCTGTAAGCCAATTCTAAATGTAAAGATTGTCTGCGTAAACCTGAACAGTTCCAACCCGGTCTTACTGTGAGACCGGGTTGACGCGTCACGCTTGTGCGTAATCATATGCGAGTTCTGAGCTGACGAGGACGTGAGATTCTGGGATTCTCCTCAGATCCTGGATGTGTCGCCACATTGGAGACAGGAACAAGTGCTGTTCAGCCAAAGTTTCATAATCAGGGAGCATTTTCTAAGCGACAAGTCTCGCTTCAATTGGAGGAATCTGCATGCGCCCTGGTTCTGCGACGTGCTCCAAGCCCCTCTCCACATCTTCAGCTCGCTGTGCGCCGTACGTACGCTGACAGCGAGCTGCGCTGAGCTCCGTGTCCAGCTCAGATGGGAATCAAGTGATTTAGCTACATCTGCGATGTGCGAAACGAATAAAGTGTCAGTTCGTCTGCATGCGTCGGGGTCTTTCTATTCTTTCTCCGTCAAAATAAGTAGTCAAAAACGGGAACTATCCGGTCAACACAACACAAGCCCTGCTTTTAACTGTTCTGTTTTCTTGTGAAAATAGTTAAAATTTAACTTGATTAACACCAGAGCCAGGCGCACTGCGCCGTTATCTCCGTCGCTGTAAATGAGGGAAAAAAAAAATGATCGGATCCTTTTCTGACCTTCCCCACCTACCAAGTTTAATGACAACAATCAAACGTGACAGAGCCTGGATTTGTATTCTGAACAGTCTAAACATGTTTTAAAAATAAACGTATGACAAAAGTGGCACCTGCTCAGTAAAACCACCAACAGGGTGAAAAATATCAAAATATTGTAGGCAGAGACGGGCTACAACTTCTGGATCCACTTTATATAAATCGTTTTATTGATTATCGTCTTATGAAAGATAACTTTGACGTACACGAGCGACCGGTACCGGCTGCTGTCTGAGGGTAGGCCCCGCCCACAACGCCGCGGCTGCTGCAGTGTTTTCTTTACTGTGGGAAATGGGTAATAATGGCTCTTTGATGGGAACAGGTTGCCGACCCCTGGTCTATGTCTATGCGAGGACAATAAAGTTTTGAGGTATTACTTCTGGGGGCAGAGTTGCAATGACATGCGCACTGCGTTGTCCTAGAAGCAATTGGACAGGGATACAGGGCCAACATCACCAGTAATCAAAGATGTACCCGTTACATTTAAATCGGATGTCTGGGCTAATTTCTGTTTTGGGATCCTGGATGTGAAAGAATCACTTAACACAGTATTTGTTTACTATTTTTAAGTTCAGTAATATTCTATCTTAAAGCTGCTCTACCGAAAACATTATTTCTTATATTATTTAAGTAATTATAGGCAGCACACTTTAAACATTATTGCTCACTATAGTGAATAGATGAATGTTCTGTTTTTCAGGGATTTCGAAATCAAAAAGAAATTGAAAACTATTCTTCTGCTTTTATTAAGTAATGAAAATTTTTGTGTGAAGAATCGTGATGCATTTCAGACTCAAATCGAGTCGTTAGGCAGATAATCGGATCGAATCGTGAGGCAGGTAGAGATGCACACCACTAATATATATATATAACTCTGAAAGCACTCAATTTCCTAAACCCTACACATGCCTGGAGCTTGTTTTGTACCTGATAGCAGAAATGTTCTTGGTCCTCTGTCTGTCCAGAGCTTCTGCTCTTTCCTCCAGCTCATTCAGCTCATCCTGGATCACCTTTACTTTTTCCCCATCACCATTTTCTTCTGCCATAGCCTTAATTCAAACAAAAACACCGGACTAAGGATGGATAGCGGGGATGTGAGTGTAGCAGGACAACTAGAAGTTGCAGAGGCTTCTCCTACCTTGTCTTTGAGCAGCTGGGTTTTCTTCATGGCATAATTTGGCGGTGCTTTTCGGAATCTGTCCTTCTCTTTTACGATCTGTGGATAATTTTTAAAGAGTTTTAGTTTGAATTCACTCGGCAGGATGCTACAGGCAAAGTGGAGCTGCACTAACTCACATCCTCGATGTCTTTGTCATTAAACTTGTAGTTTAGAGCCTCTTTGATGGACTGCTCCTTCTTGGTGATCTCATCAAGAGTCGGTACCTGCATTCCAGCCATCATCATCTGCAGGGGAGAAAAACAGCGCTGAACCTACAACATCCCACTGGACTGGGTGCACGCTTCCTTCTTTAAAATCACTCACTGCGTCTTTCCACTTCATGAATTCGTTTTCTGTAAACTCCTGATTTGAAACGAACTCGAGTCTGAAGACCCGCGTGTCGGCGCCGTGCCTGAAGACCCACAACAACATCAACTCATTCAGAAGGTCAATTAAAAGATTCCTGAAGCACGTTGTTGACAGAACACCCACCTTAGCTGTAAGCCTTTGTTTGTCCGCGTTGATCCAAGCTGGTAAACTTTAGCCGTCTCTACTACATCCACGATTTCAGCCACCTTTAACGATGAGCGGGGTTAAAATGAAATAAAGCCTTCCCCTAACTCAAATCTAGTTTTACCTTCAGAAAGCACAAACTCACCCGATAAACTGGTTTGCTGCTGCTGTTGCCGATTCCTATCCTCACAAAGCAGCCGGTGACAGTCTTAGGGAAGAAGGGCATGTGGCACCAGTGCTCCAGCTTGTGTCGGGACAGGCGGATGCGGTTCAGTTCCTCTGGTAGTGACACGGGCTGAGACTTGGGCGGAGTCTCCTCCTTCCTGTCAGCCAGACACAAATCAGCAAGTCACAGAGAAGAACAAGAAGAGCTGTAAACGCACCGCTGGAGACTTACTCGTCATCGTCGTACGAGGACGAACGGGAACTCCGATCGCTTTTAACAGATGACTTGTCATCGTCTTCTTCCTCCTCTTCTTCATCGTCAGAGTAAACATCGCTGGTCTTCAGCGGCTCGCGTTTAGCCAGCAGTTCCGCTGCAGGGAGGTGGACAGAGCCAGATTTTACCGCTAACCGCTCAGAGATCTAACAGACTGCCAGCTGGAGGCACACGCACCTGTTTTGTTTTTCTTCTTCTCCCGTTCAGCCTTGAGCTCCTCCATCGCCTGGGACTTTTTGTCCAGTTTCTCAGCGCGTATGGATCGCCGTTCCTTGTTGTGCGACATTGAAACCTAAACAGATGGGAAATGAACCAGAACACAACAAACACAATTAATAACCCAACAGGCGCTTTAGCGTCTAACTTCAATAACCGAAACCCGGTGATTGGTCTCTTGGACATCAGAGAGGACTCACCACTTGAGAGTCTTGAACCTGAGACTGCTTCCTCTTCTCCTGCTCTTCCTCCTGCTTCTTCTTCTTCTCCTCTTTCTCTTTCTTCTTTGCCGTTTTCAACTTTTTCTTAATTTCAAACCTTTCAAACAAAATTAGATTGAATAAATGAACACTCACTAAAAATAACAATCATCATAATGCATGAATGGTTCTGCGTGGACACAGAAGAAGGTATAAAATAAAATAAAATAGAAAAATCACTCTTCACTAACCGTCTCTTCAGCACCTCTCTCTTCTCAATTCTGTTGAACAGCTCTTGCTCTCTCTCCTTCTCCGTCATCTGCTCCAGGCGGGCTCGGTCCTCGGCGTCGCCCATCAGGTCTTCGCCGTAACCGTCCCTGAACACCTCGTCCTCGGAGGAGTCCGAGTCAGAGCTGGTGGAGGAGCTGTTGCTTTCGGAGTCGGACACTTCACCTGAAAGTTTTAGGAGACGCAGTTTTGTCCCGTTCTGTGCCTGAGAGCAAATCTTCGATTAACTCAGATTAAATCAGCATCTTCGGTTTCACGGACGATGACGACTTTGGTGTGCTTCAGCATTTCTGTTTTTTGCTGGCCTGAGTTTCATTAAAGCCCATAAAAGCAGCTATACAAGCTTCTTATTCAACTCCTAATTATGACTAGGGTTGTCACGGTAACCGGTATAGCGGTAAACCCCGGTAAAAAAGTTGACAATAAAAATAACCGTCCAGTTTTTAAAAAACTATATTATCTCGGTGGGTTTACCGTGGCCGCGGTTTCGGCGCGATGACCCTTACCAGCCACCGTCGCTTCAGCTGAAGTTCCCGCGGCGCGCACACGCACTTTTTAGTTTGCATCGGCACCAAAACTTTGAAGCTGAAATAACGGCCGAAGGAGGAGACGGCAGCGCCCAGGACATCCATCAGCCCTCAAAGAAGACTAAATCGGAAGTATGGGCATATTTGGGATTTCTGAAAAATGCTGAGGGACAGTTAATAGAAGACGGCTATCCCGTTTGCAGAACGTGCAGGAAACAAGTGTCTGCAAAAGGTAACACTTCGAATCTAATGGCACATCTGCGTGACGATCACCCACGTCTCCACAGCCAGTGCAAGGTAAGTTAACATTAGCATTTTAGCTGAAATGCATGACATGAGGACTTTTGGCAGAGGGAGAATGCAACGAGTCACTATATACTGCAGCCGCAGCGTCCTCTGCCAGCATTTAAACCGTGTCACGGACACCCTGTTGCTGGATGAAGCATCTTATTTGTTGATGATGAAGAGAAATATACAATTAGTTCCTTGTCATTGATTTGTTTACTTATTCAATGCCATTTATACTTGAACATTTGGATTTGATTACATAGTGTAGTAGTTATTTTAGTAATTTGTTTAAAGTGGCTATTTGTTTTAAATACATATTTTTTAAGGTTGACTTGTACAGAGCTCAAGTCAAGTGTGGACTGGAGTGTTAGATTTTCATTTTGATAATGAAGAAAACAAGTATATGAGAAAACAAGTGGTGTTTCTTTGATTTGTTTACATATTGTTTATGTTTCGAATGTTTGGATTTGTATAATTTAAACCTGCACTGACTACTGTAACATGTTCCAGAAAAATAAGCTATTTGTTCCTTTACTTGTGAAAAGTTGCACTTTTGCTAAGGCTTTGTGTTATTTTAGGTTTAATAAACACTGTTAAACATTTTCAAAACTATTTCAGTTTGTGTAGAACAGGACTATCAATGCTTTCTGAACATATGCAACACAGTTTAAAAAATACTGCGATAATACCGAAAACCGTGATAATTTTGGTCACAATAACCGTGAGGTTAAATTTTCATACCGTGACAACCCTAATTATGACCGATTAGAAAACCACAGAACAGGTGAAGAAAAGTTTTGGCAAATTATTTTTTCTCCTGAAATTTCCTTTAGTTTTTCCAGTTTGGATGGAATTCACATTTATGTTTCCCATGAGGCTCCAGACCGGGACAACTTCCAGGACGCCACCCAGGATAAAAGGGATAAGCGACTGAGTCACGTAATCCCATCCACCTGTGGCGATCTGCACTCCAACTTTCAGCTTGTTTGGTGAAATCTCAGGAGCCGTTTGTGGGTCCAGCATTATTTACCCACGTGAAGAACACCTGATCTGAGAACAGTGAACACGTACCCTCCTCTGGTGCAGAGCTGTCTGCTGAGCTGCCTCCATCTGAGCTTCCAGATGCTTTATTAGCTTTCTTTTTTGTAGCATTCTTTTTCTCCGCACCTTTCCCTTGTTTGACCTTCTTTTTGCCTTTTGTGCCGCCCACAGTCCACTAAAGACAGAAGAGAGGTTATACAAATCTGGAGAGAATTGAGACCCCTTTTGTTAGCATAGGATCCGTTCCTCTTACCTCATCATCGCTGTCAGATGTCTCAGAGTCTGTAGAAGCTGTAGGCTTGTTTACAGGCTCGTCCTGCTCACCTGAATCAACCCTCTTTCTTTTGGCCAAAGACATCAGCTCCTGAAAGTGAAAACACACTGATGTAATCCAGAAAAAGAAGTCAGAATGTCAGAGAGGAAAAAGTAGTAAATCAGCTGGCAGGAGGAACAAGCGTCATACAGGGAAAGCTCATTTCCATTATGTTTACGGATGAACAAATGCCTCAGACTTCCAGGATGAGTTTGAAAACTGAACCCGAGGAAAGCTAATGCTGATGGTGGCATCAGGAAAATTTTTATCTGAGTTTAAACCTTTTAAACTTTTAAATCTCAGCTGCTTACTGCAGGGTAATACAGAAAAAAAGACTTTCTTTCAAGGATTAGTCAATAATGTCTTAGTCTGCAGACACAAACAGATTTACAAAGATGTTTAAGCTCAAATAAAAACATAAACAAACTGGAAAGAGATGGCGCCAAATGTGACACTTGTGTTAATTCCAACATCTGTCTATGTTTGACTTAGGGCCTCTGTTCAACATGACGGTCACAGAAAGGGTCCGCTTGAGTTAACAAGCCACTTTAAAACATCGTCTCCTTCCGTTCTAAATTAAGATTGTGGAAAAGCTGCTTCAAACCTGAACATCTAGATTAAAATGTGATTTCCTAATGTTGTGACTTGGCACACATATGGCAATAAAAACTTCTGATTCTGATTAATACACCGTTTATCTGTCTGTGGCATAGTCAAATTCTGCTTTTTATTCATGGTAATTGATCACAACTACATGCACATTGGGGAATAAAACTAGGCCAATCAAATATACAGCAACTCGATATGAAGAGATGGCACAATTATAACACTTGCATTTTATTTGTACTACCATATAGAAATGAAAAGCACTCAACGACTAATAATATATTGATGATTTAGTTAAAAATCAGCAGAAAACAATTACATAAACAACTCTAATTGCTCTTTACATCAATCAGGTTTCATCTGCGGTTAAAAATACCTTTTTATCAGTCATTTAAAAAGTTCCCCAGTAAACTTCCAGACTTGTTTATAGTCACGGCTTCTACACTAACCCGGTTTATGTGACCTAACGCGCTCCGGTTCTGTTATCTCTGCTTCTGCTCAGGACAAGCCGGGTTGTTCCAGGAGCTTGTCTCAAAGCGACATGTTTTACCTCCAGCACTTGTTTATCAACAACACCAAAATAGAACTTCAGCTCCGAGGTCATGACGTCGTTCACATACGGTTCGAGCTGAAATCAAATGCGGCTCTAGAACCGCATTGTCTGCGCTAACAAGTCTCACCATGGTAAAGTCTGTCACTGAGCAAAACATACCCCAACATAGCACCATCAAAGCCCTGCAGCTAGTGACTGGAAACCATTAGGAGGCCCATGGCGCGGTATTTTCATAACATAACATTGCATGATTGCTAGCATTAGGCACATCTCGTAAAGCAACCTAGCAGCGGAAACATTCTATAGAAGGCCCCGCTTAGCTGAATGCAATGCAGAAACACACTGGGGGAAGACGTAGCATGTTAATAAGGTGTTTACTTTTAAAGGAAAATAATACTGGGCCACTTTCAGTCTTTCAGCGAGGCCAAACACAGCGCAACCAATTAGCATCCGCTAGCTACACCATAAAACTACTGACAACTTAAAGAGTCACTAGTAAATAATAAATTTGAAAAATGCCACTCTACCTCATCCAAGTTATCATCACTGGCGCTGTCTTCAGAGTCGGAATCAATCACGACTCGACCTTTCCGCTTCTTGACGTTCACCATGATTAGCCGCAGAGCTAACCCTACTAGCTACCCCTGTGTCGTTTAATGGTTGGGATTAGCTGCCGATGCTACTTAGCTGCTTGGTTCTCGCCATACAAAGACAATACCGAGCATGCGCGCACTGGCGTCACAACATGAAATAGATTCTCTAAATACACCTAAAACAATCATGCGACAGTTTATCTTTAATTATATTCACTTCTTGTCCATACAGCTTAAATTACTGAAGTAATCCAGCAATGAAACAAAAAGATTCAGATAGATAGGAACCATAAGTCTGCGCCGAGTGCTTTTGTCAGGATACAAATTGGTGGTGCACCAGACCAAAGCTGCGTTCAAGAAGACTACAGCAGCTGTCCCGGTCCGCCTCGAATTTTTGCACCTTTTTAACCATAATGGTTGACTGTAGGTTGAACGCAGCTCAGGAGTTTCCGCTCAGCTTCATGCTTGGACCACAAACAACCTTGGATCTGTGAATACGAGGAAAAGAGCAGATTTCAGGTCGTCAGAGTTTCATAACAGTGTTGTATTATTGTTTTAAGGCGATAATATTAAACTGTATAAAGTTTACGACCCTCTTACGTACCCGGCGAAAAACAACGTTGACAAACGTAAGTATGAACGAATTATTTGCTGTACAAAAAATTCTGTCAGGAACATCTGGAGCAAAATTTATGTATTTTTCTAAAATTTAGATTGCAATTATAACAACTGTTAGAAACAAATGTAAACATTTTATTTGAAAGTTAAACAGAAATGTCCATTATTTTCAAGCTATGCTTTGGAATAAATTCAGATATAAGCAGGGTAAATATGTAATTTAAAAAATACATACACGTGATTATATCAGATAATCTTATGCAAATGTAACTTATGTTCTGCCACATAAAACACATTTTCTTTGAAAGAGCTCATTAAAACACTAAGATTGCTGTATTTACATCTTGCTAGTCATATTCTATTGTCACCTGTATAACTCAATATTAATGGAACCATTTCCTGTGTGATCCATCCCAGCAGTCACCAGGTTGAAGATGTCTCTCCCAAAAGTTTCCCATCTCCCGCCGTTGAGGTTGCTGAGCTCTATCCATAACCCACATCTGCTCCTTTGCTCCATCGCTCCTCCATCTGTTCCCAGAAGAACTTTGAGCCAGAGTGGATATCGGCGGCCTGGCAAAACGAGAGATGACAGGCTCCCGTGGCAGAAGATCGACTTTGACTTTTGGAAGGGTGTGGAGGGAATAAAGAAGCACTTCAAACTGCTGAAACAAGAGCTCACTGACCCTTTGATTGGTCCAGAGGGCAAACCAATCCTGGAGCACATGAAGGAGCAAAACCGGGTGGTATGGGAATTCAGAGGCCCCGAGAGCCTGGCGGGGTGGACGGTTTCTTGCGATAAAGAGATTGGAGGTCAAAGTGAAGTTTACCTAAAGCTTGGAAGGAACGACACGTGTTTTCTGTATGGGAGCCTCAATTCTGCTCCTCCGAAAGATGGAGAAACGCGCTACAGCGGATACTGCACCATGCGCTCAAAGCAGCCTCTGGTCAGCGCTCGCCGTAGATTTTTCTGCCATTGATGAATACCTCTGGACTTTTAAATTCACTCTAAACTTTTTGTCTCTTCTAGGCATCCTTTGACAGAAAAAAGCACTTTGACTGGTCCAGTTTTAACACCCTGCACCTGCGGATCCGTGGTGACGGCCGCCCGTGGATGATTAATATCGCAACTGAAAATTATTTCTCTCATCAAAAAGACGACCTTTACACCTACTTCCTGTTCACCAGAGGAGGACCTTACTGGCAAGATGTAAAGGTGAGCTGATGCACTTTTAAGCCCTAGACTGATTAACTCACTAACACTTTTTATTTTTGGCAGATACCCTTCTCCAAGTTCTTCATCACACATCGAGGGAGGATACACGACCAACAGCATCCTCTGTGGCTGGACAAGGTATCATAAAATCACAACAAAATACCAAAGACAAGAAAATAACGGACACACACGAGAACTGTACTTCATGTACCATGACCTGCAGCTGGCATATTGAATATAATTGTCTTTCTGAGATTTATTTAGACTTTGGCTTATATTTTCAGATTAATACCATCGGGTTCACCCTGGGAGACAAAGCAGACGGCCCTTTTCAGCTTGAGATTGATTTTATTGGCGTCTGCAAAGATTACGCTCACACAGAGGACTTCGCTTACGAGATGTACAAGAGGAACCCAACAGCTTAGGGGCCACCACAACGCAGCGTTTAAACCGTTAAGCAGCCAATTAAATACAGATGTGTGGAAATTCCTCGTCTTCACTTTTTTTTTTTTTTTTGCATTTCTGGTCAATTTTAAAACAAATCGGTTAAGGGGATCAAACGGTTGTTGCTGTTGATCTTTTACAAGTTAAACAGACACTCTTGCTGCTTCTTAATTTTCCCGTTTAGTTTAAATGACTTCTCTCAGTAAAACAGCAAAGTGATTTCCATGTGAGAGTTTTTTGTTGTTTTATTGTAAAAGCAATAATAAAAGCATTCAAGAGACATTTTATTAAAGCACAACAAATCTTTTAGGTCACCATTTTAATCCAAATATTCATCTCAAAATGGAAAACAATAAGTAAAAGTTTTTACTACAAAAGGATAAAAATGATTATTATAAACAAACAAATCTACAAGCTGAGTAAAGCAGACTGAATCCATGTTCCTACAACTGGCTCAGGAGAGCACGGATGTCTAAATTATTTACATGAGAACAGGAAGCTTGAGAAAAATGCAAAAGCGTTTCTATTCCATGACCAGGCCTCTCCTCGCTCCGAGCAGTTTTGTTTTCTTCTGCTTCCGGTCCTCTGCTAGTATTGCCCTCCGGTCGTCCCTGTAAACACGACACGGATCAGCCTCAGGAGGCGCTTTACAGGCAGATTGTTGTGATGAGAATTTCTCTCAGGCTCACCTGGACTGCACCTTGTGTTGTTTGTAACTTTCCTGACGCGAATTGGAGATCAGAGATTTGTTTGCAGATGCATTTTCTTTAGCATCTCCAAATGGCTTCAGTTTGCCTGCAAAAAAGGAAGGAAGCATCAGTGTCTCAGAACAACACAACTTACGGTGTTTGAGGACAGTTCCGCACCTTTGTGGGGTTTGTAGTTGAGCGGACGCGACAGACTGGCCTTCAGATCAAAGGTCGGCTTCTTTTGTGTTCCGGGTGTGGTTGAGACGTCACCAGTAAAAACAAACAGTTCTTTAATGGAGACAAACCAGATTGGTTAGATTTATTTTGCATGTTCGCACTAGAGGCTGACAGATATATAAAATTTTTTCTATATCGGCCGAAATTATTTTTAAAAGCCAATAAAAACATTTTTTAAAATCAGGCACCTGTGTGGCCTACCGCCGCCACTACTAGACTGAAGAGAGAACCCGAACGACCCCCAACACACTGCTTTAAAAAAAATAAATAAATAAAATGTTTTGAGTTTGTTTAATATTTGAAGTTCAATAAATATTAAGAGATTTATTGACTTATTTAATTTATATTGCACACAGTGAGCGTTAGGTTGTCTTTCACAAGCAATATGCTGCCAAATCACATATATAAACCTTAATAATCGGCTTTAGATATCAGCCATCGGCATCAAAATTCTTTGTAAATCTATCGGCCTAAAAAAAAAAAACATGTCGGTAAGGCCTCTAGTTAACACATCAAATTTAAATTATCCCAAATGGTGGCGATGAGTACCTGAAGTTTTTTGGGGAGACAAAGTAGACGTAATGACAACATGTGGCTTCTTTGCTTTGGTGGTCTGGCTTTGAGGGGTGCTGGAAGGTCTCTGGAGCGACATGCGTGCCGGGGTCTTCACCAAAGACCTCTTAAACTCGTTGTCACATGTAGCTTCTGAGAATCTGAACAAGTTGGTAGAGCGTCACATGAAACACACTTATCTGTGTTTGCTATAACAATGACTGTAGCAATGATCGACAGAAGACGCACCGAACATTGATCCTGCGCGTAGAAATAACAGACGGTCTGAATGGAAGGTCGTCTTTCCCAGCACGTTTGTTTTGAAGAGCTTTACTGACTGGCAGCAAAGTGTGTCTGGGCTTTTCTGCAGCTGGTCTCTTATTGAGCTGGGCTGGGCTGAACATGGAGGCACGAGTCGTGTTCTGTCAAACACAAACCCACACATAAGCTCTGAAACGTGTCCAGCTTTGACTTCAGATTAGGATGGAAAACAATGTAGAAAGACTAACTTAAACATTTGTTCTGATGTTAGGAAGACTTAATACCTTCAGATCTTTGGCTGAAGATCTGGTGGTCTCCATCTGCTTTGTTTTGCGCTGAACATAGGTGTCAATGGACTCCATTTTGTTGAACTGCGCCTCATGGATTTTCTTAAAATCTAATTTAGAGATACAATTGACAAACAGTAAAACAAATTCAAGGATTAAATATGCTGACCGTGTTTACGCAAGTCTGGAGAAAGGAAATAAAGCAAACTCACTAGGTGTGGTGGGCTTCAACAGAGTCTTGTTCATCTGCTGGGAGCCTCTGTAGCGGGGAATTTTGCCAGGTTTCACCACTTTTGGTACTTTTCCTGAACAAATATGATTTTATGAGTCAAACAGCTTCTCAAAGCAAAAATAAATCTAGTCGCAGGTTTGAAGAAGCTCTCAAACCTGTTGATTGAGCCGTTTTCTCCTCTTTAGTATCAGGGTGCTGCTGGTCAGTCTCAGTAGTTTGAGGTTCTCCATGACAGGACAGCTTTCTTTTCTTGCTACCCTGTGAAGTGGGGGTGCTGCAGACACTTGGCTTGTCACCACCCTGAAAAGACAAACAGTCTTACACCTGGTAGGGTTACAGACGGCTACGTGCTGTTAAAGACAACCAGTGGCCTTTTTAATGACGTCAGACCTCTGCAGCACTGGGAGTCTTAGCACCACACACACTGGAAGTGTCAGAAAGCCTTCTCTTGGAGCGGTTTCCTTTACCCCGACGTGTGTTTACAAAGACAGGGACAGCGCTGTCTTCTGCTACACTTTTGTGTTCAGGGACACCAACACTGCATCGACCCTGGGGCAGAAACACAACGATACGCAGACATTCAATTTACATTAAAACAATACTTTTAAAATAATACTGCAGCAGCAGTTACCTACCTGCACGTCTGCGTTCTTCTCTTCGTGGTAATGCTCTTTTATAGCTTTCAGGAGTTTATCAGCCTGCGTATGAGTAAATAAAACGTGATTGATTTAGCCGATGTTAGCTAACAGTCCTCTACCGTTACGCTAAAGACACGTAAAAGTAACTTCCTTACCTTCCCGTTTGCTTTCAGCCCAAGCTCCTTCGCAAGACTTCGCAAATCCGCATATTTCATGGAGTCCAAATCCATGTTACTACGGTGGTTTACTATGCTTTATAAAATCACGATGTCTCCGTTTTCTTTCTTCTTCTGCTTCTCATTCGCGCCCCGACGGTTAAAACTCCTTCCTATTCAAAACAAGACCGTGAGAGCGATTTGATTGGCTCTTATTTTTAACCGGATGTGCCCCATAGCCAATCAAAACCAAGATGGTCAAACGCCTCTACTTAAATCTATCCTTTTTTTTGTTAAACTGGTGATTAATAGTTATTATTTTAGCATATTGTTAAAAGTTTAAAATTACAGCTTTGTTGTGTTAATGTTTCTCATTTTCTTGCGTATATGTGTCTTGGTGTTGTGTCTAAACCCACACCGCGGTGGCAGTAATGTGCCAAGCTAACTTCAGCGCGCGGAAATTAGAAGAACAAAACTTAAAATCGTCCGTTGGTGGTTCTGGTTCTCTGGGTGACATGGAATTTGACGACAGCGTCTTAAATAAACGACTCAACAATATGGTCATTACCACGGATGCAGATGACAGACAAGCGCTGACTTTTCACTGTCAGCAGTGCAACACTGTCCTGGGAGACTCCTTTAGCGTGTGTGGAGAAGTAGAACGTCTGGACTCCATCATGTGTCTAAGTAAGGGTTACCTCATTGATGTTATTGTGGTAAACATATTATATGTACCTTAAATTTCCTCTTAAAATGTTTTTGTTTTACTTGTTGAAATAGTTTCTGGTTTGTTCTTTTATAATAGGCTTCACTACTGTTACATCCCATAATAATCAGTATTTTTGGTCCCTTCAGAAGTAACCAGTGATGTGATTGTTGGTGATGCAGAAGAGCCCGGGCATAAAGGAGAGCTGGATAACAGGTGAGTTAGCTTTAGGTGTACAGATTAATGTTCTATGGGGTGCCAAACTGTCGCAATGTAACAGCAGTACTTGGATTATGTCGACTGTCATAAAAGGGAACAACTGAGAGTTAATTTTAAAAAGTCATGTCATTCATACATTTTTAAAAGGCTTAGTTTTCAGCTAACAAGCTAAATATTTAAAATGAGGTAAACATTTCTTTTACAAATTTTTCATTTGGAAACTAAATATTTAGATCAGACATAAGTATTTATTTTCTAAGTAAATGTTTAATTTACTAAAATTATATTTAGCACCAAGCTAAGTATTTAGGTCATACTTAAATATGTATTTCTCAAAATAAATATTTAGGTCAGGTATTTTAAATAATTTACTAACTAAATATTTAGCTCCAAACTAAATATTTAATTTACTAACTAAATATTAAGCTAAAAAATAGATATTTAGGTCAGACATATACAAAAAAGGATTTGGCGCCCCTGAAAAGTTAAAGAAAAAAGAAGGTGAAAGTGAATTTCACTTTTTTTTTCAGAAGTTAAAAAGTCAGAATTATGAGAATGAAGAAAACGAATGAATGATGAATGAAAAATAAACAAAATGTTTATCCTACTAAATATTTAGTTTTTAAAATAATTTAAAACAGTTAGCTTTTTAACTACATATTTAGTTGAGAAATGGGACATTTATGAAATGTATGAATGACATGGTGGAAAATATGACTTGGAAAAATCAACTCCCAGATAAAACAAACAAGTTTTAAGAAAAAAAAAGAAAGATAGATATGAAATATATACACAAATAAATCCTTACTGAATGCAGTGACCTACAAACAACAGTAGTAATGTTTTTCAAGTTACATTGGATTTATCGCACCAGTTCAAGAGTTTGTTTCTTCTATTTATTGTCCCGACAGCTGTGGGGAAGAAGCTGACCCTCAGTCAGCTGGTTTTCGCTCTTGTGGCTTTGTAGCACCTGCTGAATTAAAAAGCTGTAGTGACTGGGGTGGGAGGGGCCTTTGATGATGTTTTGGGCCCTGCTGATGTAGAGTTTATTGTTAATTTATGTTTTCTGTTCCACACCAACAGGTAATATTTACCAGAAGTTGGTCTCAAATCAGAGTTTCACACCCCGAACATTCCCAGGTGGAACACCATATGAAATCTATGCAGGATCTGTTTTCCAAAGCGGTTTGGGATGCATACCTTTAAAAGAATTATAATGACTACTGTATGAAAAATGTTTAAAGTTAGTTTTTCATTTTGATCTGATAATTTACAACAAGCAGATAAAAGCAAAACCAGGTTCTGTAAAATCGATGAGTAGAAAAGGTCTGCTGTATTCTGAGGTTTGCTGAATTGAGACGATTCTAGGTTGAACCTGTGAGGCAAAAATACAGTATCTCCAATTAACTTATTAAAAATATGCCAATAAAAATAATCTTTATAATTTTTATACATAAAGATGTGAACTGAATCAAAAAAGCAAATGTTGAAAGGAATACCCTGTTGATCATTTTATTATCAATCATAAATAAAATCAATGCACATTATTTAGGTTTAAGTTGCATTTTACTATTAAATTCTGCCTCTGTTACCTGTTATTTTTTATGTACACGGTGTTTTTCTTTCGGTTTTTTTTTTTTACTTGATCTCTGTAAACTCCATCCAGTTTTTCCGTTCATCCGGAGTCGGGTCCTGGGGGCAGCAGCATAAACCAAGAGGCCCAGAATTCCCTCTCCCCAGTCACCTGGGCCAGCTCCTCCGGGGGGAATCCTAAGGCGTTCCAACCTGTGTTTTTTTATAGTGAATGCATTTAACTGATATTCAGTGAAGTTCTGATCTGCCTTTCAGCATCTACAGTTCCCTAACATGCAGAACATGCCAGCGCTCTGTAGGCAGAATTGTTCACGCTGCTCCTTCACATCTGGCATCAGTTCGTAACATCTTTCTCCTCAGCAAAGAAAACATCAGCTGGTGAGTTTCTGCTGAGCACACGGATATGTTGACCTCTCGTGTCTGCTGCTGTCTAGAGAAGCTGGAATAAACAAGGTGTTGTCCAGTCGGGTTTTAGACCTCAGACACGGTCTACTGATGATGGTCTAGCTCATGCTTGTGATTCTGATGTGTAGTCCTGCTCCTGTAAAACTCTTGTTTTCTCTGCAGCTACATCCTCAACAGCAGCTCAATGGTGAAAGCTTCCACACTCTCATTTCATCTGAAGCCACTTAAAGAAAAAATGGATGAGGTGAGAGCAAAACTAGAACAGTTTGATGTTTTGGATTAAAGAAATTAGAATAAATGTTTTTTAGCTCCTTTGTAACATATTATAATAATTTTAAATGTCAACCTACAGGTGGCGATAGTGTCATAAGTCAGCCTTTAATCAAAAAAGCCTTTAAGACAAATATATGATGATCGCAACGACTCAAAAGTAAACAGTGGAAGAAAAAAATTGTGCAGGGATGATGCTGTTTATTCTGTCTGCAGATGAGAAGGCAGTTTGATGAGAAGCTGAATCAGATGTCCCACATCAGGAGCCGAGTAGCTAACAGGAGTGTAAGCAGTGAGATAAGCGCGTAGTGCGTTCTGTCGTATTATACACCGATTGTTTCTAAGGTGGCTAATGTTTCCCAGGCGTGCTGATCATGTTTACTAGTTTAGCTGAAGTGAGACGTTCCCGTGTGTCTGACAGAAACGAGGCTCTCTGGTGTTATCGGCACTGTCCTGGAAGGGTTCAAGCTCCATTCAACAACTTTTAAACATTCATCTGTTTGGAAAGTTTAACTCCAAACCTCTAAGATCATTAAAAATAAAACGTGTTATATTTTGTTTAGCCGTAATTTTTGGGTTCAGAATAAAATAATCTTTCTCCATGCTGAAAGCTGAGTTTTTCTATGTTTAAAGTTGAAAAGCTGTAAGAACTTGTTCTTGTTTGTATTTCAATATTTTCATAGAAATAAATGTTTCTTGTATTGTTGTAAGCAGCACCATTTTAATGTGTTCCATTATTAAATGATAAAATATCATTTAATTCCCCAGGAGTCTGTAATGAAATATGTAAGAAAGTAGTTTTTGTCTCTAGACCTTAACTGGTGGTTTTTCAGGCACATTCTACTGGAAGGTTTATATATCCTTCAGGAAGAGCCAGAGAGAGATGTGTTTCCCCTCAGGGTATGCTACCTTCACTGCCTGGACTTGGATAGAGGAAAGGTGATTTTATATTTTTATAGCCAATATGTGGTGGAAATTTCTAGTAAAATGGGATAGGAACTCCATCCATTTTCATCCGCTTATCTGGAGTCGGGTCGCGGGGGCAGTAGCCTAAGTCGAGAGGCCCAGACTTCCCTCTCCCCAGCCACTTGGGCCAGCTCCTCTAGGGGAATCCCAAGGCGTTCCCTGGCCAGGTGAGAGACATCGTCCCTCCACCGTGTCCTGGGTCTACCTTTAGGTCTCCTCCCGGTTGGACAAGCTGAAAACCTCACCAGGGAGGCATCCAGGAGACATCCTGACCATGTGCCCGAGCCACCTCAACTGGCTCCTCTCGATGTGGAGGAGCAGCGAATCTACTCCGAGCTTCTCACCTTATCTCTTAATAGAGAGCCCAGCCACTCTTTGGAGAAAACTCTTTTCGGCCGCTTGTATCCGCAATCTCTTTCTTTCGGTCACTACCCAAAGCTCATGACCATAGGTGAGGGTAGGAACGTAGATCGACCGGTAAATCGAGAGCTTTGCCTTCTGACTCAGCTCTCTCTTCACCACGACAGACCGGTACAACGCCCGCATCACTGCAGATGCAGCACCAATCCGCCTATCGATCTCACACTCCAGTTTTCCCTCACTCGTGAACAAGACCCCGAGATACTTTTTTTTTCCAAGTTTATTTTCATTTATTCACAAATAAAAACAAAACATGTTTGCAAAAGCAATAAATGAAAAAGGAACAGAAAGAAGCAAAACTTATGTTATCTGTTCCCCTTAACCTTTGAATTTTTTATAACTGAGTTCTCGAGACATGAAAGTAAATTTCATTATAGTCGGTCTCTATCTGACAACGCTGTTGCGTCTTTTAAATCAACTGTTCCATCTTTACTGTCCTCAGCATCTCAGAGGCATGTAGCAGAGGGCAATATTTTCAGTTCTAGCCCCTCACAAATTGATGCCTTAGTTCATCATGTGAATTCCTCTTTACGTGTGGCATTAGATGATGTTGCCCCTTTAAAAAAGAAGGTAATTAGGGACAGGAATTTGGCACCCTGGTTTAACTCTCTACGAGCCTTAAAACAAAACTCTAGGAAATTGGAGAGAACATGGCGCTCTACGCACCATGAGGAGGCCTACCTATCCTGGAAAAATAGTCTTGTGCTTTATAAAAATAAGCTTCAACAAACTAGAACTGCTTATTTTTCAGCATTAATTGAGGAGAATAAGCATAATCCCTAAATTTCTTTTCAGTACAGTTGCTAAACTTACACAGAATCGTAGCTCTGAGCCATCTATTCCCTCAGCCCTCAGCAGCAATGACTTCATGGGATTTTTTACAAGTAAAATTAATTCTATTAGAAACAAAATCTTTAGCATCCTCCCTAATGCGATTTCTTCTTCCTCAGTAAGTGAGGCAGCTTCAGAGGTGACTCTAGAACCTCATCTGTGCTTGAACCGTTTTGATCCAGTTGAGCTTTCAGAGTTATCAAAAATATTAGCTTCATCTAAACCTTCAACTTGTATTTTGGATCCAATCCCAACCAAATTATTTAAAGATGCATTTCCTTTGGTTACTGCCCCCATTCTAGATATAATCAATCTATCCTTAGTAAATGGGTATGTACCACAAGATTTTAAGGTTGCTGTAATCAAACCTTCACTTAAGAAGCCTTCTCTGGATCCAGATGACCCAATGAATTACAGACCAATATCTAACCTTCCATTTTTATCCAAAGTCCTGGAGAAAATAGTGGCCATCCAAGTGTGTCAGCATTTAAACACTAATGCTCTGTTTGAGGAATTTCAGTCTGGGTTTAGAGAGTATCACAGCACTGAAACTGCATTAGTGAGAGTTACAAATGATATTCTTATGGCCTCAGATAAGAATCTTGTGTCTGTTCTAGTCTTGTTAGATCTCAGTGCTGCCTTTGACACAGTTGATCACAATGTTCTTTTAGAAAGACTTGAACATGTTGTAGGGATCAAAGGAACAGCGTTAGGCTGGTTTAAATCCTACCTGTCTGACAGATTTCATTTTGTAAATGTACATGACAAATCTTCTTCATACTCCAGGGTTACTTGCGGAGTACCACAGGGTTCAGTGCTTGGGCCAATTATTTTTACTATATATATGCTCCCAATTGGTAAAATCATTAGACAGCATGGGATAAACTTCCACTGTTATGCTGACGATACTCAGTTATATTTATCCATTAACCCTGATGAACCTAATCGGTTGGGTAGATTACAGGCTTGTCTTGAGGACATAAAAAATTGGATGACTCTTAACTTCTTGCTTTTAAATCAAGACAAGACGGAAGTTCTCATCTTTGGACCAGAAATCCAGAAAAGGAAATTGCTTAGCCAATCGCCTGACCTTAATGGCATTACATTAATCTCCGAGAACAAAGCAAGGAACCTTGGTGTTATCTTTGACCAGGACATGTCATTCAAATCCCAGGTTTCACAAGTTTGTCGGATTTCCTTTTTCCACCTTCGGAATATTGCTAAGATTAGAAGCATACTTTCCAGGAGTGATGCTGAAAAACTAGTTCATGTATTTATTACATCAAGACTGGATTACTGTAATTCATTACTCTCAGGAAGTCCACAGAATGTAGTTAAAAGTCTTCAGCTTGTCCAAAATGCTGCAGCTAGAGTTCTGATGAGAATTAAAAAGAGAGATCATATCTCTCCTGTCTTAGCTTCCCTACATTTTCTACCTGTTAAATTCAGAATAGATTTTAAGATCCTTCTTCTCACATATAAAGCTCTTAATAATCAAGGTCCATCATACATCAGTAATCTGATTGTTCCATATGTTCCTAACCAAGCACTTCGCTCTCAGACTGCAGGTCTACTGGTGGTTCCAAGAATATCTAAACTTAGGATGGGAGGCAGATCTTTTAGTTATCAGGCTCCTCTCCTGTGGAACCAGCTCCCAGCTTTAGTCCGTGAGGCAGACACTTTGTCTACTTTTAAGAATAGGCTTAAAACATTTTTATTTGATAGGGCTTATAGTTAAAATCTGATGTTAGCCTAAATCTGGACAAGTTGGGGATTACAGGGAGGTGGAGTGTACAGTTGGTAAAGACGGCTCTCCCTTGCCCTGCCTCCAACATGCCGACATCTAAATAGGATAGGTTATCCAGAGTTAACTCTGTAGTTATGCTGCTATAGGCTTAGACTGCTGGAGGACACACTGACCACTTTTCACACTCTACTACTTTCTTCTACAGTCTGCTCTTTAACTGTACTATTTTGTGCAATTTCAGCTGTTAACTTTATTTTCTCTGTAAGTGTTTTTCTCCCCAGAAGAAGCTACAATGACGTTCTGCTCAGCTGTGGTGGCCTCATGGAGGGGGCCATCGACTAGCACACTGCTGCTAACCACTAATACATTCTCTCTCTCCTGATAATAACTTTTTGTTTTCATTGACTTTTGATGTGCTAATACTAGTTTATCCGTTTAATTATCCACTAGGATAAATACAATAAAGTTTATCTTTCACCAAATACAATATTTACTAAGACATCACAATATAACTATAGACACATTACTTATCTGTGTGTGTGTGTGTGTGTGTGTGTGTGTGCGTGCGTGCGTGCGTGCCTGCCTGCCTGCCTGCCTGCTCTGTCTTCTCGATCCCCAGTGAGCCGTGGAGGATGGCTGCTTATACTGAGCCAGGATTCTCTGGAGGTTTCTTCCTGTTAAAAGGGAGTTTTCCTCTCCACTGTCGCTGCATGCTTGCTTAGTATGAGGATTGCTGTATAGTCACTGACACTAGTCAGTGACTTGATGCAATTTGCTGGGTTCCTTATATAGGAAACATTATTTCTGATTGGCTTAATGAACTGTGAATTGGAATGTTTATTATGTGAAGTGCCTTGAGACGACTCTTGTCGTGATTTGGCGCTATATAAATAAACTTGAATTGAATTGAATTGAAAACAAAACACACACAAAGAATAGCTAAAATGAAACAAAGTAGAACATACAATTCTATTAAATTCAAAAATACTTTATTAATCCCTGAGGGAAATTGATTAAACAATACAATGTGTTTCCCCTTCATTCTCTACTTCATAAATACATCTATCTCATAGCATCATAAGCATTTCATTTTTGATATGTTTATTAAAGGTATATATTGTTTTGGTATTCTTGATTTCGGTACTTAATTTATTCCACATTTTGACTCCATATATTGATACACAATGTTTCTTTATATTTATCCTATGTTTTGGTATCATATATATTTTATTGCCTTTCAAATCATAACTATTTCTTTCCATAAATCTTATAATAAAATTTGTTGGAAGGTGCTTTTTGTCGACTATACATACATTTCAAAATACTCTAACAATCTACTAGGTCATAAATTTTTAATGTTTTTAATTTGATAAATAATTGGTTGGATGGATCTCTGTAACTGCTTCTTGTTATAATTCTTATTGCTTTTTTTGGTAGGATGAAAACTGAATGTGTATAGGTTTTATGTTATTCCCCAAATTTCGGTATGAGCAATGAATTGCATAATAAATATAGGGATTTGTCATCTAGTGACCCTTTCGCTCTGTGTAATATTGCGATTGATTTAGCTATTTCAGATTTGATATTGTTTATATGTAGTTTCCAAAATAAATCATCAATGAAGACTCCCAAAAATTTTACTTCCTTTAAATGCAGATTTCGTCTAATTTTATTAATGTTTTTACATTCAACTTTCTATTACTGAATATCATAAAACATGATTTATCTGTGTTCAATGAAAGCTTATTCCTATCAAACCATAATTTGATTTTTTCCAACTCTATCACTTGTATCATTTAATCAATATCGTCTCCTGAATAATAAAAAGTTGTATCATCAGCTATCAAGATAAACTTTAACATATTAGATGTACAGACAATATCATTTATATAAAAGTTTAGGGCCTAGTACTGACCCTTGTGGTATTCCACAAGTAATATTTTACAGATTGGATTTGATGCTTATTTGAACATACTGTATCCTGTCAAGTAAATAACTATCCATTTTAGGGCTGTTCCTGTTATGCCATATTTACGTTTTTTTTTTTTTGGAAGAATGTCATGATCTACTGTATCAAATGCTTTTTTTAGGTCAATGAAGATACTTATTAAATGCTTTTTTTTTCGTCACTGGCTTCCGATATTTCTTCTGTTAATTCCATTAGTGGCATTGAAGTTGAGCGATTTGGGCTAAACCCATACTGACTGTCATTTAAAATATTCTCTTTGTTCAGGAATGTGTCCAATCTGGTAATATATAATTTTTCTAATATTTTTGAGAATTGTGACAGAAGGGATATAGGACTTAAAACTCCTCCACTTGGGTCAGGACCTCATCCCTGACCTGGAGAAGGCATTCTACCCTTTTCCGAATCAAGACCATGGATAGGAACTCTTAAAAGACATATGTGAGATGGTTTATTTTTTTTAAAAGGGGATTAAGACCATCACTGATGAGGCATATTTATAATATTCAACACAAAGAGCTTTGAAAACCAGTGGTACCGGATCCTATGTGGTCTCAGAAAAGTGGGGGGAAATTGTTGTTTGCAATTTAATGAGCTTCATGACTTGGTGGGGATCTCTGGAACTGATAATGGTTCAGATTTTCATTTTCAAACAGAAGTTTTAGGCCTTACAAACCAGAGCCCTTCAGATACAACCATGGGGTATACTACAAGGCTCTGTTCTGGGTCCACTTCTGTAAAACTGAGAAAGAAAAAGATCTTTTCTATAGCTCTCTAGTTAAAAATCACAAGGTGCTTCACAAGAACAAAAAATTGAAAATACAAAAAGATAATATGGTTAAAATGAGGAAAAGAAAAAAACCAATAGTAAAAACAAAATCAATTGTGAATAAAAATAGTAAGAAAAGGGAAAGAGAAAATGAATAGGAAAAAAGGAAATCAAAGGATCCTGGGAAAGGCGGAGTTGGTAGGAGAAGCAGAACAAGGAGAGAGTGGTGATGAAAGTCAGCTAAATAAAAATAAACATTTACACACCTTCCAATTGGCACCATGCTGCATTTTATTGCTGAATTTCTGATACTCGATTTTTTTCTTTAATAATTACAAAACCAGATAAGAGGCTCACACATAATAATCATGCCCATTTCCTCCCTCTGGAGTGCATAGTTCCTACACAGTCCACCATTTCTGTGGAAAAAGTTGTCGTTTTATTAGTCTCACTTTAGCTTTGTTGCTACTTTTCACAAGGGAACAACGACTGTTGCGTTTCTCAGCTGCACTGAAGCAGACACGGCTGTTCTTATGACTAGCAGCTACATCAGCGCAGCTGCTGAACAAACACCTCCATATCCTAATTACACTCATTCACATTACAAAGTTGGATTATTGCATGCAATACATTTCATAAATTTTCTGCTAATTCATGCATATTTTTTAAACCCACATGTCACCTGGACGTCTACTTGCTTAAAAAGTCGGATTATAAATGACCAGAAATGGCATTACATGGTTTCTAGAACACAGCATTGAAGACATGATGGCAACAATGACGGTGCAAGTCAATACATAGAAAGTGCTTTTCACGCCAGGGTTGTTCTGAGAGTTCTTCTCGGCCACAGGGTTACTTGAAAGGCTGCTGTTATTTATTTGGAGCTTTAGAAATGCTACTGAGATTCGATACTTAAGCCTTTTTAGAGTTCCGGTTAGTTGAGAGGAAGTATTTAAAGCTAAAGATGGCTAAAAATAAAACAATAAAAAACAATGAAAAGGGGCTTTCCGTTTCAACTATATTCTGCTACACATTATTATAGGTTATTGCTTCTAAAACTATATCCAAATACAATTGTATGGATTAAAATAGAACACTCTGAATCCAAAAACAATGAGGTCAATATGTACATTATATTTTAATTATAGGCCTACAACACAACAGATCCCATCCAATCAGATTCACGCTCTAGAAATTTGAGCTGTTGTGTTCATTTTCTTTTAAGCAGCTATCAGAAAGCTCGTAGCTATTGTTCTTAAGTATAACATATACGTTTAAAACAGTACAACCTAATTTTATACCCTGATTTTGTCACTGCCTGGCCTAAACATGCTGTGAAATGATCACTCGCTAGATTTAGCTGTATCTAAGGGTACAGAACTTCAATCTAGCGTTCGTTTCTTTTCTAAAAAGGATACAAACTCCCAGCTTAGCCTAGGAAAACCAAACATCTTTGATGAAGCAAGCATCACTACTGGTCATGCACGGCTACGATAATGTTGGCACCACATTCCTGCTAAATAAGCTAACGCACATGAGTCTATACATATCTTAATGGAAGACATTGGTGATTTTGTTGCTTTCAAACAACTTGTCACTTGTTTATACAATATACAGTTTGGTCAACAACATGACAGTTAAGATCAGATATTGCACAGATCCCGGTAGTGATCTTTTTGAACATTACATGACTTATGGCACAAAGGAAAATAGGCCAATTGTTTAGAAACACAAATTAATTCATTACAAAACTGAGTCAAAATGAAGGAAAACTGGAACACAATAGGAGTGAAGACACAAAAAGTCCCATTTTAGTCATGGAAATACTAATTTTGTCTTTTTTGTTGCAACTTTTAGAACTGACCAATGAAATCATAGTGAGTCTGAGACAAATGAATGAAAAAAAAAAACTATGATGCACAAGAAGCTAGTTGAGTTATAAAGAAAAGCTGAACTGAAAAGTGTCATTATGCATATTTTCTATTAACCCGCCATTTTTCTATCCGATATTGATTCCAAAATCACTTTGGGACAGTTTAGATGACGACTGTGGTGCTCAACAACCCTTATGCTACTTGTTCGTATCGCTCCCATTTTCCCTTCTATTGGACTTGCTGAGGCAATGAGGTAGTGGGGCGAAAAACAACCCAAAACAACGAATCCATGTTAAATCACAGTCCTTGATCTTTGCTACAGTATGTTGTGTCTTTACAGAAAATGGGAGAATTAAAAAAAAAATCAAACTTCTTTTATTTTAATTGCATTTAGTGCAAAGATTTTTTTCTTGCTATTTTTGGGAAGTACAAGCAGCCACATGCAGGAATCTCATCCAGCTATCACCCCAGAGAATTCAGGGCAAGTTTAGCCATGCAGAATCTCCCAACTCATCAGCTACAGAACTGGAGCTACAGGAGTGTGTGTGGAACACATCCAGACTATGCATCTTAGTGGTAGACACCACTAGCCTGGCAAGCCAGACTAATAAATATATTATTTAACTTTGCAAAGCAAGAGTTTGGTCTAGTTCACTAGCCATAGACAACCCAGTAGCTTGGCAGCTGTCCTCACTGATAATTAGGCTGCAGAAACAGGCCAGCAGAGGAAGGGGGTGCCGTGGAGATGAGATAGCCAGCATCCCAGAAAACAGCAGAAAGGAAAAGCCACAAATGAGATCATCTGGAGAACATCGGTCTTCTGTTTGCAGGTGTTGGAGGAGGTGGACTTATGTTGGTGCTGCAGTTTCAGCAATGATGGGCGCCACATGTCCTGGTCTGAGCCTGTCTGGAAAGATTGTTCAGTGTTATTTATCATCAGTACCGTTTGTGCCACAACAAATGATGTGATGTCAGTACAATCCAAATAACTCTACACACAATACAATGCCCAGGTGGCACTGGCTAGACTGCAGAATATAACTTTCAGAACACCTTTGAGATATGAGGAGCTGAGCTTACTGTGAGAGGGTCTGAAGTGATACGGAGACGTTTCCTCGGGGCTGCAGCTGCTCGCAGCGGAAAACAAAAGCCGGGGGATCTTCCTCTCATCCTCTGCGGTGACACAAACCTTTGATCTGCTCAAGCCGGAAAACTCCTCTGCCTTTTATTTCAGGAAAAGCGTCGACGAAGACTCATCCAGAAGGGATTCAGCCAAAAGTTAGGGAGCCCCTTCTCTCCCCCCGGTGGACACCGAGGAGGAGAGAAGGTCCTCTTGTCCTCTTCTCTGTGGACGATCCGCTCTACGCCATTTTTAGCTAATGCTACCATGAGCTAACGGGTAACGAGCGCTGATTGGAGCGAAGACCTGACAATCACACTTTAACCCCGCCCGGAAATACACTCATTTGGTTTTTCTAGTTATATATTATAGTAATGTATTATAGTTTCTAGTTATATATATAACTAGAAACTATAATACATAACTATAATATATATATATATGTGCCGCCCCTTTAAGGCAGACATGTAAATTTAGCTCTGTGTGTGTGTGCGCGCGCATGTGCGTGCGTACGTATGTAATTTGTACCTGTAGACTTGCCATAGTTATTCTCAACTGGAGATGACCGTTAAGCTAACTGTTATATTTTTTGCATATTGGTTCATCTTTTCTTGCTAAGCCTGAAAGAGCACATGCCTGTAAGTCATACATGTTTGTTCCGTTGAGCGTATTTATTATAGTTTTATGTAACAGTTGAGAATCTTGTGTGTGAAAGTTTTTATCTCTAGTAAAAACGGTTGTGATGCTAATGCGTTAGCCCGTCTATGGAATTTTACATATATTCTTAGCATTGAGCTAACCGCTAGGTTCTTGGGGAAAAACTTCTGATTGTGTTATTATATCTTTATGAAATACCCATAAAGTACATGAAAGTTTATTATTAAGTGTTTATTAATACAAAATACATATGAATACATCATAAATGTAACATTATTCATTTATTGTTTTTCTGTATTGCAGTTTTACAGTGCCTTCTACAGTAAATATCTAAAACGTCCCTGCTGACTCCTGGATGTTTATCGTGGACCTGTTAAGCTATCTGCCAAGCTAGAACCCAGCTTCATCCTCTAGTGAGGGCAGAATAGTAAAAAGGCATCTTCCCAACGGGTCGTTTACAGAAAAGTGAATCCCTGTGGAAACAGTTCTTCTGCCATTCAAGCTACAATGAACAGTAATGATGACACGCTTGAGACACGGTCAGTATGCTCCAACATTTCACGTGCCAGTCGACGTTCTTCAGCCAGTGCAATTGCAGCCAGAGCACGTGCAAAAGCAGAGGCTGCACGTGCGCAAGCATTATTTGCACAAAAAGAAGCAGAAATGATGAAAGCACAAGCACATATTGAAGAGGAGCAACAAAAAGCAGTAGCCTCAGCTGCTAGAAAGAAAGCAGAACTGCAAGCTAGTTTGCATACATTGAGACTGGAGAGTGAAGCTGCAGCAGCCATAGCTGAAGCCAATGTTCTAGAAGCAGCTGCTGAGAACGAGGTGGAGGAGTTAAGTCAAGCTAGCCAGAGAAATGAATTTGCTGAGCATAAAATTACTGAGCTTTACCCTGATTCTAGGCTGCATGAGCCCACATCAAAACTCATTTGCCAAATACCAATCGACAATGCTAATACGGCTGAAAACAATATTGAAGAAGGAAAAGAAAAGCTGCAAAAAGGTGGTAACTTTGACTTACCTATCTTACAATCATCCAATCTGAATGAAAATGCTGCTCCATACTACCCTGATACTCACCGCTCACGCAGGACAGGCTTCTTTGAACAGGAACATCAACATGGCTTAAACCCATTCAAAGATTCATGCAGTCATAAAATACAGTCATGTAACAGGAATCAGTTCAACAGCAACTACCAACCCCCTCAGCGTCAAACTGGTACTGTTGCCGGACCTAGTGAGCCCACTTCATCATCTACGACAGACTTGACAAAGTATCTAATTCGTCGGGAGATGATAAGCTCTGGGTTGTTGAGGTTCGATGATCAACCTGAAAATTATTGGGCCTGGAAACAATCTTTCCACAGCTCTACAGAAGACCTAAACCTAACATCAAGAGAGGAGCTTGACCTCTTATGTAAATGGCTAGGACCAAAATCATCCGAGCATGCTAGAAGGATACGAGCAGTTCACATCAATGATGCAACGGCTGGCGTGCACATGATATGGCAAAGATTGGAAGAATGTTATGGATCACCTGAAGCAATTGAAGATGCACTTTTAAAGAAAGTGGATGAATTTCCAAGAATCTCAAGTCGAGAAAATCAAAAGCTGAGAGAACTAGGAGATATTCTCTTGGAGCTTGAGGCTGCCAGAGCAGACGGTTTTTTACCAGGACTCAGTTACCTGGATACGTCTCGAGGCATCACTCCAATTGTCCAGAAGCTGCCATACTCATTGCACGACAAGTGGGTCTCTCTGGCATCTCGTTACAAGGAAACAAACCAGATATCTTATCCCCCATTCTCATTTTTTGCAAAGTTTGTTTGTGATCAAGCCAAAATACTCAACGACCCAAGCTTTGCCTCACTCACAGGTAATTCAAGGTCAGGGAGACCAGAACCCTCCCTTAAACATAACATGAAAATTCCCATCTCTGTCAAAAAGACAGAAATCTCAACACAATTGAACAGCAGTCATAGCAAACCCTCAGAGAAAAGAATGGCTGACCCAGACCAGCAGTGTCCGCTCCACAACAAACCACACCCTCTCAGGAACTGCCGCGGTTTCAGGAACGAACCTTTGGATGAGAGAAAAACTTACCTTAAAGAAAATAATATCTGTTTTAAGTGCTGTGCATCAACCTCTCACCTAGCAAAGGACTGTTCAAAAAACGTACAGTGCAGAGAGTGTAAAAGCGAGAACCACCCTACTGCATTACACCCAGGAGCACCCCCCTGGATTACAGAGACTTCCGGGAGTACAAGAGATCAAGGCGGGGAGCAAGAAGAAGAAACTCCTTCAGCTGTCATATCAAAATGTACTGAAATATGTGGAAGTACACTCAGAGCAAGGTCATGCTCTAAAATTTGTCTTGTCAGACTTTATCCAGCTGGCCAGATGGAGAAAGCGGTTAAGGCTTATGTTGTTCTTGACGAGCAGAGCAATAAGTCCCTGGCAAGATCAGAGTTTTTTGAACTCTTTGGTGTTACAGCGGGCACAGCAGCATACACATTAAAGACTTGCTCAGGAGTTATCGAAACCATGGGGCGACGAGCTAACAATTTTGTAATGGAGTCATTGGATGGACGGAATCAAATTCCACTTCCCACCTTAATTGAATGTGACATGCTCCCTGATGACAGGTCTGAAATCCCCACGCCTGAAATCGCCAAACATTATACACATCTGAAGCGGGTCATGGATAAAATCCCAGCTCTAGACCCCTCAGCAGGCATCCTCATCCTGCTCGGTCGTGACGTACCAAGGGCACACAAGGTTCGGGAGTATTGCAATGGACCTCACAATGCCCCCTATGCACAACGCCTCGACTTGGGATGGGTGATTGTAGGAGAGGTTTGTGTTGGAAGAGCGCACAAACCAGAGCTCGTAAATGTCTACCGCAGCAATGTGCTGAGCAATGGACGTGCATCTCTGTTCGAGCCTTGTTCTAACAGTCTTCACATTAAAGAGAAATTAGACACAGCAATCCATCACATTCATTTTCCTGTAGCTAACCCATCTCAAGACCTGCTTGAAGAGAAAGGTAACATCGGGGAAGGAGTCTTCCATCAAACCCCACATGATGACAAGCCTGCCTTGTCTGTAGAAGACAAAGTTTTTCTAGAAATAATGGATAAGGAGGTCTTCATGGATGATGCAAACAATTGGGTGGCACCATTGCCCTTCAAACAACCAAGGCGCAAACTCCCCAACAACCGTGCACAAGCGGTCAAACGTCTTTCAGCCTTACTACACATGTTCAAAAAAAGGCCAGACCTGAAAATGCATATGATTACCTTCATGCAGGGGATCTTTGAGGCAGGCCATGCTGAACCTGTTTCATCACCCACTGATGGACAAGAGTGCTGGTACCTACCGATCTTTGGGGTTTACCATCCACGTAAACCAGGCCGAGTACGAGCAGTCTTTGACTCCAGCGCTAAACATGAAGGTGTCTCTCTTAACGACATCTTGTTGAGTGGCCCTGATTTAAATAACACACTATTAGGAGTGCTCACTCGCTTTCGCAAGGAACCAGTGGCAGTGGCAGCAGACATAGAACAAATGTTCTATTGCTTCAAAGTCCGCCATGATCACAGAGACTTCCTACGTTTCCTTTGGTTCAAGGACAATGACCCCACCAAAAATATCACAGAGTACAGAATGACGGTGCACGTTTTTGGCAACAGCCCGTCTCCCGCTGTTGCAATATATGGCTTAAGGAAGGCTGCTCTGCAAGAGCAAGGAGAAAACAGCACGGAGGCTAAACAATTCGTTCTGAAGAATTTTTATGTGGATGATGGTCTTGCCTCATTTCCCACTGATGCTGAAGCCATCCAAGTCCTGAAAGAGACCAAGGAAATGTTAGCAGACTCAAATATACGGCTGCATAAAATAGCTTCCAACCACAATAAAGTAGTGGAAGAATTCCCATCTGAAGAGCGTGCGAAAGAACTGAAAGATCTAGAGCTCGGTGTAGATCCCTTGCCCATGCAAAGAAGCTTAGGTCTCAACTGGAATTTGCAAACTGACTGTTTTACCTTCCTCGTCTCTCAAGAGGAGAAACCCTTTACCCGCCGTGGCATTCTCTCCACTGTTAACAGCATATTTGACCCAATAGGATTTGTAGCTCCAGTAACAATACAGGGCAAGGCTATAGTCAGAGAGCTAAGCATCGAACATTGTGAATGGGATGCCCCGATACCTGCCAAAAAGGCAACCCAGTGGAAATCCTGGCGAGACTCTCTCAAATCTCTCGAGCAGCTCCACGTACCAAGACCATACTTACCAATGTCCTTGCTCTCTGCGCCACATAGAGAACTGTGTGTTTTTTCTGACGCATCCACCATGGCTATCTGTGCAGTCGCCTACCTCAGAGTAGTTGATGAAGACGGACACAGTCTTGTAGGATTCTGCATGGGAAAATCTAAAGTAGCTCCCCATCACACCACTACTGTGCCCCGTCTAGAGCTTTGTGCAGCTGTACTTGCAGTTGAACTAGCTGATACTCTGATTGACGAGCTAGATACCAACATCCATGCAGTAAAGTTTTACACAGATTCCAGAGTAGTGTTGGGATACATAAACAACAGCAACCGCAGATTTTACGTATATGTTGCTAACAGAGTAGCACGTATCCGGAAATCATCACAGCCTGGGCAGTGGCATTTTATCAGCTCAGAAAACAATCCTGCAGACCATGGTACCAGACCAGTTCCAGCAAATCTTTTGGGAGAAACAAACTGGCTTTCTGGTCCATCTATTCTCAAAAATGATAAGGAAGTTGCACTTACCCAGACAGAGCCCTTTGAGCTAGTAGAACCTGATGATGATGTTGACGTGCGTCCACTAATTACAACCTTTTCAACAATGACTTCTAAAACATTGCTTGGCTCACATAGGTTTGAGCGCTTTTCCAGCTGGAAGACACTTGTATGTGGCATAGCTAAACTCATCCAGAAAATCAGATCTTGTGCTACATCCTCAAGGAGAGATACACCAAAGGCGGATGAGTTTATACAGGCAAGAACAGTAATCATACGAGCTGTACAACAAGAAGCCTTTAAAGAAGACATCAAAAGCCTATCAAAAGGAGAGATTGTCTCAAAACACAGTCCTCTCTGGAAACTTGACCCATTTCTAGATTCAGATGATGTACTGAGGATAGGGGGTCGTGCAGCATTAGCGACAGTCTCCTGGGAAGAGAAGCATCCCATAATCATCCCCAAAAATACTCATGTTGCAACATTGCTGGTTCGATATTATCACGAACGAGTAGCACACCAGGGCAGACACTTCACTGAAGGGGCAATCAGGTCTGCTGGGTTGTGGATCCTGGGAGGAAAAAGACTCATATCAAGCACCATACATAAATGTGTCTCCTGCAGACGGTTGAGGGGAAGTATGGAAAAACAAAAGATGTCCAACTTACCTGCTGACCGGCTGGTTCAAGCTCCTCCATTCACACAAGTTGGATTAGATGTTTTTGGACCATGGACTGTCTCTGCCCGTCGTACCAGAGGAGGTCTATTCGAAAGTAAACGTTGGGCGGTGATGTTTACTTGTTTGGTAACAAGAGCAGTCCACATGGAAGTGATAGACTCTCTGTCAACATCAAGCTTCATAAATGCTCTCAGGCGGTTCACAGCCATCAGGGGACCAGCAAAGCTTTTTCGTTCTGACAGAGGCACAAACTTTGTTGGTGCGTGTAAAGAACTTGGAATAACTTCAGATGATGCAGCACTTCAGTCATACCTCAAAGACCAAGGCTGTACTTGGGACTTCAATCTTCCACACTCCTCTCATATGGGAGGAGCGTGGGAAAGAATGATAGGGATCGCTCGACGCATATTGGACGGCATGTTGCTCAAGATGCATTCTCCTACTCTTTCACACGAAGTACTCACTACGCTGATAGCGGAAGTAGTTGCCATAATGAATTCCCGGCCGATTGTTCCTGTGTCTTCAGATCCAGATGCGCCAACCGTACTTACACCTTCTATGCTTTTGACTCAGAAACTGGACTCTGCATCCTTTCCTTCAGGAGACCTTGATCTTAAAGATCTGTACCGGAGTCAATGGAAGCAAGTTCAAGGTCTTGCTGACTCATTCTGGAAACGATGGCGCCAAGAGTACTTGGCTACTCTCCAGCCAAGAAGAAAGTGGCAAGCAGAACAAACTAACTTACAAGTTGGAGATCTTGTCCTTTTAAAGGACAAACAGGCTAAACGGAATGAGTGGCCTACAGGTCTCATTGTAAATACCTTCCCAGGTCAAGATAGCAAAGTTCGTAAAGTGGAGGTGAGAGTTGTCAAAGGTGGCTCACCCAGAGTGTATTTGAGACCTGCTACAGAAGTAGTACTGTTACTTAGAGGGACATAGTGGTATAGTACAATATACCATGCGGGGAGTGTGCCGCCCCTTTAAGGCAGACATGTAAATTTAGCTCTGTGTGTGTGTGCGCGCGCATGTGCGTGCGTACGTATGTAATTTGTACCTGTAGACTTGCCATAGTTATTCTCAACTGGAGATGACCGTTAAGCTAACTGTTATATTTTTTGCATATTGGTTCATCTTTTCTTGCTAAGCCTGAAAGAGCACATGCCTGTAAGTCATACATGTTTGTTCCGTTGAGCGTATTTATTATAGTTTTATGTAACAGTTGAGAATCTTGTGTGTGAAAGTTTTTATCTCTAGTAAAAACGGTTGTGATGCTAATGCGTTAGCCCGTCTATGGAATTTTACATATATTCTTAGCATTGAGCTAACCGCTAGGTTCTTGGGGAAAAACTTCTGATTGTGTTATTATATCTTTATGAAATACCCATAAAGTACATGAAAGTTTATTATTAAGTGTTTATTAATACAAAATACATATGAATACATCATAAATGTAACATTATTCATTTATTGTTTTTCTGTATTGCAGTTTTACAGTGCCTTCTACAGTAAATATCTAAAACGTCCCTGCTGACTCCTGGATGTTTATCGTGGACCTGTTAAGCTATCTGCCAAGCTAGAACCCAGCTTCATCCTCTAGTGAGGGCAGAATAATATATATATTATAGTTATATATATATATATATATATATATATATATATATATATATATATATAGTAATGTATTATAGTTTCTAGTTATATATATAACTAGAAACTATAATACATAACTATAATATATATATATATATATTATAGTTATATATATATAACTATAATATATATATATATATTATAGTTATATATATATATATATATATATAACTATAATATATATATATATATATTATAGTAATGTATTATAGTTTCTAGTTATATATATAACTAGAAACTATAATACATAACTATAATATATATATATTATAGTTATATATATGTATAACTATAATATATATATATATATTATAGTAATGTATTATAGTTTCTAGTTATATATATAACTAGAAACTATAATACATAACTATAATATATATATATATATATTATAGTTATATATATATATATATATATATAACTATAATATATATATATATTATAGTTATATATATATTATAGTTATATATATATATAACTATAATATATATATATTATAGTTATGTATTATAGTTTCTAGTTATATATATAACTAGAAACTATAATACATTACTATAATATATATATATATATATATATTATAGTTATATATATATATATATAACTAGAAACTATAATACATAACTATAATATATATATAGTATAGTTATATATATATATTATAGTTATATATATATATAACTATAATATATATATAACTATAATATATATATATATAACTAGAAACTATAATACATAACTATAATATATATATATATTATAGTTATATATATATATATATAACTATAATATATATATATATATTATAGTAATGTATTATAGTTTCTAGTTATATATATAACTAGAAACTATAATACATAACTATAATATATATATATTATAGTTATATATATATATATATAACTAGAAACTATAATACATAACTATAATATATATATATATTATAGTTATATATATATATATATAACTATAATATATATATATTATAGTAATGTATTATAGTTTCTAGTTATATATATAACTAGAAACTATAATACATAACTATAATATATATATATTATAGTTATATATATATTATAGTTATATATATATAACTATAATATATATATATATATTATAGTTATATATATATATATATATAACTATAATATATATATATATATATTATAGTAATGTATTATAGTTTCTAGTTATATATATAACTAGAAACTATAATACATAACTATAATATATATATATTATAGTTATATATATATATAACTATAATATATATATATAACTATAATATATATATATATTATAGTAATGTATTATAGTTTCTAGTTATATATATAACTAGAAACTATAATACATAACTATAATATATATATATATATTATAGTTATATATATATATATATATAACTATAATATATATATATATTATAGTTTTATATATATTATAGTTATATATATATATAACTATAATATATATATAACTATAATATATATATATATTATAGTTATGTATTATAGTTTCTAGTTATATATATAACTAGAAACTATAATACATAACTATAATATATATATATTATAGTTATATATATATTATAGTTATATATATATAACTATAATATATATATATATATATTATAGTTATATATATATATATATATATAACTATAATATATATATATATATATTATAGTAATGTATTATAGTTTCTAGTTATATATATAACTAGAAACTATAATACATAACTATAATATATATATATTATAGTTATATATATATATAACTATAATATATATATATAACTATAATATATATATATATTATAGTAATGTATTATAGTTTCTAGTTATATATATAACTAGAAACTATAATACATAACTATAATATATATATATATATTATAGTTATATATATATATATATATAACTATAATATATATATATATTATAGTTATATATATATTATAGTTATATATATATATATAACTATAATATATATATAACTATAATTTATATATATATTATAGTTATGTATTATAGTTTCTAGTTATATATATAACTAGAAACTATAATACATTACTATAATATATATATATATATATTATAGTTATATATATATATATATATAACTATAATATATATATATATATATATTATAGTTATGTATTATAGTTTCTAGTTATATATATAACTAGAAACTATAATACATAACTATAATATATATATATATTATAGTTATATATATATATATATATATATATATATATATATATATATATATATATATATATATATGAAAGGAAATGTCCCAATAAATGACACAGAATGCATAGAACGTATTTTAATCAATTCAAATTCAAGAATCTCTAATATCTAAACCACACATGAATCATACCGGTAGCATGGTCACATTATTATGATTACGAGCAATGATTTAACAAACTCACATTAAAAATAAAAATGGATCAGACTACTCTCTGGGTTATGTACAAACAGGCCAGGTATATTACATATTCTTAAAGCATTTGACACTTCAGCATATTGAGTTAGAAGGGAAATAATTTATAGGACATATGCTGAGCAGCGGATAAATTAAGCTTATTTTTCACAATTAGATTTACGAAAGAAACAGAAATATATATTTTTATCTACAAACTTAAAGGTCCAACTAACACTAATTTCTAAGGCTTCATCAAGTCTTAATAAATGGAATAAAACTTGTAAGTGTGGTAGCTAAATCCTGGTTCTTAGGATGATGCGCCCACTAAACCGTACACAAATAAGACATTAACAGAGGCCCTGGTTTTTCAAAAGGCTTAGCTCTTTAAACAAACTAACAGTTGTTCTGAATAAACCAGATGAATCTGTATGACAGAAAGACTATGGGTCATGGCACTTCAGAGAGTGGGTCCTGCTCTCCCACATGGGACTGAATTACAACTGGTCTGACTTGTTTTGCCACAATTTAGAGAAGCTTTCTGGCTCTCCAGAAGAGGAATAATACATTTTAACACTTTGAACTAAGGGGGAGAAAATGCAGTGGAGTTTGAGTGGATAAGGATGAGCAAGCTTGGATTAAACCTACTCTAGGCTCTACAGCAATGTTCACCACGCAGCTCACCACAAGCATCTAAAGAGTTTCTAATAAATATTGCATTATTGAGAGAATACACATGGTGACATTGCATAAAACAACCCAACTTTTCCCTCAACCTAGAGAGCAGCGTGGAGGCAGAAGCTCAGAATGATTATCTACCAAATACTTGGTCTGATGGGGTGTGTGTGTGTGACAAGGGCCACAGCGGCTGAACAGCTTGATGAGGTTGTGTTCTGACCCATGTCAAGTCCAAACTCCACCCAAGACAAATTAGGCTTAGTGCAGGAACCGGATGCTCATTTTCTGTTCCACATCCACCTTTTCCAAGACCTGAAAATACACAAAATGGACAAGTTCAAACTGAAATTAATCTGTTAAACACAAAATCCTAGCATACTCTGGGTTGTCATGGTAACCAAACAAAAGGTTACACATCATATGATGTAACCTTTGTATGTGTTCCCCTACAACAGACAAGTCAAGGCTTTCTGTGACTGGATGTTCATCTACAACGAATCAGAGGCTTACTCATTAAAGGGGACAAAGAATCTCAACAAACATTTTCTTGTAGTTTGTGAATGAAGACAGCTTGGGTGGTCAAAAGTAGCGTGCCAAAAAGTCAAATCCCTGTGTGACCTACTTTTTATGTAAATTAGAAAGTTTACAAATGCAAGAGAGAAACTTCTTTTCTGAAATTCCTCTCATAAAAACGTCACAATGTGGAGCCCTTCTTCCTCCAATCTGCAGTCCAGTGTCTGAGGCCCTCTGGTTTAAACCAACCAATCAGCAAGCAGCTCATTAGCATATTCATGTCCCGGCCATGTGGGAGGGGTAGACAGCTCTTTTCACAGCAGGCTCATTTAAGCCGGGCGTACACGGTGCGACTTTTTCACTTTTTTGAGCCGATTTTCCACTCGTGCGAGAATCCACGACATCGGGGCGAGTTTTGCGCTGAGCGGTCGTGTAGTGTACAGGGGGTTACGAGAGGTGATTAACACCACGTGACCAGCTACCGATCAGCAATCGTGAGCTCGCACAAACTTCTGGCGTGTTTAATATTTTACTCGTTCCTCGTGAGGGTATCGCACCGTTGAAGCGGCGCTGCGAGCAGCTGTGACCCAAAAAGTATCAGAACCGCTTACAGCGCAATCCTGCATCAACACCGCTCGCCCGCTATTTCCTTAATAACACACGTTGTTCGTTTTTATTTCTACAAGTTTTTTTACTCACAAAGATTGTCAAGAAAGCGTGTTTGTCGTGTTCATGTCAAATTAAACTGATCACAAAATACAGATTTACTTTCTTTATTTCGTTTTCCTAATCCAACCCCCATAAATCCCTGTGTGTCCTCCTGCAGCACTCCCGAAGGACAACAGGCAAAACAAGACAAAAAAGTCTGACGTGTTGTGTAAAAACTGCTATTTTTAGCATATTTTTAGGGCCGACGTGTTGCTACCAGACGTACAGTGTGAGCAGTCAGGTCGCATCCGAGAACTGGGTCGTGCAGAGTGAGCACATGACTCGTGAGATCTGCTCTGCGAGGAAGTCGTACAGTTAGAGCTGAAGCTGAGTGCTACGAGTGAAAAAGTTGCAGTGTCCGCCCGGCTTTAGGGGTTTGGAGCATGTTTCAGGGCTCCTGGGACAGATGAAAGCCAAAAGAAAATTTCTTATGCTTCTTAAAAAAATCAAAGCACCATTTTAGATTGCTGATAAACTACATTATTTGTCTCCTTTAATATTCATGACATGTAAACGTCTCGCCTCTGACTGACAAACAGCAGTCACTCCTCTGCTGCCTCCATCTGTGCTAATTTTTTGGATAAAAGTGCAGCGTTGATGAAAAACAACACAAGCCTGAAGCAGTTCTGCCATGCTGTGAAGTTGCTAATGCTAACAGCTAGCTTCTACTAGCTGAGATACCTCCTGGCCCCTGAGGGGGCAATGCAAAACAGCCTTCTCTGGTCGTAAGCCCACTAGGGTGAGTCCAAGAATGCAAATTTTACAGTGTTCCCTAGATCCGAGTGACTTTATCTGACCCGAGCATTTCCCCGTCTATTCTCTTCTTTGGCTAATGCAGAACAATTGTCATGTGACAGATCATATTTCAAAAACAAGTTTCACACAGTTTCTTTGCCAATGAGACCTTTCGAGCTGCTTTAGCAGATCTCCAGAACAAGCTAGCGAACCCCAACCCTCTGATAATGAGCGGAGAACCTCTCACACCTGTGGTGTTCTGTTGCTAAATACGCGAGTGAGCACTGAGTGGAGGACCCAGGTAAATGTGGAAGGTCCAATAGTTGCTTTCAGACTGAGCCATGTTATTGGCGGTTTTTAGAAAAATGCAAGAGAACCACTTTATTTTCCTTTTTTCCCCTTCACATTATATTTATAGCTATAAAATGTTAGAACGTTGGTACAAGTCATAAAAAAAAAAAAGATTTACGCCAACTTATTTAGCAGATTTGCCTCTGTAGCATTAATGAAAAAAGCACCCATTAAAAATTTTATTTTTTTTGTTAGGTGGTTAAAAGACGTATTATTAATGTTAGCCTCCACTAAACTTGCCTTTATAAATTCTTGAAAGGAAATGCAGCTATCTCCATTGGTGTCTGCTTCCTGGATGGTCCTGTCAGCAATGCTCCCGAGCTGTTCGTCGGAAATGTTTACACCAACCATCATCCGCAAGACCTGAAAAGGAACAAATAGTCTCATTGTGGTGAACAAATCCCAGAAAATGACAATGATGTTTACTCCGACAATACAGTGAAATGTTGTGAAAACACTGGTAATGGCGCATCATGAACTGCAACAACATGTGATCACTTGTAGCCACTGTGTGCTTGTGACCATAGGAATGGCATGATTATAAATGACAGAGCAGTTGAAAATGACACAAACAATACTTTGAGTTGTACATTTAGTTACAAGAGTTCATGAATCAGAGGAAACAGGTGACAAAACTGTTTTGCGCAAAACAAGGACCGTCTGAGTCATTAAAGCAGCAGTTTACACCAAGTACAAGTCACACAGGGTCACCCATAACCAAAATGGGACAAGAGGGACATGAAATAACAGAGGGGAAACAGAACACACGATAATAAACCGCTTGGGAAAGATCAGCCTGTAGTTAAGGCGAGTTGCTGCATCATTATCAGCACTTGACCAAAGTCTCCAGATCGACCTGAAGGTCCACCTTTAAAAGACCTATTGCACAGTAATGCTTGGTCTTTTTAATCTCATCTGACTGCTTAACATGACTCAGCATCTCTGTCATGTGACAAAGCAGCACTCACCTGCAGCAGCTCATCCCGAGAGATTTTGTCATCTCTGTCCAGGTCATACAGACGGAACGCAACTGAAAAATAAACATAAAAGTTATGTGATCCATGAGCGACGAGTCCAAGCGTTTCTGACCCTGTTCAGCAGCTCCACACTCACACAGGAGCTTGTTTGATCTGCTGTTCAGCGGCTCGGAGGCGGTGGGGTTCTTGTTCTTCTCGTTGTCCTCAATAGGTCTGAAGTGAGCCAGGGTGCGCATGAAGCCCCTGAAATTCACCTGGTCCTCTCTAGGGGGAAAAAACCCAAACAGATTCAAGTGAAAATCTGAACGAAAAACAAAAAAGGTTTTATTTGGGTCAGAATACATTTTTACTCAGAGAAAGACATTGTGAGAAACAAGGAAACAAACAGGAACTTGTACCATTATGTCATTTTGAACGCTTCCCTTTAGTTTCTATTTGCTCACAATCAAATACACAAAACCAGCTGAAAGGTGAACCCACGTGAAACAATCAAAAATCACGTCACGACATTAAACACCCACACAACTGATATGTTATGGCTTAAAGAAGGGGTTTGTAGACCGCATCACACAAATTGTCCACCCAGATCTGGCAGCCTCGTGTCTGCCGGCGCCGAGCCTCAGCAGAGTCGAGTTACAGTCCGGCTTACAGCTCTCAATTACGAAATATGCAGAAATAGGCAAGAAAATGTGTAGAATAAGAGAAAACCTACCCCTCAGGGAAGAATGCATTGATGATTCTGTCTCCCAGAGGGTTGATGGCCAACTCAGGAATCCTCTGGTAATCTTCTCGGCTGCAGACATCATGAAATATGAAAACAATTGAGTCCCATGAAAACACATCTTTCCCTTTATTGTGTTTAAGATAACACACCTTATGTAAAGCTTATGAGACACATCATGTGAAAGTAGTTTTAATTCTCAAAACAAGACGGCTTTGATTTAAAAGAAAACAAGTGTTTTCAGAGTCCATTCTCCCGGCGATGCCGTTTCATCACCTGTACCTAGAGTTTGAAACAATCCTCCTGAAACGTGTGGAAAATCTCACTGTTGTGGAAACTAACACACGATAAGGATGTCAGGCTAAGAAGATGAGAATACCCCTGACTTGTGAAGGGAACGAGAGCTCAGAGACAAGGGCAAACAGAATAAATACTTGTTATGTGTAAACACATCTTAGACGATTCTAAGGTCCATAAAATTAATCAGACTGCCCTTGAACGACTGATCCACAAATGACGTTGCAGCTGCCAAACCAAAGGGATTCATCACACCAAGGTTCAGACTAAAGTCTTATTTGCTTAATAATTACCCAGCATTCCATCACCTCTCATTTAGTGTGAAGCCAGAAACAAACCACACCAATGACTGACTGAGCTCTCAGCTAAATTACCACTAAGATAAAACCTACCAACACTAACTGGATACAAACCTGTAAAAAAAATATTCTCAAATGACTTGTTTGAATCTGAATATTTAACTAATGCCTCTTAAATTCTAGATCAACTTTGCTTTACTCTAGTCTCTTTGTTTCTATTTTTGAGAATCAGCCACATTTGCTCAACTTGGTCTCAAAACACCCTAAAATCTAAAGAGCAGATTGAGAAACTCGATATTGTTGAACTAAGCTTCTGACATCAGAAACTCTAAAAAGTTTTAGGATTACAATAAATTGTATCTAGAGTGTTTTCACACAGGTGTGTGTCTTACCTGAGAGTACCGTTCTCTCCTTTATCCAGGCTGGTGAAGCGGCTGTACAGTCGTGTGATCTGGCTGTGGGAGACTACACCGAAAATACAAAAACGTTACTACGTTTAAATAAAAACTAATTTTCACCTAAATACACATTAAGACTGCGACTTTATAAACGATCGACAAAACATGTGAACTTGTTTTCCAACTGCAGGTAAGTTAGCTAGCTTCAATTTGGTTCCATGAATCAGTCAGCTCAACTTACAGCCGGTCTCTTTTTTAATTTCTTCGATTTCTTCTTCTCGCAGTAATGTGGAAGCTCTTGATCCCATGATGAGGTAGTATCAGCTCGTCTTCTTGCACAACCGGTTGAGAGAATCTCGCCGTGAAGCGCCCTGAAAGTTAGCGAACAAGCTAACCGCGCGAGCTAATATCTGCTCCAAACAAGGCTTTAAAAGCTGAGTGAGCTCAGATCAACCAGCTGTGAGCAGACTCCCCGTTTATGCAGCGTGACGAGCGGTTTGTTTTCTGTTAAAGATTTCCTCCAGTCTGTCCTGACTTCATATTGCCAAAGCGATTTTCGGTCAGGCTTTTTCCTGAACAGCGCTGTGGGCGGGGTTTACAGGGTTGCCGCACGCGTCTTTTGGAATTCTAGGGTGACCAAGGAAGGTGCCGCCTTTCTCGCATCTGATTGGCTAGATACGCTCTACTACGATTGGCTGAAAATTCGCGGGTGTGGCAGACAGTAGCCTTCGCTTGATTGAAAGCTAAGCAAGCAAAGCAACTGATGTGGATAAACATCCCACTGGTTTGTGTGGATGTGGGGTGGGTGGGGAACAGTGGAACATGTTTTGTGTGACTGCATAAAATATGAGGGAAGTAGAGGGCAACTCAGGGAGAAATTAAGAGACATAGGAGGTGGAGTGATGACTGTAAGGAATTTGTTAAATGGTGAAGAAAGGAATTACAAGTTGGTTGTTGGGTATCTAAAGCACTGTGGTCTGTTGGATAGAATTTAGTTTTTTTTCTCGCTCTTACCCCGACTCACACTCCAGCACAGTAGGTGGCGGAAATGCACCTAGCAGTTAGATGCCACCCGCCATTAAAACTCTAAGAAGAAGAAGAACTGATGTGGATACCTGAGCAGAGGTAAATAATTTGTCTTTGTGAGAAAGCTAACATTAGCTTTTCAAAAGCCACGTTAAAAATGATAGGCATGCCCTCAAATGTTCATCTAATCTGTTGTTTGCTGATGACATAGCTGCCAGTTCAATATACCTACACACACACACACACACACACACACACACACACACACACACACACACACACACACACACACACACACACACACACACACACACACACACACACACACACACACACACACACACACACAGGTGTTCTGTACTTGTTCAATAAAATCTGATGTAATCGGTGTCGTGTATTTTCATGATCATGCCTTTTGGTAACAATTTGGAAATATTTTCATAGGCTGAGGCAAGCAGGATGGAACTGAAGACACATCTTTCATGTGTTTAAATCTGTATATTTAACTGAAATTATTTCAAAGCTGATTATGATTTAGACCTATTTTTCAGCAGTTTTCATTATTTTAGAAGAGAAACTGCTGCACACAGCTGGGTAAAATAGGGCAGTTTTATTATATTTCTTACCCAGGTAAGGCACACACGTCTATCCTATGTACTCTGCTGTAATAAGATACAGTAAATCCTCTAATACAGGCCCGGGCCTGTATTTGACTCAAGCTCATCAAGCTCCAGGCCTTTATTGGAAGGAGGGCCAGTATTAGAGGCAGGCCTCTATTTCTATTTGAGCAAAATGAACTAATGGTTCGCTGGAGTTTTTGACAATTAAAATTGCGCCCACATTTTCAAAGTTAAACACATTTCTTTTAACAACGGTAGTTTCTGCTTCAGCCATCTCCCCCCTCCCCCTGTGCAGAGGCCGCAAACTCACTGATGCGCCTGCAGCCTCTCAGAGATCCTGCTGCTCTAAAAATTAAAATAATTATTTCAGTTTCTGTTCCTCACTTCTGATTACCTTCAATGGTGTCTGTTTGTTGCTACCACCAGGTACAAAAACTAACTTGTTTTTATTTGACTATTTTTCTGTCCTGTCTGTTTATTATCTTCCTGCATCTCCTCTCAATCCTTAAGAAAAACTGCTACCTGGGTTCATATTCACCTTATGAGTTACCTTTGAACTGCAGTTCTAAAAGATCTACCGACCGCAAAAACAGCGGAGTGCTCGCTGCTTGCCGGCCGCATCAGTGATCGGTGCGTCACTGGATGACAAGTTGATGCGCCCCGCTCCACAGCGAAACGCATCAGGCGCAAATAAAAGACAGAAAACATCAAAGGAAATGAACCGACATGAACGATCGCGTGTTAAATAATTTGGCAACACCTGATTGTTACTGTGGCCGTGCTCAGGAGGCAGATCCGACCGCAAAAACACCGGAGCGCTCCCTGCTTGGCGGCCGCATCAGTGATCAGTGCATCGGAGGACAAGGTGTGCCCCGCTCCACAGCAGCGAAACACATTAGGCGCAAATAAAAGACAGAAAACATCAAAGGAAATGAACCGACATGAACGATCGCGTGTCAGTACCGACGCACTGGCAGAGCGCATTGCCCCCCCCAGCGCAGGAGCTTGTCACCTGCTGACAGCAGGCTGCTGTCTTTTCCGAGGGCTGCATCTTGCCGGTCATTATCACGTGACAGCGACTAGTCGACGACAGGCATAAAAAGTCACTATAGTGAAGTCGACTAGTTCATACAACCCCTGCTACTGCTCCCCAGAGTGTTCTGCAGCATAATCAGCACGTTCTCTTTGAACTTGATATCAAATTTTCGCCTCCTCTTCGTCTCCGCACGGTTAAAGTTACCCTCGCGGTCTATCACTGGCAAATCAAAAGTGAGACGATGACACAACCACCCCCGTACTTGCTTGTTACCACATTCCACCCGGCCACAATAAGAGACCGGCCATTATTCACCTCCGCTGACTCCGACACCGGCCAAAATTGGAGACCCGGCCTTTAATTGAATACCGGCCTGTATTAGAGGATTTACGGTAACCTCTGTGCTTTAGAGCCATAGACATAAAGTAAGTCCCACAGTGTAATAAATGCAATAAGATTTATAAGTTCACTTCTTACGTTTTTCAGTTTTTAATCAATGAAACAAAAAAGCTTTTGCAAAACAGGACAGAATGGCGCTAAGTTCTTATTTTCTAAAAATTTTTTAAAAAGATCTCCAAAACAGCTGTTCTGTTGGTGGCAAGAGGACAGTCTGCACCACTTACTAAGGGAAGACGGTTTGCTGCTAAATGAAATAGCCAATCGTAGTAGAGCCCATCTAGCCAATCAGAGGCGAGAAAGGCGGGACCTTCCTTGGTCACACTAGAATTCCAAAAGACGCCGCTGTACACCTCAAACACGGGGACTTAGGTAGCATAGTTTTTTGCCTGTTCATAATAATATGAGATTTATGTGTATATATAACACAGATGTCACTTACACGTAATAGAAATAAGTTACGTTGATATATGCTACGGTATACAGCGCCTTGGGCTCCCTGACAAGGTCGCGGAAGGTGCATTATAAATAAAGCTTTGATTGATATGTCCCTAGCCTGGCAAGCCAGACTAAATAAATATATTATTTAATCAAACTTTTCAAGGCAGGAATTTGGTCTAGTTCACTAGGCTAATATGTCCCCCAAACTACTTACACTTTTTTAAAAAGTGGCTGCAAAAAAATATTTCACCACCTGGTGTCACACTTATACCCTGGCTGTGTTTTTTTCCTCTCACGTGATAATGGACCTACAATATACTGCACTTATTTACTTTTTTGTTTAATGACTTTTTAGTAAACATTTCACCCATCACACGTGATCAATCTGCATAGGCAACTAAGACCGGACCCTGAGGAAGATTGTGGAGAAGGACCGATTCCAGACCTTGGGGGACCTGCAGAAGCAGTGGACTGAGTCTGGAGTAGAAACATCCAGAGCCACCGTGTACATGTGTGTGCAGGAAATGGGCAACAGGTGCTGCATTCTCCAGGTCAAGCCACTTTTGAATTAGAAACAGTGGCAGAAGCGCCTGACCTGGGCTACAGAGAAGCAGCACTGGACTGTTGCTCAGTGGTCCAAAGTTCTTTTTTCAGATAAAAGCGAATTTTGCACGTCATTTGGAAATCAAGATACCAGTCTGGAGGAAGGCTGGGCAGAGGGAAATGCCAAAATGACTGAAGTCCAGTTTCAAGTACTCACATTCAGTGATGGTCTGGGGTGCCATGTCAGCTGCTGTTGTTGGTCCACTGTGTTTTATCAAGGGCAGGGTCAATGCAGCTAGCTTTCAGGAGATTTTGGAGCACTTCATGCTTCCATCTGCTGAATAGCTTTATGGAGATGAAGATTTCATTCTCCAGCACGACCTGGCACCTGCACACAGTGCCAAAACCACTGGTAAATGATTTACTGACCATGGTGTTACTGTGCTCAATTGGCCTGCCAACTCTCCTGACCTGAACCCCATAGAGAATCTGTGGGATATTGTGAAGAGAAAGTTGAGAGACGCAAGACCCAACACTCTGGATGAGCTTAAGGGCGCTATCGAAGCAACTTGGGCCTCCATAACACCTCAGCAGCGCCACAAGCTGATTGCCTCCATGCCACGCCGCATTGAAGCAGTCATTTCTGCAAAAGGGTTCCCGACCAAGTATTGAGTGCATAACTGAACATAATTATTTGAAGGTAGACTTTTTTGTATTAAAACACTTTTCTTTTATTGGTCGGATGAAATATGCATTTTTAGAGATAGGAATTTTGGGTTTTCATGAGCTGTATGCCAAAATCATCAATATTAGAAACAATAAAAGGCTTGAACTACTTCAGTTGTGTGTAATGAATCTAATATATATGAAAGTCTAATGTTTATCAGTACATTACAGACAATAATGAACTTTATCACAATATGCTCATTTTTTGAGGACCTGTATTTGATCTTCTGACATCTATCTTTAATTTAAAAATTATAGGGTTAAGAAACAAAAAAAAATCATGTTTTGGTTTGTCAAACTTTATTTCATTTTTCCTGTATTACAACAGCCTCTTAAGGCTTAACACACATTCATTGTTTGTGACACATCCTTTACATGTAAATCAAGCATTCATGCCAGACATTCAACCTCACAGATAAAGCTTAAAGGAATCCATCATATAATTGTTTACCCTTAAAAAATAAGAGCTGAAGCTGTAAAACGTCGTCAAATAAAACTTTCACAGTGATAGTGCAACTCATCAAGTGAACGTAAAACAATCCCAATAAAATCAAAGAACAGATTAAAACCTGATAGTGTGTTCATGAAACAATGATTCTTAGGCAGTGCAAAGAGAAGCTCAGCTTCTTCGGCCCGTCCCGCCATGAAGACGCTGTTGGTTTGAGGCCTGAATGGTTTTGTAGAATTTCTTTTAGTTTTTCAAAGAACACGCAACATCCATGGCCAGCTGGAGGCTGCAGAGGAACAGAACAGAAGATTGAGAACACAGCGATGAGGGTTACAGAACAGTGAAGTTTAGGTTTTTTTATTTCAACATGAAGATTTGAATATTTTTTCTCCAGACAAAAACACAAAACATTTGAACTGACAGGCCATAAATGCTTCTAACAGCACATTTTATATTGAACAGATTGAAAACTGGTGATCAGATATTCTTTACCGTTCACTGAAATGTAAACAACAAAACATTCTAAATGTGACATATCACTACATTAAAATATCAAATCACTATGTTTTTGTCATAATAAACTAATGAATTAACTACACTGAACAAACTGGGCGTATCGCTGCTGCTATGAATTGCCCAGAACAATTCCATTGGTTTAACTGGGAATATATTATATTGTTATTAAGAAAGCTTTACACCTGGGTCAAAAATACTGTAAAATGCTTTTAGTTGCTCTGTAGGAAACTATTTTTACCTGCAGGTAGATTTCTGATCTGATGATTTTTAAATCTTCAGTGACTGCAGTGAACTTATGGAACACCCGAGTCACGACAAAAACCCAACATAATGAGGAAGTGGATCGTACCTGCCAGCTGGATATCCCCGCTCACACAGGTTCACCAGAGCGTACAGGTGTCTCAGGGCAAATTCAAACTGAAACGTAGAAAAACTTGACATGTCAGAAATGCATGACCAGGTGAAATTCCCCTGCTTTCTGTTTTATTAATAAAACCTGAAATGTCAAAAAGATCCAGAACGGATCACAGCTGGATGAAAGTACTCAGGAACATGCATAGTCCGAATAAAATACTTCCCATTCATGACTGTTCCTCTTCTGAACAAAGAAAATGTCACAAATACGACTCTTAGCTTTACCCAGGCTCTTCACATTTAAAAGGAATAAATTACCACTAAAGTAAAAGATGTCAGCTCACCCAAACCTTTTTATTCTTTAGATTTCTTATTTTATCTACACTTTATTGTAGATTTTATAACTTCTGCATTTATTCCTAGTCATTTTGTTGACGCCGAACCAGGGTTGTAAATGACTATCTTGTATCCTGATGAAACAAGATTATTGCTGACATTTTTAACATTCCACACATTCTCAGTTGTGCAAACTCCTGAGATTTAGTTGCATTTATAAACTTTCTTCTACTTAGATGCAAAACGAACAGAACCAGACCAGCTACATGCCACCAGCATGCTTTTATCCAACTTATGGCGTTTAGTTCTATCCGTGCAGGTGGAACATATAGAAAACTGTAACACGGTTAAATCCGGTAAGGATTTCTGAGTCGGTCTCTCTACGAATCAGCGGATGTTAAAAAGGTAACACGAGTCTGGAACCTGCTGGCTCCCACAACGTGAAACAGAAGAGTTTCCTCTTAACTCATTCAATGCCAATAACGACTAAAGTCGTCATTTGCATTTTTTTACTGTTTGAGCATCAGAACGAGCCCCCGCGCCGAGAGAACAAACATCTCAGCCCTCAAGCCGATCTTCATCCGCATACGTCACAGATCACATGATCAGGAAGCAACACATCCATGTGTTTGGAGATCGTTTTGGGCCGTTCCTGTAAAACAAGTGAGGCGCGAACCGGAAAAGCGTCTGCCGATCACAATTCCACAACGGATTATGAAAGAACGGATAACTCTCGAAACACATGGACTCTTCCTGATGTAAGAGGCGAGTTGGTTTGGCATCGACATCATGCTAGCGCGCAATGTTCTGTGACTCTTAAAAAAACAGTAAAAACGGTGAGAAACGCTGGCAGCGAAGGCCGTTAGTGATCAGGAAACGGCTGGCAGTGAATGAGTTAAGAAGCAGAACCAGAAATGTGAGGACGTTTCAACCACTAGAGTCAGAGTCATCATGGCTAAAGCATGACTCATCAACTAGTTTTACGGTAAACACTGGTTTCCAAATTCCACCATGTCGTGCGGTCCAACCTCAGGTTTGTGCCAGTTGAAGCAGTTGTGCTTATAGTGGTTAACTGCCATCTTGTAGCACTCATGCTGGAAAAGCTCAGCTCTTTCATTCAGAACCTCCTGAGCCGTGATCTTGCTGCCCGTCACAAGCTCGACCACATGGCTCATAGTCTTGGCCAGCATCTCTCTGATCTGAACACACAAACAGAAATCTGTTTAGAAGCAGCTCGAACCATCTTCTCCGAGAGGCTCTGACCACCATCAGTTTAAAACTTACCTTCAGGTGGTTGTTTATCTGCCCCAGCAGGGTCCTGGCAACTCTGATATCATTGGAGGACATTAACTTCCTCTTCAGGATGGCCAGGGGAACATCAGGGCTTGGGGTGAGATCCACATTGGTTTTTGGAGGTGATGTCACCTGACGAGCAGGTGGGCGGTACACTTTGGGATTACCCTGGAACTCAATCACTTTCATGTGGGCCAAAGTCTGCAGACAGAAACAGAAAACTAAAATAAAAAAGGAAATAAACTTTTTTCTGCAACATCACTGCTGTCAGGCTCAAGATTTAAGCTCCAAACACCAAACCTCCCTTTGTGTTTCACCGGGTGGACAGAAACTCAGAACGTATTTGCTGCCATGAACTGGGACTTTTTATGTCTCACCTTGTTGCCAAACTGCTGGACGTGGCTCGTGTTTGTTTCGGTCTTCACAATCTTAAACTGTTTCAGTAGAGTTTCTTTAGTCAGGTCCTCCTGGTGTCAAACATTTAAATGAACACAGTGATGAGAATATTTATATCACATTTTAAAGATTTAGTTTCTTTTTCTGTTGAAGAAATTTCTGTTTTGAGTTCATTCTGACCGTAGCAGGTGGATTCCCTTACAACTAAAGTCTTGTGCATGTTAAAAATAAACTGCTACAGCTGCTACTATTCACCACTTCCTGTTGCTGCCCATCTAAAACCAGTTGTGTTTTAAAACCAGTTGTGTTTTAAAACCAGGTGTGTTGGAGCAGAGAAACAACCAACACAGGTAGGACCAACTCTAACTATGTTTGCCAAACTCCTACAAAATTTCTTTGGTTCAAAAATGTCCAATACCATTGCCCACCTTATCAGAGTCCTCCATCCAGTTCACACTGTACCAATCTCCCAGGTAGGTGTCCCTCTTCTCATCATAGTAGCAGGCGTATGAGGACTCATGGGCGTTAGCTGCAGTGGTGGCATACACTGAAAAACACAAAGGCCTCTAAGTCATGCTGTGTGTTATACACATTAAAATAACAAAGGCTACAGGTGGAAATGTGTAGAGGGAAGCGAAATAACCTTTAGTTACTACGTATAAATACCAGCCCTTGACCTGCTTCAGTAATCCTGTTGTATTGACCACATGATCCCGGCACATGACAGACTAATTATGCTCTAACAACCACAACCCATAATGCTGACCTCAGTAAGAGGCCTACAGACCACAGAGCTAACCTCAGTCTCCTCTTAGCATCAAACAGGATATAAAACAACTGGTTTGGACTTGGCTAAAGCATGACCAAGTGAGTGACCATAAAGCAGCTCAACACCTGATGTTTTCACAGATTTCTGCTAGTTCATGATCACAAAGTTAAACTGGGAAAGGATTCTGATGATTTAAGGTTCAACCCACCATCAATGTCGGAAGGCAGATGGTTCATCATTGACCCAGACTCACATGCTTCAATGTAGAACACCATCTGTGTGTGGTGGGGGGTTACAGTGTTACAGTCCAGTACTCCAGTTCACCTACAGCGTCAGCTGACTGGACTTTAACCACTCAGCCAGTTACTGTCGTGGATGTCAGGTGCAAAGACTTTTGGTTACCTTTTTGTACTTATTATTTTGGTGCATGTAAGTAATGGCATCTTGGAGATCCTTAACTTGGAGCTGCAAAACAAGAAGAGCATTTTTAGACATCTTCATGTTTACACCTGCAAACACAAACCTTATGCCACCAAAACCTCCTGGTAATGATTTAAACATCTATCTCAGGGATTCACTAGTGCTAGGAGACATATCAGTTACTGTCTACTGTTCCTCCTCCATCTGCTAACTCTTCAGAACATCCTGAGCTCCTTTGAAGGAATCTCTTACCATCTTTATGCAGATGACATCCAACTGTACATCTCCTTTAAACCCCATGAGGCTGTTATACACCTGCTTAGACTCTATCAAAACCTGGATGGCTGGGAGCTTTCTTCAGCTGAATGAAGATAAGACTGAGATCCTCATCTGTGCCCCAGACAAGCTGGTTCCCAAAGTCAGAGACTCTCTTGGTCAGCTTTCTTCCCACACCAAACCCTCTGTCAGGAATCTTGGCGTGACCTTTGACCCGGCTCTCACCCTGGATTCTCATGTCAGTTCTCTTGTTCGCTCTTCCTTCTTCCATCTCAGGAACGTTGCTAAGCTGAGTCCCATTCTGTCCCACTCTGAACTTGAGACTGTTCTCCACACCTTCATCTCCTCACGCTTAGACTACTGTAACTCTCTTTTCACGTGTCTGAGCAGAACCTTCAGGCGTGACCTTCACCACCCTCTCCTTATTCTGCTCTTTCTACCAGTTCCGCGTTTCCCGGGATCCACTGACTTCCCTCTTTCCTATTTATTTTCTCTCTCCCTTTCTTTTTAATTAATCACAATTTTTTAACCATTTTTCTTTTTTCTATATTTAAAATGTTTTGTTTGTGAAGTGCCTTGTAATTTTTATCTTGAAAGGTGCTACATAAAAGATCGCTTTCTTTCTTTCTTTCAGTTTAGTTATACATTCACGTTCTGAGCTGCATGCTATTTGCTTTAAAAAACACAACCATAAGCAGAAAGCTTAAAAAGTGCTTACATCATCACTAGGAAAGGCCAGAATTCCAGGCGCCCCATGGTCAGTGAAGTACACAAACACATGATCATTGGGACCACTGCCAAAGAAACAATGAGAAGTTTTTATAAATAAACTGGAACAGCAGATGAACCAGGTGTGCGTGGCTCAGGCGGGGTCTCTCTGTATCACTTGCCTCTTCAGCACTTTTCCACTTCCGCCTTTCACTTTTGACGAGTCTCCCGTCAGCACAGCCAGGAAGTTTTCAGGTGTCACATCCTGCAGTAACATGCAGTAACACAGTTAGCTTTAAACAGAAACAGTATGTTGGGCACAGTGATTATTGCGCTGTAGTCTGCAGTTTTAAACAAAGATTAAATCTGAAGTACAAACTTCTCCCGTGTAGTCCTTTGGAACTCCCTTGTACACGTCTGTGCCGTTTGGTCTGTTGATTACCACACCGGGGGTCGGGTTTCTGGAAACAAAAACATGATCAGAGTCAGTAAAGGAAGTGCAAAAAGCTGACAAAACATTCTGATTATCCGACTGGAGAACAGATGGAATATAATCAGGAAGCAAAAAAAGCCAATAACACTTCAGTTTTCCCCCCCGACGTTACAGTGATCACCAGTGAAACAGTGAAGAAAACCTAGGGAGCACTGAAGAAACGCGAGCATCAGTGAAGCAAGCACAGAGAGATCTGTTACTGTCTGTGTGTGTGTGTGTGTGTGGACGCATGGGCTGGACTGAGCTCCCGGCTGCAGTTTTGTGAGGGGCGGGCGCTCTATGTGACTGGCCAATCACAGAGCGTGAAGACAGTCAGTTACCCAATGAGGATTTTCCTTCAGCACGATTACAGATATTTACGAGTTTTATTCGTTTCATGCTCGTATTCATCAAAAAGGCTCATCCCTAGCTATAACCACCCCGCCCTGCCTCCTCCTCCTTGCTGCCTGCCGGCTGTGAACACAAGCAACAACAGAGTAGTTCCCGCTGCTTCTTCGGGAAACAGCGCAAAAAATAAATATATAAATAAAATCAATAAAACTTGGGATCTTGTCGGCGTGGTGATGGGATTTCAGCCGTGGCAGGCCGCCAAGGCTACGCCTATGTATGGGAAACACTGCTATTCTAGTCTATCTGTTACTAAATGATATGAATATGGCTCACTGTGAAAGGAAAACAGAGAAGGCACTAGTAAAACTGAAATACAAGCAGGATTTTCACATGACTCAACTAACAGGAAGAAAATTACTTTTAGTAAAATGAAGTTCACAAAAAGGAAATAAAAAATATCCCACACTAATGATATAGATAACAGACACAGAAACTAAAACTATTTCATTAATTTAACTTACATTTTTTCAGCAAGCTGTAGCTACGAGAGTATCTGCTAAACAATAACAGTTCTTACCTCTAACTTCACTAATCTAGATTTACAAGGAAATTGTTTTGATCTTGCCTCTGTTGTAATGTCTAACACAACTGGTAACAACCCATCCAAACTACAAGTGGCTCAAAATAGGGCACCGATTGCCCGGGGAGAAAAAACATGCAGGAAAATGCATAACAGACCGGCTTGTTTCACTGTTAAATTTAGGTTAAAGTATTCACGTTTATGAAGAATGCGATTACTACCAAAGTACTAAGAAACCATTCATAAACAGATATGTAATATTTAGCTGTATGATAATGAATCAATATTTAGAAGCAGTGTATTGATTTTTTTTATTGAGAATTCACATGTAAACATTTACTATATTTCTTTTGTGATGTGCAATTCAAACTCCGACTGCTAGGTGGCAGCAGTTTTTACACCCTTCATTCTGACAGAACAGTGATAGGAAACCTAAGTCACGCCCATCTACTTCCCATCTAAAAATGAATGCAAGTCAACGGGGCTAAAAATGCTATTTCCTAATTCCGCTTGTTATGTTCCATGGATTTCACATATGATGTCCGTGAATTTGCAACATATCTGCGATCCAGGGCGTAAGGCAAAGCAGATTAGAAGATAGCTCTTTTAGCCCCGTTGACTTGCATTCATTTTTTTGTTCTTCTGGGACCCATGAGCCGACCGGAAAGGGAAGAGACTTTAGCTTGGCCTGCCAGACTCGTCCTCTGTTTAATTCTGCACAGAGAAAAAGTCTGGTAACTCACAGGCAGAAGTAGCCTGGCAAGCCAGACTAAATAAATGTATTATTGCAAAGCAAGAATTTGGTCTAGTTCACTAGGCTAAGGCAGAAGCACATGAGGGGCGGGACTAGCCAGCTCAAAAATAACCAATCAGAAAAAAGACAGAAATGTCGACTGTAATTTTTTAGTTGTAGTCAAAAATTGCATCTGGCAACGGTGCAAACATCGTTTTTTATTTATTTTTTTGTTAGAAGAAAGGCTTTTAGCGCTTCTACTTGTTGTGGTTTAAAGACATGTACAAGTCATTTAGAACAGAGGAAAGAGCCGCAGCGAACTCTGCTTCAGTCGCCATGTTTGACAAACTCAGCGTTATGGTGTGTGACGTACGCTACTCAGCGCTGATTGGCTCGGTCAGAATTCTCAGGGGGTGGGGTTATTTGAATAAGACTGTTCCCACCCAGACCCTTTCTCTGTGCAGAATTAAACAGAGGAGGAGTCTGGCAGGCCAGGCTAAGAGACTTAGGCTCCCTATAACCTTTTATGTGTCTTTGAAGCTTCTGATCAGAGTTTATTAGAGCCATTGTTTCACAAAATGCACTTCCTAAATTTTCGATGTCAGAAAACAATGAAAATGTTTTCAAAAGGTTAAAGGTTAATTTGTTTACACTAGGTGGGATCTGTAGGAATTGATATTTGGTACTTTTGTGTTGCTAATTCACTTTGCTGGTAATTTGCGGAATTATTTGTCTGATTAATTTTCAAATTCATGACTAAATCATGATGACATATTCAGCTTCTGTGGGTGGATTTGTGTATAAGGGAATATTTGTGAATAAAATGTACGCTGACATCTGTTACTTCTGCAGACTTTTACTCTGACTGTTAGGAATCTCAAGCATGACTCAAAGCTGTCGATCAAGTCAAGACAAATTCTGAGGAAGCACCAGAAGAGTTTCCTCGTGACTTGACTGCAGGCTGTTATTGTGAACAAACCAAGGCCAGCATGCCACACTGATAAGAAAATGCTACAGCAACACCAGGATTTTCTGTGGTTTCCAGATGATTCTGAGTTGAGCCTTTTTACTACAGTCAAACCCTAAAATATCCTCTTAATTATCCCTAAAGGCAAACTCAAAAGCCTGAGAATATTAAGTCAACACAAGAAACGATCAAACACTGATGTGGTTTCACTGTTAAATGCTGTTGAAATATGCTTTTGAGCACTTTTACTGGAAAAAATCGAGTTCACAGTCATGTACTCACCATGTCACTTACTGTCTTGTAAACTTTTTAGCCATAATTTTACATCTTTAATCTTTTATTTTTCCATCCATCCATTTTCATCCGCTTATCCGGAGTCAGGTTGCGGGGGCAGTAGCCTAAGGCGAGAGGCCCAGACTTCCCTCTCCCCAGCCACTTGGGCCAGCTCCTCCGGGGGAATCCCAAGGCGTTCCCTGGCCAGGTGAGAGACATCGTCCCTCCACCGTGTCCTGGGTCTTCCTTTAGGTCTCCTCCCGGTTGGACGTGCCTGGAAAACCTCACCAGGGAGGTGTCCAGGAGGCATCCTGACCAGATGCCCGAGCCACCTCCTGATGTGGAGGACCAGCGGGTCTACTCCGAGCCCCTCCCGAATGACCGAGCTTCTCACCCTATCTCTAAGGAAGAGTCCAGCCACTCTTTGGAGAAAACTCTTTTCGGCCGCTTGTATCCGCAATCTTGTTCTTTCGGTCACTACCCAAAGCTCATGAACATAGGTGAGTGTAGGAACGTAGATCGACCGGTAAACTGAGAGCTTTGCCTTCTGACTTAGCTCTCTCTTCACCACGACAGACCGGTAAAATGCCCGCATCACTGCAGATGCAGCACCAATCCGCCTATCGATCTCACGCTCCATCTTTCCCTCACTCATGAACAAGACCCCGAGATACTTAAACTCCTCCACTTGGGGCAGGACCTCATCCCTGACCCGGAGAAGGCATTCTACCCTTTTCCGAATCAAGACCATGGTCTCGGATTTAGAGGAGCTGATTCTCATCCCAGCTGTTTCACACTCGGCTGCGAACCACTCCAGCGAAAGCTGAAGATCACGTTCTGATGAAGCCAACAGGACCACATCATCTGCAAAAAGCAGAGACCTGATCCTCAGGCCACCAAAACAGATGCCCTCCACATCTTGGCTGCACCTAGAAATCCTGTCCATAAAGGCTATGAACAGAATCGGTGACAAAGGGCAGCCTTGGCAGAGTCCAACTCTCACTGGGAACGAGCCCGACTTACTGCCGGCAATACGGACCAAGATTTGACACCGGTCATACAGGGACCTAACAGCCCGTATCAGAGGGTCTGGTACCCCATACTCCTGGAGTACCCCGCCACAGGGCCCCCCCCGAGGGAAGCGGTCAAACGCCTTCTCCAAATCCACAAAACACATGTAGACTGGTTGGGCAAATTCCCACGCACCCTCCAGGATCCCCCTAATGCCGGGGACACACTGGCCGCGGAAGCGCCGCGAAAATGGGACCGCCTTCATTCGGCGCCCTTGTTAAGCTATTCTATAGACCACATGGGCCGCCGAAGCGCCGCGAAGCGCCTCGCGCCGCCGCTCCAGCTCGCGCCGTGCAGCGATCATTTCGGCGTCGGCTCTATTTTTTTCGCGAGCCGCGGGTGAATCGCGTCAATTCTGGCAGGAAGTCAAACCTAGACATAAGAGGCAGGCCGGTAAAGTTAACAAAATAAAGCATTTCAAAATAAAATTACGCAATCAAATGTGTTCGTAATCAGACACTGCAGAAAAACCACACGAACACACACACATCGAACTTGTTTGCGTGTGTGACCGCGTGAAGGGGTGTGTGGTTTTGGGTGTCTTTTCACGGAGCAAGCAGGACAGAGAGGCAGAAAGTCTGAGGCAAGCAGTTAAGATGGATGACTTTAAATTAATTATGGGAGTTGAGAAACACAAGGAGCTGTACAACCCCCGAAAAACATGGTTATTTATGTACCCATTTCTGAAGAAACTGCTAGGATACAGCTGCAGAATTGGAGCGGGTTCCAAGAGATTCAACTGGCAGAAACAACTCATACTATAGGTTCTCACACACACACACACACACACACACACACACACACACACACACACACACACACACACACACACACACACACACAACGTGTGTCCACGTTCAAGGAAATTATTTATTTATAATATTATTTCACACACGTACGCGCGCGCACAAACACTCAAACGTAGAGGAAAAGAGCTGAGAAAAGGCAGAGAGGAAATGGAGGACACCAAGTGTTTAAAAGAAAAACTACAGCTGAGCCGAGGCGCGCCTCGACTGGGGCGCGTCTGATCTGAACTGAGGAGCGGCGAGCAGCGGCCGAATTTCGTGAGCGATTCGCTTCTCGGCGCTTCCGCGGCCGGTGTGTCCCCGGCGTAAGGGTATAGAGCTGGTCCAGTGTTCCACGGCCAGGACAACAACCACATTGCTCCTCCTGAATCAGAGGTTCGACAATCTGACGGACCCTCCTCTCCAGAACCCCTGAATAGACCTTACCAGGAAGGCTCAGGAGTGTGATCCCCCTGTAGTTGGAACACACCCTGCGGTCACCCTTTTTAAAGAAGGGGACTGCCACCCCGGCCTGCCAGTCCAGTGGGACTGCCCCCGATGTCCACGCGATATTGCAGAGCCGCGTCAGCCAACACAGCCCCACAACATCCAGAGCCTTAAGGAACTCCGGGCGGATCTCATCCACCCCTGGAGCCTTGCACAGAGGAGCTTTTTAACCACCTCAGTGACCTCAGCACCAGAGATTTATTTTTTTTTTTACCGTGTCCTGTCTGGCTGTGAAGCAAGCAGAATTGATGTCTGAATGCTGGTGACAAGCCTTACAGATTTATTCTCAGGTGGAGCATCAAAGCGTTTGCTTTTAATGTCACGCCTGATACTTAAAACTTTATTGTTATTGTTGTTGAATGCTTTGTAATTCCGACCAGACACGGAGACAGAGGTGAAAGAGAAAGGAAGAGAAAAGGTGGAGAGAGAGGAGGGGGGGGTTCCACAAAAATAAACAATGAACAAGAGTCTGCTTCTAAACCTGCAGAAAAAGACAAAAAAAAAAACAAAAGGACACAAAAAAGGGACACAACAACAATACAACAAGATCTACCTATCACTGCGTCAACTTGATGAAAAAAAAAAAAAAACAAAAAAAAAAAAATATATATATATATATATATAATCAACATTGCTTAACTGAAGAATCACAATAATAAATCACAATGCATTAAGTGCCCCCCATAGTCTTAAGACATGTGTTGAACGTGCCCAAGCCCATACTTTTGAGAGCACCATGTGAGCACCTGTGTGTGTACACGCGCTTGTTTATTTAAGGTTTCTCTATAGGAGCGTCCAACAGAGTGTGTGAGGGACCACAGATCCGCCCCCCAAAGATGCGCAGGAGACGGGGGGAGCTCCAAGTCCCAGAGATCCAGGCGTTGCCCCAGAATGCAGGAACCCCAAGGAGACTGCAACCAGAAAGGCCCCCGCCCCCCTCGAGAGGCACAGAGGATCGCCCCGGGGGGCCACAACCAGCAGCCGGCAGAGTCCCTGGAGATATCAGCGGCAAGCCCACAGGCCCGCCCGCAGCCTCCCACCCCTTAGCCGGCCGAGCCCGGGACCCAGCGACCCGGGACCCAGGGGTGACCACCCCCGCCGGGGACCCAGCAGAGCCCAGGGACCCAGACCCCACCAGGCAGCCACCGGGATCTATCAGGCAGATGCCAAAATCTTAAACCCCCAGACCCGGTTGCCACGAACACTCAGGCAGACCATGGCACAAGCCCCCACACCAGGTGTGGCAGGGGGAGGGGGGACAAAGATCTATATCATCAAGAGAAGTTCCAGGAGAGGGGAGGACCCAAAGGCCCCACCTGACATATACAGTCATACACAAACACAGTCACACGCTCCCTCCCTCATGCTCACACATACACATACAACCCAAGACTTACAAAAATGCACGCCGGACGCTCACTCATGCTCCCCATACACACCCTATTCACTCTGGTCCCGGTACTGCTGCACATGGGGTACAACCATCACCGGTAACCAGAGTTTGACCCTTTCTGCTGGGGTGCTGATGAGCAGGCTCCCCCGCCCAACGCTGAGCACAGCAACCCACCACCCCAGACCCCAACCAGACGGCCAGATCTCCCTCCTAGCCTCCAGCCCCAGGAAGCCTAGCAACAACAGAGGTGGCTAAGACCCCTAGTCTCCCTCCACCTGCTCCAATATAGTGTTGTGTGATCATGAGGTGTATTCCATGGCTGTGGTGAGTGGGCAGTGCGGGCATCATCCGGCATATGCCAGCTGATGCCACCGCACCACCCCACTTACACCCTCAGCCATCAGTGTCTAAGTGCGGTTTAAAATTGGAAGTGGGCACCGGCACTCGGGAGGAGGCTGAAATATCCCCCTGCCAAATGCCGTTGAATGTGCTCACTCCCAAGGCCCTAAGTGTGTGTTTGTGTGGAATGTCGTCAGTGGAAGTGTATAAGGTGCAAATAAAATTGGGGGGCAGGTTGCCACAGGAATGCGGAAATGGGGTCCATACCTGCACTCCCTGACTTGCCCACCCCCCAAGGTCCTATGTGTATGTTTGTGTGATGATGTGAGGGAGCAGGAGGAGAGAAATATGCGGGGATGGGGAGGAATGGCTGGTTGGGCTTAGCCCTCCAGGGAGCCAGCTCCCCTACTGGCCCCAATAGGCACCTCTGTTGTCAAACTGCCACCCAGGGCATGGAGACCCCAGCCCATCCTGCCAGGGCCCAAAGCAGCAGCATTACAGAGCCTCACTGAGTCCGAGGGCACCAACCCAGCCCCATCCCAGCAGAATATCTATGCCCACCCCTGCATTTGCACAACTTCCAGAATATATAAGACATGGGACATCCAGGTAAGGTTTGGTCCTCCCCGTCCTGGACCTCCCCCTCCCCTGTGATGGAACGGCAGAGGAGCCAAGGTCTACCTGATGCCCCACCACCAGAGATTTGAGAGGCCAACCCAAAGTCCCCAGGCTCTGCTTCCTCACTGGAAGACATGTTGGTGGGATTGAGGAGGTCTTCAAAGTATTCTGCCCACCGATCCACAACGTCCTGAGTAGAGGTCAGCAGCACACCGTCCCCACTATAGATAGTGTTGGTAGTGCACTGTTTTTCTCCCCTGAGGCGCTGGATGGTGGACCAGAATCTCCTCGAAGCCGTACGGAAGTCTTGCTCCATGGTCTCACCGAACTCCTCCCATGCCCGGGTTTTTGCCTCGGTGACCACCCGAGCCGCGTTCTGCTTGGACTGCCGACATGAAACATAGCTTGAAAGAGAACTAATTAAATTGTTTTCTAAGAACTATCTGCAAAACTACATGGTAATAAAGCAGCAAACAACCACATTGTATTGCAGGAAGAAGAAAAAGCAAACTCACTGCTCATTTTGAGCCAAGTCATCATACATCATAACCACGATCTGCTCATCTGGGATGCCATTCCCGTGGACTATCTGGTAGGCATGGCAGGCATCGGCCTAGGAGGAGGAAAAGCTCATGTCAACTCAACCACAACTATGAGGCTACGGGGGAATAAACAACTGTGAAGGTTAGGAACATGAAGGCGCTTATCTAAAGTTCGAGTAAACGTTATCGGTCAGAAGTCAAAAAAATGAGACACGCACGGTAGTTTATACTGCAGGAGCAGGAGGGAATTGGGACTTCCAGATGTCTGCTCCTCTCACCTGATGCCTGTAGTTGTACCAGCCGTTAGAACCGGCCACGATCAGCACCCAGTGTTTCACATCGTCTGCCTCCGGGAAGGGGTAACCGACAACCAGCCCGAGACCGAGCAGGGCGATGAAGACAAGCTGCCGCATTTTCTCTTATCTTTTGGGGTGACAGGTAGAAAATATTATTTTTATACAAATCCCCCCGGAAAAGAGTAGTCGATGACACCGAGCTAACTTCAAGTTCACGTAATTTGTGCAGACAAAACACACCACCTGACGCCTGCATCACATGATGCGGAGTCCACGCTGGGAAGCTAGCAAAGCCACCGGACAAAAAGCCAACTAAGAAACTTTATATTTTTCAAGTTCAAACAACCTTAAAGCTAATAGGACACATTTCCGATACATTTCCCAAGTTTAACAAAGAGATAACACACATTATTACCTTATTAACGTAGTGTCTGTATGGAGCAGGTGGCAGTGAAACAACTGGATTAGCCTCCCAGTTCCGAGGCAGGGGTATATGAGGCGTTAGGGAAAGCAGGAATTCTGCCACTACAGCCAATCAGAACGCTAGGTGGGCGGGTCTTAACTGTAGTTGGTCATGTGATTTAGAAAGCAAAAGCCATGGGCCATGGCATAAATACACGAGAAGCAGCCTAACCTTTTATTTACCGCTTTGGCATGAACTACTCGTGGTCACAATGCAGTTATTATGAAATATACTATATTCACATTCATGTTATAATGAACTAGTAATAGCAGCACAGCTCAGGGTAACAGCATACAGTAGTTTAGATATTTCAGTTTTCATGACTCATCTTCCTTGTCTGTAAAAATCACATGACAAGTGTTTACCCTGAAGCCGCTTTTACGTACTTTTGAGGTTAGTTATTGACATTTTATTATATCTTCGTGAGGTCATTTTTAATATGTTTGGACTTTTAATGTGTTTCAGCATCTGTTTTTCTGTTTCGGTTTGTTTGTGTCACTTGGTGCACCCTTTCTCTTTAACATGTTTCCCAGAAACTGGGATGGGATACTAATTTGGATAAGCGCAGCCTTATGGATTTTAGGATGGGAACACAGTGAAGCTTTATTGAATGAAAGGCAATTGCTTGGAAACACGCAACTCAAACTGCTGAGATGAAATGTTCTTCAGATAAGAGACTTCTCATAAAAATCTATACTGCTGGACTGCAGCCATCTACTCAGGAGAGAGAGTGTGAGCTGCAGAATGCTATATTTTAAAAATACAATTCAAAAACATTTGTTCCAACCACAGACCAAAGCACCTTTTATTCTTGTTAAATGTGCAAGTACAGCAGCCATGCAACTAGGGTTTTGTGTATATTAGGTACATACTTACATATGTGCTATTGTTTGAGACTGATAAAACAACTTCCTTCTTTACAAGCTCACCTTCTTCCATTTTTTGTGAGAAGACAAAAATAGTGATTTTACATTTTGAGTCACAGACAGTCTGGTGTTTTTTCAGTGATGACCTAGACGATATTTGCATGTATTTATGAGCACCAGAGGTGCCCCCAAAAATTTCATGTAAACTGGTACCTGTTAGCGATGGGACTTATGACTCCTTGAAGGCAGCCATACATTCGAAAGCCATCAAAGAGCCTTTCACGCGTCTCTGAAAGGTTCTCTACAAGGGCTTGGCTCTCACCATTCACTTTGAAGAGTCGTTCAAAAGATTCAACATCACATCACTAGCTCCTCTGGGGATGATGTCCCTTTTAGCTTCATTGTTTATCATTAAAAGACAAAAGGCATCCAACATACCTCAAATTTGAAAAACACAAACATTTCAGTTATGTCAAACATTTGTTTAATTAGAAGTTTATTTTGCGGCCCGTCCCTTTGAACCGACTATGGCCACCTCTGGCCCACCCTTGGGGGTGGCACTGTTCTTCCACTACATACATGGGATTTCTCCCAGAGACCAAAAACATACGTGTTAGTTTTATAAAGCTGTGATTGTCTGAGCAGTGAACTGATGACCTTTGCAGGAACCCTGCTTCAGCTTTTAACTGCTTGCATAGCAGGATAATTAAATCTACATACATGTTTAATAGTGGTGTGCATCTCTACTTGCCTCACGATTCGATCCGATTATCTGCCTAAAGATTCGATTTGAGTCTGAAATGCATCACGATTCTTCACACAAAATTTTTCATTACTTAATAAAAGCAGTAGAATAGTTTTCAATTTCTTTTTTATTTCGATATCCCTGAAAAACAGAACATTCATCTATTCACTATAGTGAGCAACAATTTTTTAAGTGTGCTGCCTATAATTACTTAAATAATATAAGAAATAATGTTTTCTGTAGAGCAGCTTTAAGATAGAATATTACTGAACTTAAAAATAGTAAACAAATACTGTGTTAAGTGATTCTTTCACATCCAGGATCCCAAAACCGAAATTAGCCCAGACATCCGATTTAAATGTAACGGGTACATCTTTGATTACTGGTAATGTTCGTCCTGTATCCCTGTCCGCCTTTTCTGTTTTAAATTGGCGCTAGGGCAACGCAGTGCGCATGTCATTGCAACTCTGCCCTCAGAATTAGCTGTAAAACCTCAAAACTTTATTGTCCTCGCACGTCCAGAACATAGACATAGACATAGGGAGAAAATCTCATTATGTCACGTTGCTGCATCGATGCAGAATCATGCATGGCTGAATCGCGATGCATCTTAGAATCGATCATTTTTCCCACCTCTAATGTTTAACCGGAAAACAAAATGATTGTTTTTTTTTATTCAACTTTAACTCAGTTTGCCTTTGTTTAAATTCTCAGATTGTCAGAGTGTGTGCTGATCATACAGGTGAAACTAGAACATTTTGAAAATTGTAAAAAAAGTTAATTTATGTCAGTAAGTCAACTTGGACTGAGAGACCATCTAAAGGCTCAGGAACCCTTTGCAGATGTTTTAGATTCATTGGCTGATATTAAACCTTTTCACAATATTCTAATTGTCTGAAATTTTGAATGTGGAGTTTTCATAATCTGTAATAATTATAATAGAGGCCTGAAACATCTGGCTTGGCATGGAATGAATCTATCCCATATATTAGTTTCACCTTTTAAGTGGAATTACTGACAAACTTTTGCACCACATTATAATTATTTGAGTTTCGCTTGTATTTAACGTTCTTCTACAAAATCACGGAAAGAGTCAAAATAAAGACATTATTAAATCAAACTTTTATTTTTCCATATAGAAAAGAATTAAGTTAAATAGTGAAACAGTCCATCAAAAAAAGCAGGATCTTTGTTTCATCTGATGGTCCTTAATACATTAACCTTTGTCCAAAAAGGAGAAAAAAAGATGTAACAAAGTGTAAATACTATGTTCACAATAATAAATATTGAAAAGAAAATATTTTATACATAGACATTATATATATTTGTGTAAATATATATTTATGTATAGTTAAATCCATATACAGTAAAAAGTTATTTTCAAGTTTATCAAACAAAAGACATTAAAACAAAGATGGCTGAAAACAGAATAATGATTGCATTTTTTTCATTCCCAAGGCATCTGTAACCATGGCCATTCAGAGTCTGTAATAAATAAAATGTGATATTATTTAGAGATTGTAGTGCATCACTGTAAATAAAAAAATAGTGCAAGTTTCTTAGCGCAAATTAATCTTGCAAAATTCAAAGGAATCCTAAAAGGAATGACAACAATCACGCAGAGATTGTGGAGGACAACATCGTCCAGTCTCTGACTTTGTGTCCATTCTGCACCACAACTTCCTCTACAGTCTTGGCAGCCAAAAAAAGAAAAAAAAAAAAAAAGAAAAAGTGTTCACGTGTGTGAAACATGGCAAATATTGAACAAACTTATTTGGCAAAATATTAAAGGATTTATAAAACAAAAGCTAAATCTCCACACGGTTCTTACAGTCAGCTTTGTCAGCCCACCCCCCCAAAAAAAGTTTCTGCTGATGTAATGCATAGAAATGAATCATCATTAGCAAGAACTAAGTTAACATAAAGGTTGTTTACTGTCATGCAGCATTTCTGAGACGCGATGCAAGGCAGATACTGTGGATGGGTGCTGATGCAGTAAAGCATGTCGGAGAAATGTCTACTCTGCTTATTGTTGCATGTTTCCCTGGCTTCCATTCCTCCTCGGCATCAGGAGCAGAGAGGGGAGGAGGAGGAGGAGCAGCTCCCACTTCCTGTTTACCTGCAGGCTGAAGTTTCCTGCTGAAGGCAAGGAGGGTCTGGCTGCATCCTAAGAAGAGTGTGTGCGTAGTGTGTGTGTGGGGTGTTTTTGCTAGGCTCAAACCTCTGCACCCAACTCAATGATACCAGTCTCAATAATGGGAACTAGCTTATCGTCCACCTGTACCAGCAGGATGGTTTTGTTGATATGGGAGCGGCTGACTGGTTCTCGGCTACAAGGCACCCACCGGTGAATCACCTGCAGGGGTGGGGGAGCACAGAGGGCACATTAGTGATAAAGAAGGGTTCAATCAAATACGAGAAGCATTAATTACTTAAAGCTCTCATTCACTTGTTTTATCAAAACATCTGCAGTCTGAAGGAAAGTCTTGTGAGTAATTTTCTGTGAAAAAAAGGCCTGGAGGAGTTCTGCCGTGCGGTGGAGATGCTAATGCTAACAGTTAGCTTGCACTAGCTGCGACATGCTCGGCTCTCTCCTGGACGCTAAACCAACAACAGCCTTCCCCGCCGCGAGTCAAGATGAGTGAGTCCATGAATGCTAATTTTCAGTGTGACGTAGATCTGTCAGGCTTTTCTAATCTTAATATTTCCCTGTCGATTTTCCATTAGAAGCAAATGCAGGAAGTAGGAGTAGAAGACTTTTTTCATGTTTAGCCTGTATGTTAAACTCAGAGTGACCGATCCCAGATAAAAAACCATAAGGAAAAAGTCCCGCGTAACCTTGGCCGTTAATGAGGAAGTCAATAGATACCGAATCATAACAGAGGCTTTCTCTTCTACATTTTAATGAGAGCGTAACTTTTGTGTGCATAATCTTATGCTATGTTCTTATGTCCTGTGTCCTTGTGGGCGGACCACCCGCAATTTAGATGCTCCTGCAGCAACTACAATAAATTCAATTCTATTCTATTCTTTTCTATTCTATGCATGGCATAATTCTGTTGGTGAACAGTTCAAATTTGCAATGAGAACATCGGAAGAAATGTAAAATTCTAAAACTTTACTTGAAACATGTGGATGCCAGTGTGTTACAGCTGTTAGAGCACACTTACATGTCCTTCCATGCCCTCAGCTGGGCTCCAGTCTCTCCAGCAGGTCCGTCCTGCCCTCAGTCTCATGGTCTCGTCAGGCCACTGCAGCTCCTTCCGCTTCGGTAGGTTGATGCTCTCCAGCACCTGACTCACATCCACAATCTGAGAGACACCACAGAACCTCAGCAGTGGGAAGGAAATGTCAGAGAGAATGCAATAATGATGCCCTACGGCCACACACACACACACGCACGCACGCATGCACGCACGCATGCACGCACGCACACACACACACACACCCTAACAGGTCTACAAACCTGTACTCTGTAGGAGATGTCATCTCTCCGTACGGTGGAGACAGTGGGGTTGTGCTGCTGTGGGTGGTAATGATGGTGATGAAGCTGGCTAAGGGGATCTGTCACGGTGCTGCACACACCGTCATTGCCCAAGAGGCCCACCAGCGTGTGACGTTTACACGGGGGGATGCTGTGGCTGGAGAGGGAGGATGAGGGGCCGGCTGGGTCAGAGCTGGAGCCCAGCCGGAGCTGCAGGGAAGTGGGCAGCGTGCGCAGAGACAGCTGGCTGGTGGAGGAACGGCGGCAGGGCTCCAGGCCGGTGGCAGAGGTGCGCAGGGAGGAGTGCCGGCTGCTGCTGTAGCGGTACGATGAAGACTGGCTGACCATCGAGGCTCGGGCAGGAGAGTGGCGAACCAAACCAGACTGAACTGACTGGGAACTCTGACTGGTGCCTGGACATCAAATCAAATCAACTTTATTTATAGAGCACTTTCACATGGCCAAAATGGACAAACAAAGCACTGTACACCAATAAAATGCAACACAATAGGACAGAGATAAGACCATTAAAATATATTAATAAATCCACTAAAATACACAAAGAAATCCCTGTAAAGTTAGGAATTTAAAGCACCATACTTCCATTATTTCTCAACATAAAATGTTGAGTTGCATGAATTCCTTTGATGAATTTCTGAAATGGACCACTGATCTAAAAGTCCTCACCCAGAGAATGTGGTGGATACGAGTGCAGAGGAGCAGGTCCAGAGGTTCCGCCGTGTGACACCGAGCTCTGATGAGAGTCAGCGCCTGTCCCGTTTCCGCTGCCACACGACAGACCGCCTGCGTCTGAATCCTCGATATTCCCTCCACTGTTACAGCCTGCGCCGCAGCCTTTCCGTAACCTGTGAATAAACCAATTCCTTCATTTAACCTCAGTTTACCCCTTAACAATCACGCTCGGACCAAAATGTCACCCAATTTTTATCTTTTCTCAGTTGCGCTCCCAGAACCGTAGCAGCTGAGCTCCAAACCTGTGCCAGGTGCCGACAACAAAGTTGCGGATGTTCGCGATGCTGATGGGCCCCCCCAGGACGTGTCCGAGCTGTGGGTGTGAATTGCAGTAGGATGTGGTCAGCGGAGACACGTAGATGGGATAGCCGATGGGCTGGTCGCAGGAAGAATTGATCATGTTGCGTAGAGCCTGCTTGGCGTTTTGGATGCTGCCCCGCTCTGGGTTTCTGTTCCTGAGAAACACCAGCTCCTGCTGCTGTCCGGCCCAAAGGCCTCGGACACACTCTTTATTCACCTACGACACAAGATCCCACTCATTATTCTAGAACAAGAGACCATTGCAACCTTTGAAACAGTTATCTCAGTCCCACCTTGATGACCCGAAAGCTGAGGTATCTCCGATTGAGCATAATGATTTTGTACTCGTTTGTGCCTTCATCCAGGACGTGGCGCAGAGCGAGGAGCGACGGGGAGTTGGACAGCACCGCGCTCCTCCAGGCTGGGTCGCCCTCGTGTGCGATGACCAGGTTCTCCTGGTGGGAGGAGATGGCCTCAAAAAGGACAGCTGGCTCATCGTACTCATCAGGGGACGTGAAGTGGTCCTGAGAGAGACGAACAACGATCAGATCGTCCCACGTCAGTTGACTTAAAGAGCAAGTCACCCCTTACAAGAAGCGTACTTCACTCCCACTTCATGTTTGAAAAATGCAACAAATGCGGTTGCCTAGCAGACCGAGAGGGTGGAGCCACTAACAAATACACACACTCACGACATTGTGACATCATAATGTACCAGTTTACATCATAGCATACCTCTTAGCCAATAGCGGTGGCAGATTTAAATTCAAATGCAGTGAAGAGTTTTTACCTGACAACGGCACAACACTGACAGTTTCAGGCAGAAAATTTAAATTTTAACTAAAATGCACTAAAGTGCAAAACTATTGACTACACGTGTCTGCAGCACGATTAGACACACATTTATATAGTTTATCAGAAAAAAATAGCTGATTTGGGGGTGACTTGCTCTTTAAAAGACGATCTGTTCATTTCTTCCTTCACAAACTCCTGCAGCGTCTCACCTGGTGCAATTTAAGAGACATCCGGATTCCAGGTACAACGACCTTCCTGAGCAGTTCCATGTCTGCGAAGATCCACTCGTCCCGCACTGACGAGATGCGGAAATCTCCTTTAAATAATGCATGAAGTCCATACAGGAAGGACTCCAGGTTGCTGGGTAGGAAAGCAGAAATAAATCACGTCAGCTTCATTCATTACTCTTTAAATACCAAGAGCTTCGCTTGCATGCATCACTAGAAAGACCTGCAAAAGATGAGTGGCAGAAAAGATTTGCTCGTCGCTATAAAGATTAATAGATAACCTGGACATGTGATGCGCAGCCGTTCCCAGAGCTCTCCTTCCCAGCACACAGAGGCCGAAGCAGAGCAGCACCAGAGACGAGTCCTTCTCACTGTCCAGTGGCTACAGGGACAGAGACAGGAGACACCAGTGTAACCTTCTTTTATGTCTATTACTGGATTAAAACAGAAGAATAATCCCTCCAGTCATCTAAATTAGCCTAACTACTCAGAGGCAGAGATGAATTACTGATGCCAGCGGTACCTTGGTCCTTCGAGAGTTGCAGTATTGTATCCAACTCAAGTAGACGCCACAAAAACTGTCCCTGGAGATTCCAGCGAGCCGATGGTCGTAATCCTCGTCAATGTTGGGATTAAAAGTAGGATCCAGGTCGACATAGTTCCTCTCTCCACACCCTCTCAGACCCTCTTTCATGGTCTCATTAGCCAGCCACTCCTCCAACTTGGGCGAAGCAACCACGTAGTAGATGATACCCTGAGTGCAGGAAGAGATGGTACAGTTAGTCGTTTAACTCAGATAATCTGAAAAACAGACTGTGAATCTACGAACCTTGACGTAGTAGGTGGTGAGGATGCGTCGCAGGTCAAACACCTGAAGCATGGAGGCGGCGCTGTTGTCAGTGATGCTGTAGCCCTCTAGAACGTATTTGGTGACCAGCACCTCCCAGGAGAGCCAGCGCTGGCCAAAAGCAGCATTGAATGACAGGACGTGAGGAAGATGACCCGGCTCGCAGCAGCAGCAGCCCTCGTCTTCCTCCACTCCTTCAGTGATTGCTTCCACCTCTCGCTGCTGACAGTAGGTTCCTGAAGACGGGGAACAAACTATGTAATAATATTCCTGATCTGATGCAGCCCGGCTAAATCCCTAACCTGTAGAAGCCAGCAGATTTCCGTGGCGGTTATCTAACCCTAACCCTACAGAGCTTACTGTAGTGGTGACTTCCTTGTTTGTCAAAATAAAAACCCGTTCATGCAAATTCAACATTTTGTACAAAGACAAAAGTTTAATTTACAAAAACCTGAAAGTTGCATTTTTCTACAGTTTGTTCAGTTTGACAATAAACCACCATAAAACCAGAGGCCCACCCTGGGCATGCTGGTCCAACACCAGTCCCTGTAGTTATAGGAAAAGGCCCCACAGTTTCCCATTTTTACAAAGAAAAAAGCAACTAACCAAAGATTTTAATGACTAGTAATCCACAAATAAACCTCGGAAATGATCCAGTAGTACAAAGTAACCCAAGAACAAGTTGTAAAACTAAATAACACAATGAAGAATAAAAAGCTCCAACAATTTACTAGAACAACTGGTACTCACAATCATTGTTGTACCAAATGCACAAATAACATTAAGCTGCACACTGGCATGTTAAAGAAACACTACAAAAAGAAAAGCTCACAAAACTATTCAGGTGTACTGATAAAGCTGCAGAGAGAAAAGTGATCATGCTCAAAGGAGCGCCTGTTTTCTGTAGAAAGGTCAGAGCATCACATGCTCAGCAGGTTTGTTGTTAAAGAAACGCCTCATTTACCGTCACAGCCAGGTGTTTCCCACAGCCGCAAGAATCCGGAATGGTGGAATGTTATTTGTCTGAGACTGCCAAAGAACTGGCTAATAATGCTCATTTAGTTTAATCAATCCAAACTTCTGTTTTAATCAAAGGGTAAACTGATAAACTGTATAATTGAGTGTCTAATAGTGCTGTTTGACATGTGTAGTCATCATTTTGGCATTTTAGTGAACCTTATATAAAACATAAATATTCTACATAAAACTGTCAGTGTGGCGCCCTCTTCAGGTTAAAGGTCTGCATTTGAATTTGAATCAGCCATGGCGATTGGCTAAGCAGTGTTGTGTGATGTTAGCTGGTACCATGTCACACAGCACCCGAATCTTGGCCATACCTCCAGCTGTCTCAGCACCGACTGCCTCGGCGACCCACGAGCCATTACGGCTCCAAGCCGCTCGCCTCCTCCCAAAATCCTTCCTCCTCTCTTCCTCTGGTGAAGGAGGCTGAGAGAATTCACCCAGACTAGGAAGCGCGCTGCTGTTTCTCCATCCGAGCAGTGTGCATGTTTGTGTTTGTTAGCGGCTCGATTCTCTGCCAAGAATCTTCGAGCAGCTGGGTTATCAGTCACTGCAGCAGCTCTGCCCTCCTAGTATGCCAGGCGACGCCTCTACTGGATGTGAAAGCGGCGTGTAACGTAATAGTGGAAGTTTACCCGCGTCTAACCGAGCGTTCCATGCCGGTGGTCCCAAAAAGTCACAAAATCACAGGAGAGTTGCAACCCCACGCGTGATGTCAGAGGTCCACACAATAACAAGCAAGGAGGAGGACGGATGCATGAATCCAAAATGGTCCGGTTTATTTTCTGTTTTGTCGGGATTAGGAGTTTCACAGGAAATGACGTACGTTTATCTGCATGTGACATTTTTTCCAGATGTTTTACACTGCTTTCTAGAGCTGTGTATTGATTCAAATTTCAAGAATCGATTCGATTCCGATTCTCAAGATTTAGAATCGGTTAACGCGATTCGATTCGACACACCAATTCGGGTGAGTGAATTCTTCTTTTTTTCCCCGTTACCTTAATTACACGACTATGTAGTTGTGAAGCATAATAACACTATTAACATTCAACAACAAATGAATGAAATATTGGCTATTTAAAATGGCTGTGTGGCCCGATCCTCTCAGAATGTAGCTTTTCACAAACATGCTGTCAGACAGAAGTGTTAAACAGATCCAGGACAGCCAACAGAGGAATTGTCAATAACTGCATCAATGTACCCCTATTGGAACACGAACCTAGGGTATTATTAAAAATAAAACATTAAGAATTCATCCAAAAGCTGTAGCTGCACGCGCGTGTTGACATTCTCTTGAATATAATGATTATTTGCTCCAAGAAAAGATCCCTGTCTGGACCAAAGATGGCTGTGATACCTGGAATATTCATTTGATTAAGTGGCACACTTGGACTTCCATACATAACACGTCTGCGTTTTTTTACGGCTTTTTTTTACATTCCTGCTATGTGTGTCATCAGTAACAGTGTTTTAACCATCCTTTCCACATCCACCAAGTACCGAACAACAACATTTAAGCTCTCTTAGCCTTCCTTTCTTCGTGTGAAGCACAGACGCTGATGCTCCACGCAGCAGCATCACTCTTTCTGACTGGATGAGTGCTGCGTTCGTATCATCCTCTCGTCCTCTCACCAACCAGAGGCTCCTAGCGGGAGGCGATTTTCAGACTCTTAAAAACTCTGAAACTCTCAACATAAACACACCCATAGGAGGTGTTCCTCAGACTGAAGATAGACATCTGCACTATATTCTGGTGCAAAGTAGTAACTTCCTGAGGGGTCATATTTGCAGCTGTGGCTCATTAAAGTCAGCAATGACAATTGTTGCAAGTTTACGACTTTGATGCTTAAAGGGTTAAATCAACCTTTGGACGTAAGAATCGATCCTCATGAATATTTATTAGAATCGATTCAGAACCGGATAATCGATTTTTTCAACACAGCCCTACTGCTTTTGTGATTGCTTCCTGTCTGGCTGGATCTACGCTGCAGAGTTTGACGTGCATCCATTGGTCAGTCAGCTGTAGATGTTCATTTAGTGGAGCCTTTCTGAGTTTCATTCAAATCTTTAAAAAGTAGAAAATAACTTAAGACTTATCAAGCAAACCTTGAACTGCTTGCTTCCTAAACGCTTTAAAAATGAAGCTAATCATGTTAGCAGCTGCATTAATGCCATTACTATCGTTAGTCATCAAAATATAAGTGCTTGGATGCACTGACCTCTGAACTCCAGCCCTCGAAGCTGGAAGGTGACTAGGCCGTTACCGATCTCTATAAGATGCACCAGAGCGTTCAGGTAGTCAGAGGCCAGGATGAAGCAGTCCCCGGTGCTGAAGTTTCCCCAGCGGCCCAAGAGGAGGTCTCCACAGAGGCTGTGCTGCAGTGAGCGGGTAAGGTGCTCGTAGAAGATCGAGTTCAAATTGTTATCATCTGAGCCTGTGGAGGGACACGAGCACACACTCCTGTAGCAGACACCACTGGAAACCTCTGGTCAAAGCATCTAAATGAAACCCACCTGGGTTTCTGTCCAGCTGAGACGCCAGCCGAGTGTTAGAGTGATCCACTCTTTTGGTGCTGGGGGAGGAGGAGAGCAAATTCAAATCATTTGTTTTATATAAAAAATTTAAAAATATATCTATTTTTTCCTTTTTCCTCGTACTTGTAGTCCCTCTCCCAAAATTTGACAGGGCGGACATAAGAGGTGATGAAGATGGCGCTTCCCAGAAAGGGGTTGAGGGGAGTGGAGAAGACAGCAGACACTACAGCTTGAATGAAGAGCATGGCAGAGTCTGTAGGAGCTCGGGTCAAGGTCGTAAGCTAATGTTACATGTGAATAATATCCTACTTTTATTCAAGAGAATAATTTGTGCATTTGAGAGCATTAATAGTTGTTTTCATGCTCAGACCATGCACTGCTCTCTCAAAGATACCTTAAAAGTCCCTTCTAGCATTCATGTGTTTTACTGACTCAAACGTCCCTCTGGAGCCTCCTTCTGCTCTCTGCTGAGCTCAGCAGTACAAGACCTGAGCATAATCCACAACATACAATTTTGATTAAAGGCAGAATCTTAATTCCATAATTTGACACCATTTAAAACAGATTTTAAGAGCCCACTAGCAACTAGTGCTTTAGTGTGAAAGGATACGAGGCACAGCAAAGGGCTGAGCAAAGGCGTGAAAGGCTGAGCCCCATGTGATCTGCCATGGAGCGATGTAGGTGTAGACAAAGTGCAGCTTGTAAAACAGCTCCCACAACTGACACAAGACAGCAAAAACAACTGTTTAATGAATGTAAGCATAGCAACTATTATCTAAAGCCATGTCAAATGAAATAAATCTATAAAAGCTACAAATCTTTTCACAGACTTTTAAACAAAACTAAACTAAAGCGTGTGTCATCAAGGCAGTGTGTACTTCTCTCACCTTGCTGAAAACGATGGACATGAGAAAGAGGTCCAGCAGCAGCGTCTCGGACAGGTGTCGGTAATCGAAGGTGAAAAAAAGGACGGTGAAAAGGATGGACACGTACTGGTAGGTAGGACTGCTGTAGGAGGAGCGAAGCAGCTTCAGGCCGGCTACTGTGATCATCAGAGCTCCAACCCTGGGAAGGACCCACAGAAAACACCCCGCCTCAGACACAAGTCAGATCTCACCTAATAAAGGGTAAATATTAAACCTTAACTGGGTGTTTGGTTGTTGTTTTTTTTACTGTGTTTCTGTATAAAATTTATGAATAAGTTCTATCTTACTGTAGGAAGCTACCTGAACAGCCACAGTTTGAAGAAATAGTTCCTACAGGACAAACAAGCTAACGGCTAACTAAAGCGTATTGCTGCCAATGTGAAACAACTTTATTCATGTTAACCTGAACATTATTATTATTAACACAGATTTACATTAAAAGGTTATTTCTGAGGATAAACAGCACCAGTAGCAGCAAACAGTAGCACTTCCTGTGCTTTCTAGGGCCAAGTCTGGCAGGAAATTCTTCATATTTCTGCCTAAACAACAATAATGCAAATGACAGAGCATGAAATGCAATGGAAATTTGGAGCTTGGAGCTGTTTAACAACTAAACAATGCACTTTATTCTTAGTTGCACTTAAACAAACCGCTAGCTTGTCAGTCCCGTAAAACCTGAAGGCTATTTCTCCAAGCTGAGAGTATTTTATCTTATTATTCTATGCAAGTCAAACAGAAGAGAGGGGAACAGGATCTACTAAATCTGAAGCAGAGTTCCAGGGTGAAAAAAAAGGTGAATCCTCACTCTGTGTCAAGTTTCTTCGGACTGGCGAGCTCTCTAGCGCTGCCGCTCAGCTCGTTCAGGATGACCAGCGGATAGAGGATGTTCTTTTCCACAAACAGCAGCCACACATGAAGCTTTTCAAACCACATCACATGAGCTGCGTCTGAGAGGAGAGCAGGGTAGCGAAATTGTGTTTTCCAGTCTGTATTTGTTAAAATTGCTGACGCATTAATGATAGTGCTTACCTCTGACTTCAAACTGATAGTACTCCTTGGTTTTGAGCAAAGGATGGGAGAAGCAGTACCAGGGCAGCTGCTTGCGGACCTGAGGCAGCAGGTAGTGGGTGAGCAGGCCCACAGAGCCCAACAGAGCATACAGGACGTAGCTGAGGAAAGGCTGAGGAAACAAAACATCTTCCTGTAACGAGCTGGGTTGTAATTATGAGCGTTTATTCCTACTTCAGACTCCAGAGCTAACACGCGTTCTGTACCTGAAGGGCTATGAACACTGTGCTGACATGGATGGCAAAGTAAAGGACAGCAATGACCACACAGACGATCAGGTCCGACTGCAGGCGCTCGTTCTGCAAATAAAACCAAAGAAAAGATGAGAATTAGGAAAAAGAGTTTTATCAATGAAAATTTAATTCCATCAGATATCAGAGCGCTGACTCACTACGGAGGCCCTCAGCTTCTCTGGCAGAGGGTCGTGTACTTCTGAGAAAGGGTCTTCTGGGTTCTTGTCTTTGAAACTGGGTAAGATCTTGGACTGTATCAGCGAGCTGAGCAACAAGAGGACCAGTGATTAGGTTTTTATACTGTTGATCCTACACATGTCTGAGGAGCAGGGCTGGAAACGTACATGAGGACCGAGGGGTCGCTGCTCTGTCGGCTCAGGTGGTAGGATACTGCCACCAGGAGGCCGCAGAAGACAGAAAACAACACGGGGATGTGGTGAGGCTCCCAGCTCTCCTGAATCACACAGAAACCACACTCTAAATGTTTGACCGACACCAGTAAAAGTATGGGGATGAGTTAGACTGAGCTACCTTGGAAATGCATGCCCATAATAACCCCCGTTCATAAATTATGTACAGCTAGAGCACGCTGCTGGAGGACGGAAAACCCAAAACAGCAACACATTTCATAAACAAAACAAGTGGGTCAGGGTTTAGCTTTACCTTTAAAGCTCCGTAGCAGAAGCCATACAGCAACGCCACCGTGACAATGCTGCGCAGGACGCTGTACAACGCTGCCAGAAGACTCGTGGATGCTGCAGAGAGCACAGAGAGGACACCGGCAGTGAGACGAGGCAAACTGACAGGAACCGGACTGGGCAGAATGCTGATCTGTTCAAACCCACCACACACAGTTCAGCAGTGTGTAGGAGTGCCCGGTGCCTCGTCTAATAGAGGTCAAAGTCACCCCTGCAGATGAGCAACACATCTACAAGTCACTCACCATTGCCCCCGAACACATGGATGTCCAGCTGCTCAAAGAGGTACATGACGAACGTGTTGACTTGTGGCAGCAGCCCCATGAAGAACACGATGGGAAAGCACAGTGTAAAGACTGCAGAGACACAGCGGAGGGGACATTCATGATGAATGTGTCTCAGAATACATCTGGGTTAATTCTGGAGGAAAATTACATGTCAGTGGTGTTTATTCTTTACTAAAATAACAACTTTTTCACTTCTCTGTTCTAGGAACAGCATTCTTTACTCTGATTACTCTAGTGGACACACCATTACTCAGAAATCTGAGATGAGTTCAGTCAGATTATTGAATTTATCGCTTCCTTGTTGTTTCCTGTGATTGAAAACTGAGGACCGAATTCTCAAAAAGTGGAGATTTTTTCTCTGAAGTAACTTTAATTCATCTCACATCTTATTCCTTGCATGCTGACGGGTTATGGCAGCTCTGTTATGAGTCTAATTCACTCTAAACATTGATTTGGTTTATTTTGCGTTTTTGCTTTCATTGAATGTAAGATGTATATTTTAATTTCTCAGTGCAAAGCCAACAGCAGTGTAAAGGCTTTTAACTGTGCTGGTAGCTAATATAAAGGGCAGCAGTTAGCTTTTTCAGTTCACTGACTGTCAACAAAATGCAAAAGAAGAAGATTTTTACTTTTTTGTTGGCAGCACGGCAGAGTGTGGAAGTAGAATTAAGAGAGTAATGTCTTTGGAGGAAAAGTAAAGAACTAAAACCAGAGTGAACATCAGCGCTGCCTACACTCTTTTGAGGGAGCTAAAGAAGGCTAAGAAATCACGGACTGATGGTGACCTGGCTTTGTTGCTACTGGACTTGTAGTAATATTATTTTTTGTCCAGCAGTGTAGATCTTTTAAACTTTGTGGCTTATTTAGTATCAGTTAGCTCCTGTTAGCATTAGCTCATAATTAGTGCTAGATTACAACTGTTGTAATTCTGTTTTTAACCAATAGGAGGCAGAAACTTATTTGGTGCTGCTTTAAACCATGGACATTACACCCTTTACGTTAAAAGGCTTTTGACAACAAAACTGCTTGATACGTTTTTTTAGTAAAACACAGGAAGATCTGAAACTGAGCTGAAAATAATTACAGGTGCTGGCCAGTAAATTAGAATATCATCAAAAGGTTGAAAATATTTCAGTAATTCCATTCAAAACGTGAAACTTGTACATTATATTCATGCAATGCACACAGACCAATGTATTTCCAATGTTCATTACATTTAAATTTGATATTTATAGGTGACAACCAATGAAAACATCAAATCTGGTATCTCAGAAAATTAGAATATTCTAAAGGCCAATGAAAAAATGTTTGTTTCTCTAATGTTGGCCAACTGAAAAGAATGAACATGAAAAGAATGTGCATGTATAGCACTCAATACTTAGTCGGGGCTCCTTTTGCCTCAATAACTGCAGTAATGCGGCGTGGCATGGACTCGATCAGTCTGTGGCACTGCTCAGGTGTTATGAGAGCCCAGGTTGCTCTGATAGTCGTCTTCAGCTCCTCTGCATTGTTGGGTCTAGCGTATTGCATCCTCCGCTTCACAATACCCCATAGATTTTCTATGGGGTTAAGGTCAGGCGAGTTTGCTGGCCAATCAAGGACAGGGATACCATGGTCCTTGAACCAGGTGCTGGTGGTTTTGGCACTGTGTGCAGGTGCCAAGTCCTGTTGAAAGGTGAAGTCTGCATCCCCATAAAGTTGGTCAGCAGCAGGAAGCATGAAGTGCTCTAAAACTTCCTGGTAGACGGCTGCATTGACCCTGGACCTCAGGAAACAGAGTGGGCCAACACCGGCACATGACATGGCACCCCACACCATCACTGACGGTGGAAACTTTACACTGGACCTCATGCAACGTGGATTCTGTGCTTCTCCGCTCTTCCTCCAGACTCTGGGTCCTTGATTTCCAAAGGAAATGCAGAACTTGCTTTCATCAGAAAACATAACTTTGGACCACTCAGCATCAGTCCAGTCCTTTTTGTCCTTGGCCCAGGCGAGATGCTTCTTGCGCTGTTTCTTGTTCAAGAGTGGCTTGACACACGGAATGCGACACCTGAATCCCATGTCTTTCATGAGTCTCCTCGTGGTGGTTCTTGAAGCGCTGACTCCAGCTGCAGTCCACTCTTTGTGGATCTCCCCCACATTTTTGAATGGGTTTGTCGTCACAATTCTCTGCAGGGTGCGGTTATCCCTAGAGCTTGTACACTTTTTTCTACCACATTTTTTCCGTCCCTTCGCCTGTCTGTTAATGTGCTTGGACACAGAGCTCTGCGAACAGCCAGCTTCTTTAGCAATCACCTTTTGTGTCTTGCCCTCCTTGTGCAAGGTGTCAATGATTGTCTTTTGGACAGCTGTTAAGTCAGAAGTCTTCCCCATGATTGTGGTGCCTTCAAAACAAGACTGAGGGACCTTTTAAAGGCCTTTGCAGGTGTTTTGAGTAAATCAGCTGATTAGAGTGGCAGCAGGTGTCTTCTATATTCAGCCTTTTCAGAATATTCTAATTTTTTGAGATACCAAATTTGGAGTTTTCATTAGTTGTCACTTATGAATATCAAATTTAAATGTAATGAACATTGGAAATACATTGGTCTGTGTGCATTGCATGAATATAATGTACAAGTTTCACGTTTTGAATGGAATTACTGAAATATTTTCAACCTTTTGATGATATTCTAATTTACTGGCCAGCACCTGTATTTTAAAAGAATAATGGGACATTTAGATTTAATTTGGTAAAGTTAAACATTGGATCAGCGCGCCACAGGGCGTGGCTGTTACCTATGACGAGGTCCCTGGCGGAGGCGAGCACCAGCGAGCTGGTGAGAGCCACCCCGTACAGGGTGAAGCGGGACGAGTCGATCCTCAGACTGCCGTAGTGAAGAAGCCAAATGAGGCCACAGCACAGGCAGAAGTAGACCGGCCGGCTGTAGGCAATAATACGATTATGACCCTGTAGGGACAAGAAATGATGATATAAATGGACCATTATGGAACCCGGGCTTTCTAATTCTGGTTCAACACTTAAAACACCACAGACCTCAAAACAGGCAGAAGAATTTACTTTAATTTTTATATTTTATGTCCATGTTTTTACAGCCTGATACACAGAAGCCCTTCGCTGCAGTAAAAGATCATTCTAACTGAAGAAAAAGCAAATTCTGTGATATCAGTGTCACGTTAGAACTGGAGAGGGAGCGGCGTCGAGGCTGTGACCTGCTCTGATTTTCCCAGAAAGCGGCGTTGACAGTTTATACACCAATAATCAGATTAAATAGTCCAGGTTTTCTTCTTTTTGTGGACAATCTCATGAAAGAGGAAGAAAGAAGACGTTCATGTGAGCAGAGGAAAAGGGAAAACGGGTGAGGGGGAGAGAGAGTGCTGTGGTCTAAAGTCTCAGCAGCTATTTACAGCTCGTGCCTGCAGCCGAGCAAGAGCTGCGTTAATAAAAGACGCCGTTTCAGAGCGAGCAGTCCACTGACGCAAAGGGGAGAGGAACTCAGAGTCACAGGGGAAAAGCAGCATCATTTTCCAGAAGCAAGAAGAAAAAAAAACAGCACAAGCTGCTGAAAGTCCACACTTTAAGGCTTTCACGAGAAATGTGTTTTCTAGTCCAACTACTAGATGCTGAGTTTTGCCCAGAGTGAGAAAGTAAAGTGATTTAAATGATAAAGACTTACATGTCTGGGGGAGGAGGAGTCTGGCTGGACACTCTGTAAACAAAGAGAACGACCCTGAATCACATGACTGGTCTGTTGGAGCTGCTAGATCAGGGGTGGGCAATCCCAGTCCTCGAGGGCCGCTGTCCAGCAGGTTTTACTTGTTTCTCTGCTTAGACACACCTGGTTTGAATCTACTAGTGATTAACAGGCTGCTGCAGAGCCTGATGAGCTGCTGAACAGGTGATTCATCCAGGAATCAGGTGTGTTGGGGCAGGTAAACAACTAAAACCTGCTGGATAGCGGCCCTCGAGGACCCGGATTGCCCACCCCTGTGCTAGATCAACCAGCCGCTTACCTTCAGTAAGGAATACTGGCAACTTGCAATGACGAGGCAGAACTGAAAGACCCAGATGTCTGTGAAGAACCCATGGACCAGCAGCACAGAACCCAGAAAGGCCACCAGGATGGCCAAGACCACGGCCAGCACGTTCTCTAAAACCTCTCGGTTCCTGAAAAACACAGATCATCATCATCATCATCCTCTCTTTTCCTAATAAGGACCATCCGAACTTGGATTTAAAATATAGAACAAAAGTCAATAAACAAGGTAGTATGAAAAGCGACCCACGACTGAGTGTTTACTTTATTGAGTTTGGCACAAGAGCGACGTTTGATTGTCTTCTGGGAGCAATCGGAACATTGGAGCGCTCAAAAACTCAGCTCAGATCAAGATCAACTCGGCTACTTGTGTGTGTCTGAGATGCTCTGACCAATCAGAGGCCTCCAGCTGCTGCATCCGTTACATGGGACTAAAAAGGCCTTTTCTAAAAAGTCAGCCATATTTGGTCAGTTATATTTGTTTTAAAAGTACAAATGACTATAATTTAAGAACTTTCGCTCTAAGTCTCATGTTAGCATGCAGCGTTCCATCAAATGCTGTAATCTTGGTTTGTCTCACCTGACATGACCTCTGTTCTATAGAAAAAGCTGCATTTGAGCAGAAATACGAGGGTCTGCGTGGACTTTTCTCTCAGAGATCTGATCCCAGTTTCTGCTAAAGGTTTTTTTCCTTTCTGCCTAAATGTTGCTTGCAACTCTTTCTCAATATCTCAATATATCCAGTGTAGATGTGTCAGTTCAGCGTTTCAACCAGAGCATTTTCTTAAACTCGGGTCATGTTTTTACTAATAGTTCATTGTAAAAAGATTAACATGAGGAGCACCTTTTCTTGGCTACCTGACTCAAACTACAAGATTAAAACCGTTTCCACTTTCAGTATCATCAAATGAATCAGAAATCTTCATCCATCCCTGTGTCCAAGTTTCTATTATGTTTCTGCTTTAGAAAAACAAAATAAAAGCCCTGGAAGCTCCTGAATGCTAGCTGGAGGATACAAACACGGCTTCTCAGCCATTTACTTAAGAGTTTATTAATGTTTTATTGATTCGTAACAATTATTAACTTTGGTGATAGTTTAGGCCAAATATGCCATTGATAATCATTTTGAGTTACTTTGATTTCCTTAAGGCCACCCCAGTCCCAACTTTAGAAACCAGAACGTGTGTTTCATTTATTCACAAGCAGAATTAGTTTCATTTTTCAAAAGTAGGATGCAGATTAGGTACCAAAACAATATATGAAGCATCAGCAGCAAAAAAAGGACATTGGTGTTCTGTGCTGCCCTACCTGTCGAACAGAGCCAGCAGGGTGAGCCGATCAAAGTGCAGGCCCACCCACAGGTAAGGGAGGAGCCACAAGCGGTAGTACTGCTTAGCTTTGTTAGCAGTAGCAGAAACTGCAGAGGTCTCTTGTCCCTGTGGAGCATCCTGGAGCTCTGGGCTCAGATCTCCATCCTGTTGCTCCAGTAGCTCTGGGTCCATGGTCAGCAGCCGGTTCAGACGAATCTGAGGTAGGTGACGTGTCACACACACGCACGCACGCACGCACGCACGCACGCACGCACGCACGCACGCACGCACGCACGCACGCACACACACACACACACACACACACACACACACACACACACACACACACACACACACACACACACACACACACACACACACACAGTGATTTCTGACCAAATATAAAACTCAAAGGGAAAGTATTTTTTTAGCGCTTATACAGAAGAAACAGATTTGATGTTAGAAAATAAGACTTTTTATTAGAGATGCACTTTTTTTATCTCTGTTAGGAGAGTCAGTACTCTGTTTACTTTTGTGGTCCCATAAATTGAGATGATTTATGTTTGAATCTGCTGATAAGAGCGCACTTGAATGTAATTTTTTCCATACTCAGAAATTTGAGATATTCTCATATTTATTTTCTAAGTTGATAAATGAGTACTCAGGATTACTCATGTAACTTGTTTCTACACATACTTGAAAAGTATTTGACCGTATTATTTTCAAAGCTACTATTAGGTAACTACAGATTTGTTATATTTTACAAGGTAAGCAAAAATAAATGTTGCCTTTTGGTCAAAAGATTGTTTCTGTTTACAGTTTTAGAATCACCTTATTTTACATGTAAATTTGCATTTTTGGAGCATGACCAGTTTAATGTCAAATAAAAATGTCCCATAGCTTTAACTAACTTGTACAACAAAATAGTTAATTCTGGAGCTGACACTCTTTGTTAATCCTGATTGTGAATCGATTTAAATTGAGAATCGAGAATCAATTCTGAATCGAATCTGCACCCCAAGAATCGGAATCGAATCAAATCGTGAGTAGCTCTAAGATTCACATCCCTAGTTTTTATAACTGATTGCAGGCTAGTTTAGCTCTGTCATGCACGCACACGCACACACACACACGTGCACACGCACGCACGCACACACACACACACACACACACACACACACACACACACACACACACACACACACACACACACACATACACACACACACAGAGACTCACCAGGTCATGAGGGTAGAAGCGAACTGAGGTAGAACTGGAGAGGTGAGAGTCTGTATCCCTGCACAACAACACACAAAAATACTAATAAAGGAAAATCCTTCAGCCAACAGACACTAATATGCTGTTTGTTTAAATATAAACGACAGGTCAGATGAGGTGCAGCAGAAGAAAACAAGCTGACAATGAAAGAACTAATCACATGAAGCCAATGTGCGCTTTAACACCAACCATAAGTTATTGGAGGCTCGTCTGGTCGCAGGTTCAAAATTAACGAGGGACATCACACATCCGCCAGCCTCGTATAAAGAGGGAGTGAGCTTTCCTAGAGGACAAACAAACAGCGTTCAGCTTCATCCGTGGAAGTAAATTCATTACACCTCATGTTTACATACAGAACATTTGATGGCTTTGGCAATAATGTGTAACATGATCATCTGAGCTAAACGGATTATGGAGTTCAAGAGTCTCCTCCCAGAGAGGCTGTCATCATCTCCTGCTCATCTATATTCCACAGCAGTATAGTCCAGCTGGTTCGATCCATGATGTAAGACACATATGTCAGACTCAAGGCCCGCGGGCCAGATGCGGCCCATGGAGCATTTTTATGTGGCCCGCGAGATAAATCTCAAAAATATATTAAAACTGGCCCGCTGGCCGATTTTACCGCAAAGACTTCAACTCCCATGATGCTTTGCGGCGTTAGCGCAGAGCCGAAGCGCCCCCTCCTTTGTGTTTTTTCCAGCGCCTGCTGCCGGTGTCTGCAGCTCCGCTGTCTCGGACAAACTACACTCCTCTCACTCAGCGCCGAGTTCACTCAGCTATTTTCTGACGTTGAAGCCCAGAAACGGACATTTTAACCTCTCAGTAATGTGTTCACGACTGAAAGAGAAAGTTTTCCAACTAACGTCCAGACAGAGCCGATATAACTCCAGCGAGCAGCGACACGCTCAAACCAGCACGGCTCTGTGGTTGCTGTCGTTGTGTTTCCTCCCCGACACACAACAACGTGGTCAAGCTGCTCAGGCATGTTCATCAGCACAAACCTATGTGAGCACCTGTTGTCATCTAATGTTGTCATTATTATGATGAAGATGAACAAAACGACAGGAGTCTCCTCCTCAGCTCAGATCAACCCCATGATGCAGGTATCTGGCTGGAACAGGTGAGCATCACAGTAAACCAGTGGAGCAAACTGAGCTTTAAATATGTTGGTTTTATGCTCTTTTTCTGCTCCAAAACATGAAAGTTAACAGGTGAGATGTTGCATTTTCATTTAAGATAAAATGATATTTTTATTTTGTTGTTGGCCCGTGAGAAAAGATTTAACCTACAGTAAACAGGAAGTGGAAAGGCTGCAGATAGATGAATAGAATAGAAAATCCCTTTATTGTTCCTCAGTGGGGAAAGCTAGACGTCACAGCAGCGATGACACTTATCACAGGAGAAAAAAAGGAGAATAAAAAATAAGAAAAATGAATAAACAAGAAAACATAAATCCTGAATAGATTATAAAAATGCTGAATATACCACAAGTAATGAATACCACTGATGTGTTTTATTTGTAACTGACTTGCTCGTGTGTAATTTGGTTATTCCACATTCAGTGTTAATGCAGAAATATGTTTGTTTCCAAATTTAAAGGTTCAAAATTGCATATATGTTGATAAAGAAAATGTGCAAATTTGCCGTCACTTTTTCAAAAAATATTAAGTTTGGCCCTCGACTCCATCCCAGAGTTTCATTTCTGCCCCGTGTGGGTTTGACACCCCTGATGTAAGATAAGATATTTCTGTTAACCTAAGCTAAATACATCCAAGTTCCAGTATTTAAGGAAGTTTACTATAAGGAAATTTGAGGAAAGGATTTTTTTCCCATCATGCAGCTGGGCACAGATGTGCCGTGGAGCATCAACATCAACATCTAGTCTCGTGCACATCTTCTACATTTATGCTCACGGGTTCTTGACATTAGTACAGTCAGTGCCGTCAGCTCAGTTGGATCACACTCTGGTGACCAAACTGTAAAAATCTACATCCCATTCAGGTCGAGTGTTCCTACAGACACGACAAAAACCACCCACAGGAAATGGAGCGTGGATAACGCCGCTGGGCTTCAGCTGATTACAGCAGTAAACCCACCGTGAGTAATGGTGCTCAGCTATGACCAGCTTCCCTCCAAACTGTAAAAACTACAGACAGATAAAACCAAAGCAACACCAGCCACACAACCACCACCCCACAATCTACCACCTTTCCAACCAGGTGTTGCAGTAACAAATGTTTTCTGTGGTTTAACGTTTCTTTTTAAAAGGTGACAGACTCAGGGGAGACAAAGACTATTTCAGCAAGCTTCACAAAATGGCAACTTCTGTGGTGTCACACAGGCAGACACAAGCCTAGAGATGGAAAGAAAAACTGATGTACAGAAATATTCTGTGTTATGTTACTGAGTCCATATTTAAAAGCAGTGTATGGATGTTTGTTATTGAGAATTTACATGAAACATTTAATGTATTTCTTTAGTTTGGTGCAATTCAAACTCTGACTGCTAGGTGGCAGCAGTTTTTACCACCTTCATTCTGATGGAGCTACGAGATCTCACGATAAGACTGGATGTGTCATGGAAGCGTCTGGCCTGAGTTTTCAAATTAAATTCATTCTAAAAAACTGCATGTTTTAGCATCGTAATCATCTCCCCTGCACTGCGATATTTAGCATACTGCCAGATTCTTGCAAGTACACAGACTACATCGATTCTTGCAAGTACACAGACTACATCGATTCTTGCAAGTACACAGACTACATCGTGGAGGTAACTAAATCAAACCTGTAAAACTGGATTATGACGGGATTGTTTTCACCCTGTCAGTCAACCCGCTCCCTACCAAAGTCATCCTGTAAGCTGGTGGCACCAACAGTTGAGGCCTTGTCCTGAGATCCCTCCAGGTGCATGCTTCCATTCCTGGCCAGTAGGGAGACGCTCGCACTCAGCACCGTCACCTGGGATGGAGTTCTGGATGGCTGAGTCTTTACCAGGGATGTAGAAGGCTGGGAGGCCTGGCTGAGAGCCTCCTGAAGACTGTTGGAGGAGAAGGGCCCGGAAAGAGACATGGTCACCATAGAAGTAAATTTAAACTCTAAAACATAGACGGTATGGAGACTGAAAGACAGCGGGGATATCCAATGAAGAAGGATTTTGTGAGTTTATTGACCCTTGGCACAGAACACGCTTGTTTTTCCTGGCCCAACAGTTTTCATGGCTCAGCATTTAGAAAAGTGACCTTGGAAGACAGAAAGAGCCGAACACAGATCCTCAGATAAAGGTAAGTTGCACAAAACTGGAGCAGTAAAGCTACTTTAAACACTGTGAGACCAAAAAACTGTTGTTTCTTAAACTCTTCATTAAATCTAATAACCGCCATGAAATCCAGATTTGTTTTAAATGCAGAAGAGACAACTGGTTTAAAGTATTTAGCTGGGAAAATGTGGACAAAAACAGCTCAGAAACAACGGGTCTCTGCACACCAACCTGCGTCATGCACATACCTGAGAGGAGACCCGATGAGAGAAGTGGGAGGGGTGGGGTTGCTTCCTGCGTTGTGCCGGCGTCGTACGGCCTGCCGTCGAAATGTGCTACGTTCTCGACGGAAAATGACCGTCTCCTCACTTCCTGGTGCTGTCGTAAGGAGAGACATCAGCCAGTTAGCTCGTATCTGCTACCCGGAAGCTTTTGTGTGGATGACAATTTGTACTCCCGCGTGGCGTGCCGGGTTTCACCTACATGTCTGGAGTCTAACAGTCGCATATATCTGATGTGACAAATTCTGACTTCTGGTGAGAAGTTTTAGTCCAAGATCACAGCAGCTGCATAACAAATAAAAGCTCCACGACAATAAGGGCTGACAGAACAGCAGTAGAGTAGAGACTGGTGGGTCAGACACGAGTCATCACAATCCCATCACTTTCTTCCCTCCATCCCGGTTTTTCTGAGTCGTCTCTCTGAATCACCTCAGGACACTGAAACGTGTTTTCCTGCTGCACTTTGATGGATATCAACTGTAAAAATGTGCATTAAATACTTCATGTTATCTTTTCAAGTGGTCGTAGTAATTCCTGTTATTCTTTGGGTTCTGGCTGCCGATTCCCTCAGCGTGTGGATAAAACATGAGCAGGACGGTTAAAGGGGTTATAGTAGTCCTATGGTCGGTACAAAATATGTTCATGAAGTTCTTTGCGCTAGGTCCCTCTCACATAAGGCCATTTCAGCAGTTTTATTCTTGACAGTTTAAGTACCTTCCAGAATGAGCTGTTTAAGGGCTCAGTTGCTTTAAGAAAATATGCCATCTGGGAGGGGCTTGGAGTAAAGTTCCTGCTCTCTCTTGCATGTGTGACATCACAAATGGAGACCTTTGAAATGGCTTGTTTTAGGTCCATCCATCCATTATCGTCCACTTATCTGGGGTCGGGTCACGAGGGCAGTAGCCTAAGCAGAGAGGCCCAGTCCTCAGCCACTTGGGCCACCTCCTCCAGAGGAATCCTTTGGGTCTCCTCTCTGGTTGGACGTGCCCGGAAAACCTCACCAGGTAGACATCCAGGAGGCAACCTGACCACTGTCAGAGCCATCTCAACTGGCTTCTCTTGGTGTGCAGGAGCAGCGAGTCTACTCTGAGCCCCTCCTGGATGACCGAGCTTCTCACCCTATCTCTAAAGGAGAGCCGAGACACCCTATAAAGAAAATTGTCGCGGCCGCTTATATCCGCAAACTTGTTCTTTCGGTCACTACCCAAAGCTCGTGACCATAGTTGAGGGTAGGGCTGGACAATAATTCAATAACAATATATAACGATCAATAGACGTATGGCGGGATAGAAAAAAAGGGTAAATAAAAAGTTTCCTTTGTTTTTCTATTTTAGCCTATCGGGTAGCTTAATACTAGTCAATACTTACTCCCAACCAATCAAAAACACAAACCTAGGCCCACTCTGGCACCAAGTCCTATCCCCTCAAACCAAAACAGATAGCAAGATGTTCCAGCCAGGAGTGGTGGAGGAAACTGTCCTGTAAAAAGGTTCCAGTAGTTCACCAGCACAGGGACATTTTGGTTTTTACACGTCTGACAAAAAACAAACCGATGTCAAGAGAAAACATTACAGAGGATCGATTCAAAATCAAGTTTGGTAACATAACCAACATGTTTTATTATAAAGTAATGACATTAATTAGCCTGGGCTACATTTAAAATATATTTTTTATAATAACCAATAATCATAGTTATCGATCAATATGAATTTTTTTTTCAATATGCCATTTTTCTATATCATCCTGCCGTAGGTGAGAGTTGGAACATAGATTGACCGGTAAATCGAGAGCTTCGCCTCCCAGCCAGCTCTCTCTTCACCACGACAGACCGGTACAACGCCCGCATCACTGCAGACGCAGCACCAACCTGCATCTTTCCCTCACTCGTGAACAAGACCCAGAGACACTTAAACTCCTCCACTTGGGGCAGGACCTCATCCCTGGCCTGGAGAAGGCATTCTACCTTTTCTGACTCTGTTTTAGGCCCATAATAAATAAACTCATACCCAGACAGGTTTTATTTCACATCTGGGGTGATTATAGAGGCAGTAGAGACCCGCATGGTTGCAAATGGTAAGTTTTGCATAATATGTCCCTAAAAACCTAGAAATCAAAGCAAACACATTTGCAGAAATAAACCATTAGCATCCAAAAACACGGACTTTCTCTTGGCTATATGGTCCTCATGAGAAGGGTGTAAATACACATCTATACAGCAGGATTCAGTCTAAAACATTAGTTTTCACATTTCTAGTTTGATTCTGCCTCTGTGGGTGATTACTCTGAAGCCACATCAGGAGTTTAAGTTTAGGAAGTTGGGAAGGGAAACGTCTGTGAGCCTCAGCGCTTACGGCACTAATAAGGTGGCATCTGTTTGCCTAACCCCAGCACAAAGCACTCACTGTGCTGTCATACTAATAGTGATCTGCTCAGGGAACACTTATCTCAGGTCAGAAATGTGACTCCATGGAAACTCACCATGGTTACACAGACAAAATGCAACGACCAGCACTGGTTGTCTGGAAAGATACCCGACATTTAGAGGACGGCACTCAAAACAAACCCGAGCTTGTTTTAGTCCAACAGAAAGCAATAAGGGATAAACGATGTGCAGCCAGTGTGCTTAGGCAACTATGCTAATGATTCACAGGAGTGAGTAACCATTAAGCAGTGCTAACCGGGACCGTGAGTGGTACCTACCCCGTAGGGAAGCAGCAGCTGCATCCTGAGGATCAGAGAAAGCCGACTGATTGGGCAGACTGTTTCTGGAGCGAGTCACAGATTCCAGCTGAGAGGCCCGACCCAGCAGAGACGCAGCATCCAGAACTTCCCCTTCTTTGGCTTCCAAGTCCGACTTGGAGGTGGTGAGGGGCCGGGGTCCAGGCGGCGCTCCTAAGCGGCTGGGGTCATTAAGGCAAGCGGCGGTACCACTATCCAAACTCAGCACTCTAGCGTGCGTTTTGGCACTACCTGTGCTGGGTGTTCGGCGGGAGGTGCGGCGCTTCCCTCCCGTTCGCACCCCCGTTACAGATCCTCTGGCGCCTTTCGACGTGGAGGACGAGGGCGCTTTGGCTGCAGCATGCTTGGCTTTTGGGCCCCTAAAGTGGCCCTCTGGGGAGCGGGAGGTGGCGCTAGATGAGCTGTCTGTACTTAGATGGTGGGTGGAGTGGAGGCTGGAGGCACAACTGAGTTCACTCTGATCACTAGAGTCACACTCTCCTCCACCAGTAAAAACGGCACTACAGGGTTTCGCCATGCCGCGGGACGACAAGTAGTCTCTGTGGTGGCTGGCATCAAAGCTGCTCGCTCTTTTCTTCCCAGCGTGCCGACGCCCGCTGCGCTCGGTTGATAGAGACAAAGTCCTCTGAACAACGGTATCCGATTTTATCAGAACATCAGGTTTTGTTTGCTCCTGCCCTGCTCCAGCTGCACCTGTGCAGCCGTCGGCACTGGTCCTGATGCCGGGCTCACCTGTGCCTAATCCAGGGTCCACCAGTTCCTGGTCTGTAGTTTGTTTTGCAGTCTCGTTGGCATGAGGGTTTTTGTTAGCCTCCCTGGAGGGAACAGTGCTGAGACCATGACAACTGATGCTGCCCAGGCTGGGAGCCCTGCCGCCTGCAGGAGCAGGTCCAGCCTCGCCTCTGTCCCGCGCACGCTCATCCCCTGAGAGGGACATAAGGCTTTCCACGTGTGTCGAACTGGTTTGTTCACTGTGAAAGCTGCTGACTGTGCTGTTGGTGTCTCTGTCCGTGCCACTGCAGTAGCTCTCGGTGGAGCCGCTGCTACGTGTACTCAAACTCTTCAGGCTATCAGCACTTCGCTCTCCCCTGTGGGACCGTCCTCCTCCAGCAGAGCCTCTCCCACCACCACTCACCTCTGCCTGGTAAAGTCCTGAGCTACCCTCCCCTGCCTCCCTGGAGGCCGAGCGAGTGACTTTGTGCTGTTCTTTGTTCCTGTGACATTCTTCCCCAGAGGTGGAGGGCACAGCTGGGTCCTGCTGGTAAAGCTGCTTCCTGTCACATATCCCCGGCTTGTGCGGCCGGGCAGCCTCAAGCTCACACACTGGATCAAGGCCACCTCTCCTGGGTGGAGGATACAGAGTAAAGTCTGGGAGACACGGGTCGGGGAAAGCAGAGCCCGCTGAGCTAGAGGTCCGAGGCAGGCCACGAGAACGGATCTCTTTCCTAAAGGTCTGAGATTGCACGGATGCCTGAGTGGTCGCCTCTGTGTCACACGATGAGTGCGACAGGCTGAAGTGGAAAGCAGCAGAGGTGCACAGATCAGCAGGCTCTCTGGACAACTCTGAAGGACACAAGGAGGTGGATGGCTGCAGGGAGGCGAAGGAGTCATTGTGAACAAGGCAGTACATCTTAGTGTCTGACAGCAGGTCTGAAAACAGGAAACAGAACAAGAACATAGGAAAATCGATATCTTCAACAGCAAAAAGCCATCTTGTTTACACGAGGGTTTACCATGATCATGACTGCAGCTCTCCACCAGCGTTAAACTGAGTTCATCTGAGATCTTTCCTACATCTCCTGCAATGATAGTTAGGAAGCAATTAGGAACAGTCAAGCTTTATCAATTATTCATTTCACAGTCAACACTGACCCAGGATCCCACACGTGACCTGGCCTCTACAAAGAATAAAGAAACCGATACCCGCGCCTCATACTTAGAATCCCTTCTTCCAGGAAGAGGCCGTGGTTGTGTACATGCATTAGTCAAATAAAAACAAACAACTGTTCTGAGGAGATTCCTTGAGAACCTTCACGATTGCTCAAGATCGTTTAAGAAAAGCTTCACAAATAAAAACAAGCTATTTTCACTGGTAAAAGATGGTTTATAAAGAAATTATAAACCATCAACTAATCAGGATAACTGGGCTGAATCATCACAGATCATAATGTTTTTGTTCTCCAGGTAAGTGTCCCAAAGAGAAAGTCTCTGGCTAAGTTGTTTGTTCTGGTTCTGACGCTGCTGCCTCCTCTGTGAGCCGAGGTCAGAGCAATGCTGAGTCAGAGAACATCTCCTGGGCAGCAGGGGACCGTGGTCAAGGATGTGGCCACCCCGCACGAATTAGATTGTTAAACCAGACGTTTCAAAATGTGGATAAAGCAACACTAAAGCAGAGGTTTTATTGTTTTCAAAGTGGTCTCAGTGGTTTGTGAGCCAAAAACTTGATCAAGCTCACATTGGACCGCATGTTGTAGCCTATCAACACATCTGCAGCGGTTTCTAGCATAAACAATTGTCTTGTGCGTCAATCTCTGTAGAAAAAATAGCTCTGGCGCTCCTGTTTCAGGAAGTAGACATGAGCCAGAGGAGAGGGAGCTTACGACAACCAAACGTTGATGTTTTATCTCCATAAATAACATAAGTCTAAAGAAGCTCTGCCATGTTGTAGAGCTGCTAATGTTAATGGTTAGCTTCTACTAGCTGAGACGTTCTCTGCTGTTTTGACTCTAAATAAACAACAGCCCTCTGCGTCATGAGCCAAGATGGGTGAGTCCATGAATGCAAATGTTTAGTGTGACCTAGAGTTGAACGTCTTTTCCAATTCGAGTTTCCTCATCTATTTTTTATCGGCAGCTAAAGCCTGATTTATGCTTCTCCGTCTGCGTCAGTGCGGAGACACGCAACACCATTATCCGTCCTTGCGTAGGGCTCCAGCAGGCATGCAAGTACGTATGGAGTCGAGCCCACTTTTTTAAGCATCCGTCGAACGAGACGGATTACACAAGCTTGTGATTGGTCAGGACGCTGCTGTTGTTTACAGCGCCGCCATTGCAAAGAGAGCCGAGGAAAACTAGCGGCAGACACGGAGAAGCTTGAAGAATATATCGCGAAAAAACTCTAAAAATATGAACGTTTCATCCTCCCGTGACTGGAGGAGTGAAAAGATACGCAGCAAACGTTTAATTTGTGGACGGAAATGACAGGAAACGTGGGTTTAGAGGTGGGGAGCGCATGAAGCGGTGGGAGAATGAGAGACAAATATGTCCGTGTTAAAAGTCTCTTATATACACAAAAAACACAATATAAACACACTATCTTGGACCGATACATGACAGGATACCACAGAACAGCGCTACGCCCTCTGTTGTCCTGCCGGGCAATTGCTTTGCAACACTCCAGGAGACGGAGAAGTATGAGAGCAAAACGCTTCCGTCAATCCGTGCGTGTCTGTCCCTTGCGGAGCTGACGGAGAAGCATGAACCAGGCTTGACACAGGAAACGTTTTAGCCTGCTAGTTAAGACACCCAGTTAATGGGTAACATAAAAAAAACAACATAATAAAAACATTTTCTCAGTGAACTTGCTCTTTAACACTTTTGTGGTTGGTGTTAGCTCGTTGCTAACGCTAGCTACAGCAGGCTGCAGCAGGGTTGTTTACAACAGTTGTAATGCTGCTTTCCACCAGTAGGCGGGAGGGGAGAAGCAGGAAACTCATTTAGTGTTGCTTTAATTAGTTCATTCTTTCACCTTCAAATGCAAAATGTTACACCGAGTTTCTGGTGAATGATCTCAGATTAGCTTACAGAGTGATGAGTATTTACCTTTGACAACGGCTGCTCTTCCATGCGCAGATGCGATCTGCAATGTGTAGAAAAAGAAAGTAGGTCAAGTTGTTTGGCTTAAAAAAGGGGTTCGGTCTGCTGATCTCAGGGATATTCATACGTAGCAAAAGCTTTTATAAAATCTGTGTATTGTGATCAGCATGGAGCGCAAAATCCAAAAGAATGATTTCTTTCTGAATTACCAGCAGTCTGTGTTTGTTTACAATCATTAAGGAGAAGACTTTTGGACTCTGCCAGCTCGCGGCAGCAGCTGAGGCACACAGCCTGGCTGATTATTAACTCAAACGCTGCTCTCGTGGGACTCAGAGGTTAAATATATCCCAAAGAATACAACAGCGACGAAGCTATGAAGATCAGAAAAAGATTGCTGCTCACAGCAAGATGTGTGAGGATCACACCTCTGTCTCACCCTGCACACACGCACACACACACACACACACACACATGCACGCACACACACTCCAATAGCTGCTGCCTTTATACAAGCAACGAATAAAGATTTAAAAGGGACATCGATCAGGATCATTTTTATGTCCTCGACAGCATTCTGAACTCGCATCACATCCCTAACTGACATGAGCAGACAACTGTTCAATCACAGACCCAGCTCAAGCTCAGTTAGCTAGCATTTCAACCTTTATCTTCACCTGCTTTGACCTTCAGATCACGCTACTATCTCTGCACTTTATCAGAAGGAAGATCAGCAACAACGTGTCTCTCCTAAAAGGAAATAAGCTAATAATTCTCACCCAGAATCCTAAAATGAATCTGACCAGCTGTTCTTTATTATTATTATTTTTAATATTATTTCCAGTCTGATCTTAGGAAATGTAATTTTTTTTAATGCAACGTCGATGTTTCAACACTAAGAGCGGATCTTACTCAGTTACTCATTGAGACGGGCCTGGTTTGTTTAGTAAACATTTCAGTCAACAGTCTGAACCAACCACACGGGCCAACAGGCGAAGATGGATGAGGATGACAGCCAATCAGAGCTTACCTGGTGAGACTCCATCCCAATGTAGGAGTTTCTCGAGCTGCAGTCCACTGGTGGGGTCTCTTGTTGGATGAAATCTGACATTTCAATACCCCCTCCAGGATCCCTTTGAAACACACACACACACACACACACACACACACACACACACACACACACACACACACACACACACACACACACACACACACACACACACACACACACACACACACACACACACACACACACATTTGTCTAAAACAGTGGAAAAAAACACATCCGTGTCTATATTTAGCCCAGACATGCTGGTTTAACTAGCCTTCACGCTGAACCAAAACATCAACAAAAACTCCAGAGATGTAAATCGTCAGATTAAAACAACACCTTAATTACTATCAGCTTTGCTCTGCTGTACACTTAGATAACCTGATGTGGAGGCAAAGTTGGGGCGGCAACTGTCCCTGCGGCTGGGCCTCGTTTATCCGCTCGTCTCTCTGGAATGTGAATATGAATCGTTTCTGCGATTCTGAGGCAGCAAAATGCTGAATCTTCACAGGTTCCTGTACCATTATACAGGCGCTGAACAGTAAAGGAGCACAAACTGGACACCAAGGACCCAGATTCTAACCTTATGCTTAAAAGATGGTGATCACTTCAATTTGGTCAACTTTAGTCTAGATTGTTGACATTACTGCTGATCTTTGGGCTGATGTTTGGCTTTTTCCACTTTTGATGCTTTTCTAATGGTATATAATGTTGATTCAGTTGGTTTTCTGTAGTTAAAATCATTTTGTGATAAACGAGACTTTTGCTGACAAGGATATGGAAAAACTAAAGAAGGAAACGAGCAAACGTTGAAAGCCCTGATGGAGTCAGCCTGACTGAGTGCAGAATAGTTAATCATCAGTGCATTAGCTGACCTGCTACTGAGCTTGAAGTAGTTTGGGTTAAATAGGACCCTACGTTATGTCTTATTAGAGTATTATTGTTATTACTTGTTTTTTATCATGTTGCATTGAGTAAAACTGGAAACTAAATCAAATAAAGGTGGTCCATATGTCAGTGGATATGATCACTTCCCATCATGCATCAGGAAGCATGACTGTGCATCACAGAGCCTTTTCAGACACACTGGTGGGACGTCTTCCTCCTACAGCTCCACATAACTCACCCCGGGCCGTTGCTGTCTTCCCAGCGAGTCACGCCGCCGTCGTTCGCCCCCTCTGTGCCACCTCTCCGGCCCTGACTCTCCTTGGCCTGATGCTCCACAACCTCCCCCTCGTCCAGGGCATGATGGAGGCGGTAATTCACTGTCTTCAGCAGCAGGAACATGGCAGCGATCACACCACAGTAGATTCCCACGATCACCATGGTGGGTGGCAGAGCCTAACATCACAGAGGGACGTCTGGTTAGAGCAAAAGCAAAGTAACACCAGTAAATGTTTTTATAGAAGCCCCCCTTTCTCCAGCAGTCAGGGGTAATAATGTGTCATCGCTGTGCATGTTGGTGCTTTGTTTACTGCAGACATGATGACAGGAAGTAACCCAGAACAGGCACACTTCCATCATGCTGCACCTTAATGGAGATCAGGCTTTGACCTGGGGTCTGCGTGTCTGCTGTGAGTGTCGGAGCTACAGCGGCTCCATCCAAACCTTTCTAGCATCTGTTTGCAGTGATTATAAACAACAGCAGCTCTTTATGAACCAGCGAGCTGACCGACACATTTCTAACCAGGAATAGAACTGAAATGTCAAACCGTCTGAAACTGCAGCTCCAGCTCAGTAAATCAGCCTTTTACTCCATGTGGAGTCATGGAGATGGATTAGTTTTTAAACAGAATTATCTAAAGCACATTTGAACTTTTCAACTGTTTAATCACATGTCCTTGTGAAGATAAGCAGGCACTGCTGATGAGGTAAATCCATTCTGGACATCTGGGATGAGGCAACTGTTTCCCTTTTAACAAACAAAAACAAATCCTGTTAGAACATTTAGACTAAATAATAATTAAAAAAAAAACTCAAACAGAAGCCAACAGGTCTGTTTTAAGGATCTCCTCCTGCAGCATCTGAAACTGGTCTTACCTAAAAAAAAATAACCATCAACCGAAAGCAAACGAGGATAAAAGGGGGTGGGGGCATTTACATTTTCTAATACAGCCTGAGGCTTAGAAATCAACTATTAATATCCTATTTAAACAGTAAAAACATAATTTAAACAAAGACCCAAAACAATAAAGTGTACTTCTGCAGCGCTGCTTCTAACAAATACGTGGAAAACAGTTTTTAGAAGATTTGTTTTTTTGTTTTTGTTTATAAACATTGATTATATTGATGGTTAAAAGAGCTTACATTGCCTCCGCGCCAGATAATAGACCGAGACCGCCCGTTAGTATCAGCTAACCTAACGGATAACTTGCACGGTCAGCGGTGGGAACCAGCACAGAAATAAAGGAAATAAAAATAAAACACCAACCATGTAGAGCGTGAAGGGGAAACACAACAGGAACAGCCAGATGTAGAGATGGAAAGCGTTGACGAATGTATTTTGATCGGGATCGTAGTACCATCCGCCCGTTACTGAAGCCCAGACCCCCTGCCTCAGGATCTGGAGCGTCTGCGACCCCATGTTGTTTAATCCAATCCGAAAAATCCGGGCGGAAGCAGCCGACAGAACAACCGGGGTGACACGGAGGCTAGTCGTCATTCAACGTGACAAACGGAGCTCTGTTTTCAGTCAGTGGCCTGAAAATCCCCTCTGCAGCCATCTTCTTCTCTGCTGCTAGCTCGACCAGCTGAGCAGTGTTTCAGTCCTCCACTCAGGAGACTCCGTATCCCACCACGCCCTGCGGGAAAGTTCTTCTTCGTGGAATTAATACGGGTTAGCAATGGAAGCGCTTGGAAAACAATACGCGGAGCATTTTAAACGACCTCATTTCAGCCCATGTGTACTCTTTGTTCTTGGCGTAAAGTGTATTCGTTGGAATTAAAGACGTGTAAAATAAATGTAGCTTGATGGACTGAGTTAGAAGGAGCTAGTTCAGTGACTAGGACCTAACGTGACCTAACAGCGACACCTATTTTTGCCAGCTTAATGTGAGAAAGTGGAAATTAAAATCACCTTATATGTTTTCATTAACGTTTACTCTCGTACTAACCATCAGCTGAGCTGAGATAATGATAATCTTGAAGTCCCGGAATAAGACTGCTGGGTGTTTAACAGTAAGTACTAGTTAACTACCTATTAGTCCCTGAATACGACCGATGAGCGTTTTCAAAAGTAAATACTGGTTAACTACATATTCTTCCCTGCTTCAGTACTCATTACCCCTAAGTCGTTCCCTAGTAAACATATTCTAAACATATTTCAATCATTTAAAAAATATTTTTACACTGTAAGTTATTTGTTTTTATGAAGCGTCTCATGATTTTTATTTTGAGAGGCGCTAATATCGTCTTCTTCTAGTAACGAAGCACAATTTTGCGTACCTTATTGTAAAGTGTTACCCATGATGTTGTTTCCTCTTTTCCCAGATAAGGAGGCAAAACAATTCTCTTTTAAATGTTTTAACTGTAGTTCCACTTTGTCGCTACTGGAGGGCGACGATTTCCCTCCTTGTGCTTATAAAGCCATTTAAAAACTGAGTTTGTAGCACTGTAGCTAGCTGGGGTTAGCATTTATTATACCCCTATACTGTTACATTAATAAGGGGTTAATTGTGATTTTACACTAAATAAAACGAGAAAAGACTGAAATTTTATTGAGACAAGGAGGCTATAAAGTTCTAACATAATCTAACTGTAGATCTAGTTTGTCGCCACTGGAGGGCGACATTTTCCAAGTCCCTCCTCCTTACTACAGACAATTAAAAAAGTTTGTTGTGCAATAGCTAGTTGGGGTTTAGCCTGCGTCGCAAATGATAAGGGTTTAATTGTGTTTTCAGCTAAATAAAAGAGAAAGACTGTTAGAGCGAATTCAACATGCAGTAGCATTTTATTCAATCAATCAACCAATCAATCAATCAATCTTTATTTGAATAGCACCTTCCACTGCCTTTATGGGAGCTCAAGGCACTGAACATAAATTACTATAGAATACCATAAAAAGATAAAAGAACAGTCAGATAACAAAACAGTGAAAATGGATTAAACAGAATAAACTTACATAAAAACCCAACAAAAAAAGGGAGTCTTCAGTCGACTTTTAAAAACCTGCAGTGATTATGACTGTTTGACAGCAAGCAGCAAGTCATTTCACAGAGTAGGGGCCATAACCGAAAAGGCCCGATCCCCTCTGCCCCTGTACCTGGCATGTGGAACAGCCAACAACCCCCGCTCAGCAGAACGAAGAGACCGTAATGGCACATAATGTTTCAACAATGCTGCCAGATGGAGAGAGGGGGGGGGGGGGGGGGGGGGCTTTAGACATACAGAAAGATCTTAAACTTAAAAGACCCTTTTACTACCTACGTCATCAAAAGTTGCGCGCGCAGCCTGGCAACGAGAGTGAAGGCTTCACACTCGATACTAAAACAGCGTTTTAAACCCTTTGTTTTGAAGTTCTGAGCACATAAAAATGTCGGGTTGTTGCGTGTATGGATGCCAGAATCGCTTCTCTTCAAGCAGTGGACTGAAACTTTACAGAAATCAGAAGGGAGCACATGCATTTCAACAAAATCGGAGGCGTCTGTGGCTGCAGGCCATCAAAAGGGTTGATGAAAACTGGACTGAAAACACGATCCGAAATGCTCAAGTTTGTAGCGCCCATTTTATATCAGGTAAGGTAATTATGTACTAAGATAACACCAGAAAGCTGGTTAACGTGTGTTCTATTAAATAAAGTAAGTTGCGTTTGCTGGTTTGCAAATGAAATTAACATTTCTTTCTAATTCATCTGTATTTTCCCACTGCATATTAGTATAAACTGTATTTCTCTAAAATTAACACGATTGTACTCTGAGCACGCTAAAAAAGAAACCTATGCTATACTCACCCTGCCATGCAGGTACAGTTGGCTGTGAAGACATAGTTCTCTGGTTTGTTTACTATGACCCAAGCCTCATACATAGCAGTCTTGTGTCCTTGTCTTTGGCTAGGAAGGACTTCTGCCTTCAAGACGCAAAACTCAGAGTCTATGTCGTGATATTTTACTTTCTGTACGTGGCCACAGACAACATAGTTGTATGCATCTAACGATTTGTATGCCCGTAGCTTCTCATGTGTGTACTTACTGAGCCTCTCCACTAAAAACGTATATAAATCGGGCCACTGGATATCTGGCCACGCACCTACATCTTCCACCCATTCCGTAATGCCACAGGGATCCGGGAGTCTGTTGCCATTCGTTAAAGTGAGTTTAATAATATAACATTCAAGATTTGCCGGTGATAACCCCGCAGCGTAGCTTGATAAAGCCTGACACAACGCCATTCTCTGTTGCCAAGCTGCACGCGCATTCTCGCTGACGTCATATTGTTTACAAACAGTAAAAGGGTCTTATGTAATGAGGTCAAGACCGGGTAAATTGATCGGTTTTCCTCGTCGCAGTCAAAAGTCTAGCTGCAGAGTTCTGGACCATTTGTAGCTGCTTCAGTGCTGCCTGACTCAAACCAGAATACAATGTGTTACATAGTCCAGTCCAGTCCTGACAGAACAAAAGCATGTAGCACTGTCTCAAGGTGAGGTCTTGACAGCATAGGCTTAATTGTAGCTAGCCGTCGTAAATGAATGAAACAAGACCTCACCGCCTTATTAATGTGAGTCTCAGATTTGAGATCTGAATCTAATCTCACTCCTAAACTAGTGACCACTGACTTCTGGTATTGCAACAGGCAGGACCCCGACCTGCCATATTGGTCAGGTATTCAATTCAATTCAATTCAAGTTTATTTATAAAGCGCCAAATCACGACAAGAGTCGTCTCAAGTCACTTCACATAATAAACATTCCAATTCACAGTTCATTAAGCCAATCAGAAATAATGTGTCCTATATAAGCGTGGCAAGGTGAATAAACGAGGGCCCAGGCGGGATTCGATCCCCAGACTCCCGGGTGAGAGTCATACACTCTAACCAGTCAGCCAAAGGGACATCCCCTTGGCCAAGTAGCCAGGGCGCATGATCAATCGGGACATTGTGACAGGACGCTCACACTGTCACATAAGGAACCCAGCAAATTGCATCAAGTCACTGACTAATGTCAGTGACTATACAGCAATCCTCATACTAAGCAAGCATGCAGCGACAGTGGAGAGGAAAACTCCCTTTTAACAGGAAGAAACCTCCAGAGAATCCTGGCTCAGTATAAGCAGCCATCCTCCACGACTCACTGGGGATCGAGAAGACAGAGCAGACACACACACACACACACACACACACACACACACACACACACACACACACACACACACACACACACACACACACACACACACACACACACACACACACACACACACACACACACACACACACACACACACACACACACACAATAATGTGTCTACAGTTCTATTGTGATGTCTTAGTAAATATTCTATTTGGTGAGATCAACTTTATTGTATTTATCCTAGTGGATCTATAATTAAATGGGTAAACTAGCAGTAACACGTCCAATGTCAAGGAAAGCAAAAAGTTATTATCAGGAGAGAGAGAATGTTTAAGTGGTTAGCAGCAGTGTGCTAGACGATGGCCCCCTCCATGACGCCACCACAGCTTAGCAGAACATCATTGTAGCTTCTTCTGGGGAGAAAAACACTTAAGAGAGAAAATAAAGTTAACAGCTGAAATTGCAGAAAACAGTACAGTTAAAGAGCAGATAGTAGAAGAAAGCAGTAGAGTGTGGAAAGTGGTCAGTGTATCCTCCAGCAGTCTAAGCCTATAGCAGCATAACTACAAAGAAAACTCTGGATAATCTATCCTATTTAGATGGAGGCATGTTGGAGGCAGGGCAAGGGAGAGCCATCTTTACCGACTGTACACTCCACCTCCCTCTACTCCCCCACTTGTCCAGATTTAGGCTAACATCAGATTTTAACCATAGACCCTATCAAATAAAAAATGTTTTAAGCCTAGTCTTAAATGTAGACAAAGTGTCTGCCTCACAGACTAAGGCTGGGAGCTGGTTCCACAGGAGAGAAGCCTGATAACTAAAAGATCTGCCTCCCATCCTAATTTTAGATATTCTGGGAACCACCAGTAGACCTGCAGTCTGAGAGCGAAGTGCTCGTTTAGGAACGTATGGAACAATCAGATCACTGATGTAGGTTATTATAAAGTAGTTTACAGGAAGTGTTTCCAATGAGTAGGCTAACTATTCAAACTTAAATGTAGGTCACTCTACCTCATAAGACTTCCAAGAGGATACAACGATTATACATTTTTATGCTTTTTTGAGACAGTTAGGAGACTATAAAGTACTCTTAAACGATTTAACAGATTAACAATTTCACCACTGAAGGGCGACAATTTTCCTGCTCCTCCTTATAAAGTCAATTAAAAGCTCCTAGTTTGGAGCTCTGTAGCTAACTGGGTTTAGCACTTTGACCCCAGACAACAGTGCCATTGTCTTACATGAGTAAGGTTTAAATTTATGTAATAAAAATTATCTGCATTGTTACACTGGAACATATTTGTCCACTAACTTTGCTTCATGTTATAGGTGCAGGTGATGCTGTAACAAATACAGCTTAAATACCTCATTCAGTCTGCAGGATGACCGTCAGACAAAAAAGGAGCAGCTGCACCTCTAATAATTGTCTTCTTGGGCCTCAGATCTGACACTTGAAAAAAAAAATTATTTCTGAAACGGTTGTGAGAATCATCAAGAACTTCCAGGTGAGATTTATAGCAGTGCAGAATGGTAAATGGCCTGTATTTGATATAGCGCCTTCTAGGATCCTGGAACCCCCCAAGGCGCTTTACAACACAATCAGTCATTCACCCATTCACACACACATTCACACACTGATGGGGATGAACTACAATGTAGCCACAGCTGCCCTGGGGCGCACTGACAGAGGCGAGGCTGCCGAGCACTGGCGCCACCGGTCCCTCCGACCACCACCAGCAGGCAAGGTGGGTTAAGTGTCTTGCCCAAGGACACAACGACAGCGACAGACTGAGCGGGGCTCGAACCTGCAATCTTCCGATTGCGGGGCGAGCACTTAACTCCTGTGCCACCGTCCAGCTAGCACAAGAACCACCTTTTTCCTGAGGATGACATTAGGTTTGTCTCACAACCACTGGGAAGCTCTTTGGCTGCAGGTGGGTGTGAGTAGATTCTGGTCACACAATAAGGCAAGACATAAGGAGGATGAAGCCACTTCTATCCAAGAAATACGTCAAAAACAGCCTGAAATGCTGCAGGAAGTACAAGGACTGAACAGAGGAAGACTGGTGCAAAGTTGCCGTTTTCTCTGATTAATGTCTTACAATTGTTTGGTACATCTGGAAAATCGTGACAGAAAATAAGGCGATTCGTGTGTAGTGCCAAGCGTGACTCATTCTGAGAGTCTGTATGGTGCTTCCCATCGACAAGAGGGCTCAGTCAAGATTATGCACATCCTCAACCGGCGCTTCTAAATATCTTCTAAAACCAACTTCCTAAAATAAAACCCAGGCACAATTTGGTGACGGTGTGGGTGTTAAACCCGACAAATCCCGGGAGAAGCAGTAGCCAGGAGATTATGTGAGACTCAGCTTTTAAATTGGTTTTACTTCTTGTTCAGTGCACCACAAAAATGTGCTCAAAGGGGACATATTGCAAGTTATAACAGCTCCATGGTTTATACCAAATGTGCTTATGGAGTTCTTTCAACTAAAACCCTCTCACATAAAGAGATTTCAGCAGTTTTATTCTTGAGTTTCAGTACCTTCCAGAAAGAGCCGTTTCAGGGCTCTGTCACTTTAAGAAAAAATGCTGGAGCTAGCCATGCCCACCCATCCCGCTCAGGCTGAGATGCTCTGATATCCTGAAGGGGCTCCGAGTAGAGCTGCTGCTCCTCCTGCAGTAGCTCTCTCTTGCATATGAGGTGGTTCTATTCTACTTTCCCTGATTGTGACATCACAAATGGGAACCTTTCTTAAAACAACTTGTTGTAGATACAAAATTCCTGAGACCTAACACTGACAGACAACAGATGTACGGGTTTGTTATGCTTGGAGTGTTTATAGAGGTAGTAAATCAAATCAAATCAACTTTATTTATATAGCACTTTTCATACAAAAAAAAATGCAACTCAATGTGCTTTACAGATTAAAATGGCCCCATAGATCCCATACTCCCATCCCAGTCCCCCTCCCCAAGTATAAAACAATTAACAATTACGGTTCCCCTCCCGCACCCAACTTCCAAAGTGGACAATCACCCGCACACTCGTCCATGCACACACACACACACGAACACCAAAGGAAACAATAGGCTGAGTTCAGATGGGTCAAGTAATGAACGACACATCAATCTGCCCTGACAGTAACAGATTCACGGCAGCAGCCAAGACACCGGCCCATGACGCCCAGTGGCGGAGGGCAGAAACCCCCACCAGTGCCCGGGCACTACCCGAGGAGCGCCCCAGCCGCCGCCGCCCCTGACCACCGGCCCCAAGGCAGAGGGCTCCGCAGAGGAAACACTGGAGGATTAAAATATATAACATGTAAAATAACAAAAGCTAATATGGATAAAAAGTAACTGATAAAAAGGGATTATAAAGATAGTTAAAGAAAACATAATTATGTAAAAACACTTAGATGTAAATAAAATGATAAAATTAAAAGAGATAAATATGTATTTATAGATAAATAGTGATCAGTTAAAAGCTAAGCTAAAAAGGTGGGTATTGAGCCTATTCTTAAAAGCCTGGACATTCCCTTCGGCCCTGAGGTCCTCTGGCAGCCGGTTCCAAAGGCGAGGGCCGTAGTACTTGAAGGACGCCTCGCCGTGGGTGTGAGTCTTAACTTTAGGGATAGCTAGGAGACGGCTGCCAGAGGAGCGCAGAGACCGTGAGGGTTTATATAGTAAAAGCATTTCTGAAAGATAAGAAGGCCCAAGACCATTAAGACACTTAAAAACCATTAAAAGAACCTTAAAAGTAAAGACACACATGGCAGTACAGAATCATGTAAAAAGTTTTAAATATGAAAACTGAGACATTTATTAGTCCAAACTGTAGTTTATCCATGTTGATCCTAGGATTACAGGGCATTTACCGACCGCTAAACACCTATTTTTAAAACATGGTAGACTTTAGAATCTGTTCTTGGTTAGAAGAGAGTTTTTATTAATCAACATTGATGAAACTACAAATGGAAAGAAAATTCTGTACATGTGGTTAAAACTAGAGGAAAAAATGCACAGGTCAAAGTTGAAACAAGATGATGTTTGAGCTCGTCTCCACTCAACGGGTATGGCGTTTTACCGTGCGTAAGCTGACACCAGTGCTGATGGGAAGGATTTTAAACTTTATTCACCGTGAAAGTCCAAGCAGGTGACCCCTGTCCTGACCTCTGCTCCCGCTCTAAATGTGGCCAATACCAAAACAGAAGAAAAGCTGCTCATCATTCTGAGTCTGTTCAGTTCACAAAAGAAGAAAAGTTGAAGTTTCAGATAAAAATAAAAACTCCAGCGGAGACAAGCTGTTGATGCTGTATCAATATGAAGCAGAATTTCTCCTTGTTGCTGAGGCAAGAGCGGAGGGAGGGTCACTGCAGGCGCGCTCTCTTCTCAGGCGGCGGTTTAGTGGGCGGAGCCGAGGCTGACAACTTGGTGGCCGGCTCCCTCTCCTCCTGCTTCACAGCGTCTGAAGCTGGTTCTGGTTCCTTCTTCACCTCAACTGCAGCACAAGTGCACACATTCACTCAGATCTGCCTTGGACTTTTAATACCACCAACTTAAAATGGAAATAACTTTCATTGTGTTCATCAAATATTATCACAGGTTAACTTGTGCAGAAGGATGCAACATACCTGGAATGGGCTTATCACCAGGCTTGGGCTGAAAGCAAAAATATTAAAAAAGCAAATGAGCAATCTGAACAACATTCTAAAGATAACAATCATAATTTCATATGAATTTAATATAAAATGTACCTGGTAGAACGTCGGCGGGAACTTGGATCTGAGGTCTAACAGAAGTGTGTCAACACGTTGTCTCTGAAACAGAGAACTGGGCTCTTCTTTCTTCTTGGACTTGGGTTTAGCTTTTTCTGTTAACAATAAAATGTTAGTTCACACAGTTATTATCTGCCACCTGAATCCAGCAGGACAAACATCGAACACCCCATGGCAAACACCTAACCTCTCTCCTCCTGATCCTTGAAGTGCCACCAGTAGCCTTTGGACGGGTGATAGCGGCAATAAGATATGGCCTCATCGAAGGCAGACTGGATACCGTGGACTGCAGAAAGCTAAAACAAATATTGTAATAAAATAATCAACAGCCCCAAAACTTCAACATTAACTACATTTCTAGTAAAATAATGCTCACCACTCTGGAACTGATCACCGTTCCAAGATCTGGGGCCTGATACACCACTCCTGCTATGATGTAGTAGTCTGCCAGTGGTATCACTGTTGATGTAGTAAACACAGGAAGAGTGTTGGTGTGCATGGAGAAAAACAACTAACCAGTTTGTCACCTTTAACTGGTTGTGCTGCTCACCATGTGCCGATGACTGCCTCTGCTGCTTACGGATTATATAGAGGATCGGCTCCTGAGCATGGAGAAGGATGTACTCCACACCCACCATTTGACTGAAAATAAATGAGTTTCCATACATCAGGAAAACTCTTAACAGAGATTTCCCTCTGTTTACTTTGTATTGGAACTCTATGCAGTTTTAATTTTTTTTAAAACAATAATAAAAAATGTATGGAAAATGACTTGTGATATGTAATTTTAAACCTAGTTTCATCTTTTGTGTAACCAACGTACTTGAGATGATCCAGGGTGAGGCGCTGCATCTTTACCACCTCATTGTTGCAGGTTCGGTCATAAAACGGGTTACTTCGCTCAGAAAAGTAATCCAGAACATTTCCAGGGTTAAGAATGGGTACCCAGCCGCTGTCAACCCAAGATATCCCAAGAAGGTTGTCTGAGGAGTCAACATGCAGCCATCAAACATGGAGACAATCGAAAAGATGATGTTACTGCAGCATACATCAACATCACACCTCACCAACATCACACCTCACGGTGTAAGATTTTAATTAGGGAGATTAATCGTTGGCGTGTTATTTAATATTAATATGTTTTCTGAGTATTTATTTGTTTGGATTCTACTCAGCTTCTAACACTTCTGCCATTTTTACACAGTTTAGTCCAAAAAAATATGCAAACAAAGCCTGCTGTCATTCACACTGAAACACATAAATATATTGTTATTGTTAAGGAACGAATAAAACTGTTTCTATAATTTACAACAGAAATGAACAGCATGCGTGTTCTCGCATTGTTTATTCATTGTCTTTTTTTATTACATTTTTAATCAAAATTTAAGCAAGTTTTTTCAATAGCTCCTAGGTAAATTAGTCAAAATACCCAAAACCATTTCTCAATGTTACTAAGCCAGACCAATGAGACACAGCACGTTTCACAAGATCTAATCGTTTCACGGCATAAAGACTTATCGCTGACCGTGTAAATGTCTGTCGAATATCCAACGTCAAACTTGAAGCTAACTTCCCCGCGGTCTTCTGACATTAGAATTCTGAATGACAACCATGATGACAACCGATAACAGCTGCGTTATTTTCAGCTACTAGCGGTGTTGTCACAGTTAGCTTACATGCTAACGTTGCTAACCTTAATAAAGATATTTGAAACTGTCCAACAGCAAATCGGTACATCTTGTTTTAAAGGAATGTGTAGATTAAATTCATAACCTTCAACATCATAAAATACAGCAAACAAACTACTTTTGAACAATAAAACTGTCAAAATCTCACCCCTGAAATCCACTGACGCCACCGCCATGATGTAAACAAACGTCTCATTTTGATTACGTCGATCTTGAAGCCCTTAATCGCATATTGATGACGTCAGCAAACGCGCAATCATTTTTCATACTGCATACCTTTGCAATCTAACCGTTTGCCTTAAATTACAAAATTTAGCTTAATTTAAAGATATGGAACTCATTCATCGACGGATAACAACAACAATAGTAATAGTAATAATAATAATAACAATAATAATAATAATAATAATATCCTGAAAAATAAATACTTTTACTCTATTGTACTATATATAACCTACTGTTAAAACTTTGACTCTAGTGCTAGGAGTAGGCTAACATTGAATCTGAACGTCACCAAATGCAAAACCTTCCTGCAAATAATACAATATTTTACTGTCATTGATTTCAAAACATTTACATATACTGTAGATAAACGTAAAAACGCCAAAATAGACAAACACATTTTGAATATTTTTTCTTTAAATACAAAATGCAATGCGGGCATGTTCACTTTGCTCTTCATCTTAAAATCCCAACAGTCATCATGACACATTGGCGAAATGAAATCTAGCTGCATCCCTGCGGGGAGCAGTGAGGTGCAGCAGTGGCTGAACTCAGGAACTATTTGGCGGACACCCACACATGCAGTCGACAGCAAACACAAAATCGGTTCTGTTTCGAAAACACTTGGCAGTGCTTGTGGGCTATAATTATTTTGATAACTAAAATGATTTCAGATGCTCATGTCTGGCTGTTTATAGTTTACAGCTCGAGTACATTTTACTGAATAAATGAATAACTAGACACACAAAAATTGTTACAGTGCAAATGTCCAGTCACTATTCTTCCAGATGTGCACTTAGTACTACTACTACTACTACTACTACTACTACTACTACTACTACTACTACTACTACTACTACTTCAATAATAATACAATAATAATAGGAAGAAGATGAGACGAAGGATAATATGCAAGATGTGATTTCTGTTTTCTCTTTCTCAATCCAGTTCCAAAATAATGGAGTCACACACCCAAGTGAAATCAACATCATCTGCTGGAGGCACTCATGGTGCGTTTGTGGACCAATCGGCTCGTCTGAACCGAGAACACGAAAGCAGAGAGGAGCGCGCACCGCTCATCGCGCAGGGTTGCGCACGGGTGGACGTATCTGAGACGGCAGCGAAGCGAAGGGCCGATTAATAAACCGATAGCATGATGCTGTGAAAAGCCTGAGCGCTAATTTACGGCGAAGCGTCAGAGCAGCTGGATAAAAAACAAACGCTGAAGATGAGTGTGATTCAAGCTGGACACGAAGGGAGGATGGAGAGCGGTGGTGGCGCCTCCCCGAGGCTCCAGCACTGCGTTCAGCCCCACAGCAGCAGCCGGACCAAAGATCCTAGACATCAGCTCCAGCGGCAGAGGCATCATGGAGGCTCGATGCTGAAACAGCCACCTCAAAACGAGCCAGCTGACGCTGTGAGGCGCGCGCTGGACTTTAAGAGCCAGGGCACCCAGTGCTACAAGGACAAGAAATACCGGGATGCGATCGGCAAGTATCACCGCGCTCTGCTGGAGATCAAGGGGTTGTGCAGGGTGCTGGGGGAACCGGACTCCAGCTCCAAGACATCGTCCTCCCTCCTGCCGACCATCAGCAAGTCCACCACGCTGACAGACGAGCAGAAGGGAGCCATGGAGAATGCGGAGCTGGAATGTTACAACAGCCTGGCCGGTACGCTGTTTTTCCTCTCATAGATGAGCATCAGTGATGCTGTAATACTCCAGAGCTCAGCATGACTCATAAAACAAGTCATCCTCAGGCTCACCCCAAATGAGTCAGAGAAATTAAACCTAACAAAGATACCAATGCAGCTTTTATCCTAAAACATCAAATTCAGATATTGGATTGTGATCATGTGTTTATTTCTCTTTTCCAGCTTGCCTGTTGCAAATGGAGCTGGTGAATTATGAGCGAGTGAAGGAATATTGTCTGAAAGTCCTTTTAAAGGAGGGGAAAAACTTCAAAGCTCTTTACCGATCAGGAGTGGCCTATTACCACCTTGGAGACTTCCAGAAAGCCCTGCACTACCTGAAGGAGTCTCACAAGCAGGAGCCATCAGGTCAGCTAACTGCCTCCTATAACCCTAACCCTCCTCGCCCACGAGCGGAAATCAGGGGCTTTGTGCTTTTTATGATTCAAAATGTATCTGATTTTGGGGTCTAAACAAGCAGTTGATGTATTAACTATAGTTGAAGTGATATTTCACCCAGGATCAAAGTGAACAAATCTGGCTGCACACCTGCAGAATGCTTCTTGCAGTGACTCGCAGTTGGACATTTACACTGCTGTATTTCTCAGTTTCTCTGCTATGTGAGGTTTTGTAACTAACTGCTGCTTGGTTGCCCCCTCCTTGAGCCAGGTTCTGCAAAAGGCAACTGCCACATATTTATTCACAGGGAATTCTGGACTTTTCTCTATTGTATTTGCTCTTATCTCCTGCTTTTATCTGTTTTTATGTCTATTTTTGATGACCATCATATGGGCCTGTGATGTTTTTATGTGTGTACAGCAGAGGTGTGGACTGGAGTCACATGACTTGGACTCGAGTCAGACTCGAGTCATTATTTTGATGACTTCTGACTTGACTTGATAAAATCTATAAAGACTTACGACTTGACTCGGACTTCAACGCCAATGACTTGCGACTTGAATCGACTTGCATTTGTTGACTCGATGATGACTTGAGCATATTTAATGTTTTAGCACAAAAGTGGCACGACATGGGCAAAAATTATAAGTCATTCATTGTTCTGGGTTTGAGTTTGTACGGCTAACTGCAGCAGCACTTTGTTTATAATCAGTTTCAGTTGCACTTTCTGCTGTTTGAGCAAATAAATGAAGCTTTAAGAAGCTTTATTTCTGGAGTTTATTTATTATCATTGTCATTAAATAGAAGTTGGACAGATGACTTGATTATGACTTGAAAATTCAAAGTTTAGGACTTGGACTTGACTTGGACTTCCACATCATTGACTTTGGACTCAACTTGGACTTGGTTGTCTTTGACTTGGACTTGACTCGAGACTTGACTGGAAATACTTGTGACTTTCTTGTGACTTGCAAAGCAGTGACTTGGTCACACCTCTGGTGTACAGCACGTTGGTTTGCCTTCGGGCATTTGGAAGGTGCTATATAAATAAAGTGATGATGATAAAAATATAGACAGACAGTAGGCGTAGTAACAGATTTTGGCTCTGTAGGTTGGTCTAGCCATGCTCCATTGTAAACTCAGCGGGTTACCATACCAAACTAAATTTGTTTGAGCCAAAAACAGCGCTCAATATTTGATGACGGGTGGGCTTAAGTCTAGTTTATACTTCACCATCAGCTCCATGAGTGAGAGACACGCACGCACGGATGGAGACATTTTGCCCTCATACTTCTCCATCTCCTGGGGAGCGTTGCAAAGCAATTCCCCGGCAGGACAACAGAGGGCGTGGCACTGTTCTGGGGTATCCTGTCATGTATCCGGTCCAAGATTGTGAGCTTATATTGTTTTTTTTGTTCATAAGAGACTTTTTTTTTTTATCCCAGACAAATTTGTCACTCATCCTCCTCCACCTCTTCAAGCGCTCGCCACCTCTAAACACACGTTTCCTGTCATTTCCGTCCACATATAAAACGCTTGTGCCTCTTTTCACTCCTCCAGTCACGGGGGAATAAAACATTCATATTTTAGACTTTTCCTGCGAGGTATTTTTCTAGCTGCTCCATGTCTGCCACAAGATATCCTCGGCTCTATTTACGTTTTTGAGGGCGCAACGGCAGCGGCATCTTGACCAATCACAAGCTTGCGTTCTCCGTCTTGGACGGATGTTTAGAAAAGAGAGCTCAACTCCATCTGTCCTTGAGAGGGCTCTCCAGCAGGCTCGCAAGGACGGAAAATGATGTTGCATGCATTCATCCCGACACAGACGAAGAAGTATAAATTAGTGCCTGCCCTGTAACAAGAGGGTTGCAGGTTTGAACCCTGTCTGTCACAGTCGTGTTCTTGGGCAAGACACGTAAGCCACACTGCCTGCTGGAGGTGGTTGGAGGGACTGGTGGCGCCAGTGCATGGCAGCCTCATCTCTGTCAGTGCCGCCCAGGTCAGCTGTGGCTACATTGTAGCTCATCGTCAACAGCGTGTGAATGTGTCTGTGCATGGGTGAATGACTGTGTTGTAAAGCATCTTGGGGGCTGCAGAACCTAGATGGTGCTATACCAAATACAGGCCTATAGTATGGCTTGCCAGGCTACATCATATTAAAATTTTGTATTATGTAGTCTAAGCATGAGATTTTGCTTCTCCAGAAATGCTTCGTTAGATTAGCTACCAGATCAGAAAAGAGCATCTTCAGCTCCTCTCTTTCAGGGACTAAACATTTTGACTGTTTATCAAGTGAAAGTTTCTCAGATATGCGTCTTCATTTATAAAATCTTAACTGATGGGCAAATACCCAAACAGTTTAAAATGTATTTTAATGTAAATTCATTTTTTCACTCACATAATACGCAACGGTCAATGGATCTCCATCCCCTGAATCCCTCTCTTGTCTAGGTCAATTCTCCATCCGCTTTAGGGGTGCAATAGTATGGAATCATTCTACAGTTGGTACTATTAAAAACATTTTAATTTGATCAAAGGAGGGCGTTAATTGTTCATTATTTAGCAAATCTATAGGCTCTCTTTTATTATTATTTTTTTGTAATCAATAAGTTTATGATTTTTTATGTCATGGTAAAGGCTTCAGAAAAGCTTCATGTATGGCCACATGAGGCTTTTGCCTCCTTCAGCACTAATTATAACCTGTTTATTGTGTCTTTTTTTTCTACTTTGCAAATAAAATAAATAATGTGCTTTATTCATAGTCACACAAGCCTACCAATGCACCATTTCCTGTCTGAACGGGAAATAAACCAACCTTTTCCTGCTCTTGTTTTCCAGACACTAATGCCATCCGCTACATCCAGCTAACAGAGATGAAGATTCGCCGGAACGCCCAACGGGAAAAGAAAGAGGCGACCTAAGCGCTAGCTGCCGGATGACTTCCCACCAGTCACGAGTCTCAGCCCTACTGTGCGCCACCCAGACCTTAAACACCACAAGTCAGAGGTCTCAGTTGTGGAGCAATCTTCGTTTGCTTTTGCCTTGCACCGCATATGGTTGCTAGTTATGTTATTGACATGTGTTATTGTGTATTTGGAGTGTTATACTTTGGTTTTCTTTGAAAAAGAAGTTGCACCAGATAGTGATTTTCTCCCTATAAACTGCCAAAGGCATGTTTCATTACAAACGGATGCACTTCTCGTCCGATGATTGCACATACAGGCCAACGCTTGTGACAAAGACGAGAGAGACTAAGTCCACAGCGCAGCACGTCTGCAGGCGAGTGTCACTAGAAACAAACACCTGCCTTTTGCACAAGGTGTGTTTTAAATGCCTTTACGTGAGTAACAACCACCTACACCCCCGTCACCTGATTTTCAGATCCTTTCATCTGTCACAATGTTTTATATTCTTGGCCACATCCGACGTAAAGGTGCTTTCAGAACACGAGTATATCAAGAGCACATGGTTGCAGTTTACTGTATGAGCTCAATAAACATATCACAAAATGTAAATAGGCGACTTTCAAAAATCACGTTGAAACTATAATGCAAAGCCGTGTGTGTGTGGTTATTAATGCCAAAACAAAGCACTCCATTCTCGGCATTTGTTGTATCTTCAGATTCCTGTGTGTACGGTAAAAGAATACGTGAATAAACTGTTTACTGACTGAGTCATTTTCCTCTTTTCCCACGGCCAATTTCATTACATAAAAAATATTTGCCTCCTAAACCTAAAAATAAACAATAATCACCCCGGGAGGCAACAACTGAATTAACTGTTTGTGAAAACTGATAATGTGGAGAAATCTTGTACCACTCTTCCTTTTTTTTTTGGTTCTAATTTAGCCACATTGGTGGATTTTCCAGAATGAATGACCCGTTTAAGGTCAAAGGACATTTTCCTTCAGGATCTTCTGCGAGAAAGCAGAATTAATGGTTCCATCAATTACAGTGGCTCAGGTCCTGAAGCAATAGAGTCAGAAACATAGAGGTGTTTTTTGTGTTTGGAGGAGTCAAGGTAAGGCCCATAATAGACCAACAGTCAAGCGTGGTGGCAGCATCAAGCTGTGGTAGTAACAGGTACGGTGCCCAGAGGAATTCTTCAAATTCATCTAAAATCATCAAGCAGCTCAGGGGTCTGCAACTTTTACAATAGAAAGAGTTGCTTATATACTTCGTTTTTGTGGTCTTTCATTAAGCACAGAGTAAGAGGAGCTTGTTTTTACCTTGGCTAACATGTGTAGCACATATTAATTGCTGCACATGTTTCGACGTCTACTGCCTTCGTCAGAGCTATTGCCCCTGCGGATATCCAACACGGGCAATACATAAAGGAAAACAAGCAACAATGAAAAGTAGAAACAAAACAAAGAAACACACACACAAAAAAATAAAGAAACGAGCCAAAACCAGCAATCACCCTTCCATACATTAAAGGCATAACAGAAAAAATAACAGTGATGAAAAAACACAACATAAACACACCAACAAAAACATGACAGTCAGAAAAAGACTAGTACACCCAATACCATGCAAACTCCAATAAAACATGCACAGGAGAAGCAGGACGCTAACTCAACACACAAAAAATAGAACATAGAAAGGAGAGTGAGAAGGAAATAAGTCGAAGACACACAGGAGCAGCAAAACAAGAGGCAGAAAGTACAATAAAGAAATCAGCCGTAACAGACCACTGTAGGGAAAACCATGTAATGGACCTGGACAGAACTAGAATTATTAACACAGAACAACAGAAATGAAAAAGATGGCTCAGGGAAGCGATTGAGATAAGGAGACGTGGATCCAGGACCATGAACAGGGACGAAGGAGTATACACGCTGGACCTCTCATGGGATAAAGTGATCAACAGAGGGGGCGTGGGAATTACAGGGCGACATCGTCCCCTGCTGCCCACAGATAAACGGAAGTGACGCCACCAACAACGGCGATTGCTCTCTGACATAGGCGGAACATGTTAGCTAAGGTAAACACAAGCTACTCTCACTCCGTGTATAACGAAAGGACCACAACAATTAATTCTAACAGAAAACACAGAACAAACGTAACAAAGATGTTGATTATATTCACTGCCTGGCCAAAAAACAAGTCACCACCTGGATTAAATAAGCCAACAGGTACAAACCTCGTATTAGACAACTGCGTACTGCACAAGCCTGTGGGGGCAGTGCTATGATCTGGGGTTCAGCAACAGGATGTGCTCCAAGAATGAAGTCAGCTGACTACCTGGAATGACCAGGTTATTCCATCTTACCTGATGGCACGGGCATATTCCAAGATGACAATGCCAGGATTCATCAGGCTCAAATAGTGAAAGAGTGGATCAGGGAGCATGAGGCAGACTGGCCACCACAGAGTCCAGACCTTAACCCAACTGAGAATCTTAGGATGTGCTGGAAAAGGCTTCGTGCAGCGGTCAGACTCTACCATCATCGATGTGAGATCTTTGTGAAACATTAATGCAACACTGGATGGAAATGCATCTGGTGACGTTGCAGAAGCTTAAGGAAACAACGCCACAGTGAAAGTGTGTCATAATCAGAGCCACAGGCGTTCCAACAAAATATTAAGAGTGTGTGACCTTTTTATAGAGTTACATCCATTACAAAAAAGATTATTTATAATGTTTGATGAATATCCACAGCAGAGGATTAAAGTCATTTCATCTGATAAAAGTTCTGTTATTTTTTTCAGATTTTTGAGTATTCATGAGAAATCTTTCCCTCTTCCACAAACATCTTGTATAAGTAAATGTATAATAACCAAATTTGTTGTTAAAAAATAAGAAAAAGGAAATAGAACAATTTCAAGATAATGGATTGTATTTTCTCTAATTTCCCTCGGGGATTAATAAAGTATCTGTGAATTTGAGTTGAATTGAATTTTACCAGATTTGATCCTGAAATTTGTGTAAAAATCATGTTAAACAATCCACAAATGGATCTAAAATGATCACTGGTACTTTGTGTCATTCTCCTATAGAAATGATTCAATAAAAAGATGAAATGCTGCTTAAAAATATTTTCAACACATGCTACTGTAGCTGAGGATGACCCCTGAGGGCCCGTGTGGAAATAAACATTAAAAATACAGATACAATTATTCATACTTCCTATTTTGACTCTTTGTTTGGGTCTTAAAGCTTCTGGCTGAAATGTGTTTGATGCAAAAATGTCCTCACAAGCAATAGCAATAACAGCAATAGCATTCCTATATTCGTGTGATATTTTAAAGAGGACACTAGCATTAGCATGCACCTGGAGTCATGCTTCTGCACACCTGATGATGTTTAAGTAAAAAACAAATATAAAACATTAAATCAGACACATTTTTCTGCCACCATTTTACTCAAGTCAGTGTGTTCCAGTGCAAATGCAAGTCACCTAGTATCGGTATTGTTCCCACCCTGAACAATGTCAGTAAACAGTTAATTCAGCTTATTTGTGTTCAGATTTCATATGCATATTAAGAACTTAGCATCGCTTCAACTAGCACCTATACATGAAATACGTTTGCATGATGAGCAAAATCACATTCCGCACAGTCCCAAGTAACCAGAAGTATAAAAAAAACCACACACATTCAACCTCATAGATCAGTGTTGGTGAATGGGGGAGGAAATATCAGAGTTCTGTTAACATTTCAAAATAAAATGATACAATCAAGCATTTAGAGGTTAAGGATGAAACAGATGTAGCTCTTCCTTTCTAACCAGTCCAATAAATAAATAAATAAATAAATAAATAAATATTTTGGGTTGGCTGCTTGAAATTCAATTAAAATGTTTTTTTTCTAGAAACGTATAAAAAATCAAAACTAATTCAACCTGATGAAGTGGAACAAACCATTTAAAGACCTAACAGACAAAATAAATAAATAAATAAATAAATAAAATCTACAACAAGTTAAAAAAATAAAGGTGCACTTTTAACAAAATTACTGGGTCATGTGCAAAGGCTGAAATCTTAAACGTCCACGACGCCGAGTGTGACGAGATCCAGGCAAACAGAAATATGGTAAAAAAGTATAAATATAGAAAATGAAGAGAACCTTTCTGCTTCACCTGGGCATGCCTCACCTGGGCGTGCCTCACCTGTGGGTCATTGAACTCCATGCATGGCTGCACACGGACAGCAACTTAGATCAAGAGGCAAATGTACAAAGTTCCCTTTTTGTGAATCATTTCTCATCTTCTCAAACAAATAATGAGACAAAATGAGTGAATTCCAGATGAATTCATTTTGAAATAAAGATTATTCCCGTTTTGTGTGACAAGACCAGAACAGCTAATTTATCTTTTTTCTAAAAAATCAAAACAAAACATTGTACATTCATGATCATATCCAAAAGCGCACTTCCCTAAAAGCACAATCTGAACTCAGGCTTTGAAAAGAATGTGAAGCTTTCAATCAGTTGAGGCGTAAAGAACGATGATAGAAAACATGTTCTTGTTTCCAGTTTCATCTGATGCATTAAAGCCAAAGAGGCTCAGATTTTATTTTCAAGTACTCGTAACCCTTTAACCGTTTTCGATGTCAGACTGAACCAAACACGTCACAAGGTAAAGAAATGTTGGTTTTGCTCGGTGTTGCAGATGGAGAACGCTGGACCGTGGCCTAACGGCAGATTTGGTTCTGTCCATGTTGAGCAGTGAGCAAAATCAGGACCAGAATCCTGGATTACATGATGAGTCTTTAGGAAGTCTGATCTGTGGTGTGCAGAGCGGGACCGTTCCATCCCGACACTGTCCCTCGTCCAACTGATCCAACAAGTTCTCGTTCTTGTGCGGAGAGAAGGGCGTTGGCGCCTCTAAGGGGGTGGGTGGCACCGCCGGGTCTCTCCCAAACTCCACGGTGGGTGGAGTCTCAGTGCTGGAGGAGTGAACGGGGGACTCACCATTACCTAGGCTCTGTCCGTTTCCCCTGAGCCGAGCTTCCGCCCAGACAATATCGGCACGAGCTCGAGGCGAAGGCCGAGGTCGAGCCAGAACGTCCAGGGTTTTGGGGCGTTCTGGAGCGTGGCGCCGCCGAGGTGTTGGGGGGAAGACTACATTTGGATCAGGAAGCCGGGGAACCTCAGAACTGTCTTCTTTTAAAGCCCTGAAGACACCTGCTGTAGCAAAACAACGAGGAGGGAAACCGGTTAAAAACACATGAAAATCTAAGATGAATGTTCTTCCCAAATAAACGGAGCATGCCCTAATGCATCAGCTATAAATGAGACGCTACACACGGTGTCGAAGCTTCACCTGTGTTCTCTAGAGCTCTTTTTTCAGGTAACGGCTCCAGTATATTAGAAGGACAGTTCTTCTTGATGGCTCCGTCTGATGGAGTCCGGCGTAGGCTGCGCGAGGCGGCTGGAGCACAGGGAACATGTGTGGGTGTGAGAGACTGGTGCGGGTTACGCTTGAAGCTTTCCACGTGCGTGTTGACCAGCGAGTTGACTGGGATCTGGACCGCCATCCTCTGTGAGACAGGAGGAGGCTGGGAAGGAGGCGAGGCAGGGCGGTAGACCAGCAGCTCGTCGCTGTCGGAGCGCAGCAGCGAGTGGGTGGAGTTACAGTCAGACACCGATGATATGGACAGGAGTGTGTATGAAGGGGGTAGCGAGGGAGCCGAAGGCTTCAGCGGGCTTTCCCGCCGGAACATTCTGCGAGTCGGGGGGCTGGTGCTGCGTCTTTGGCCGCCTGTTCTGTGGAAGAAGCTCTCCCATCGAGGTTTAATGCTCTCCTCGGGCTGAGCCAAGGACAGCAGGTTGCAGCCCAGCCCAACGGCTGCCAGCAGAGCGCCGCAACTCAGCAGCACCAGCTCAGCACGACGGCCCCCGCCCGGGCTTTTCCTGCACGGTGTGTCAGGCACCTGGCTGCCGAGGCAGTATTCATCTCCGTCATCAGCGGCAGAAGCAGCATGGGCTTCTTTCTGGAAGGGAATGCAGAGGTAGGACTGACCAGGAGAGGCACCCGGCTCAGTAGTGAAGCAGCAGTCTTCGTTCTCTAAAAACAGCACCGTGATTTGGTCAGCTTCCAATCACATGTTTCACACACAAATCTGTCCATGCAGTAAGAGACAACCCTTTACTCCGTGCATCATTAAGACAAGTCATTCTAGCTACTCCCACTTACCCATCTCCACGAGGCTTGGCACTCCAGGCACCGCTGGACTGTGTCTCGGAGATCTGCGGAGGTTCGGGGCGCTGCAGGACCGCTGCCTGCTGCCCTCATGGGGAGGCTTCACACTGTGATCAAGGAGAGCTGCCTTAGTGGTGGAAAGATCTGACTCATGAAATCAAAACGTCTCAAAACTGACGGTGCAGATTCTATTCGTAATCCTCCCACCTGGCGTCTGCGCTGTGCTCCCTGTATACACCACATCCACGGGAACGACCCTTTTTACGGGACCCCCTTCTCTCGATCTCTGCGCACCCCTCTCCTGAAGTAACTGTAGAATAAGAAATGAAGCAGTTATACATTAGGGGAAATAAAAGAACAAACTAAAAGGTTTATTAGGTAGTAGAAGGTCTCAGATCCACAGATGCTATGCTCCATGCTAATAATTCACAATTTAATAAGATAATAGAGGGCAAAAGCACTGTTAAGGCTGAGATTGGTTTCAGTTGTAGTTTTGTCTTTTTGTTGGTACAACAGGAAAAAAACAAACAAATACGATTGCTCTGGAACCAGGAAGCGTGGAGGCAGGACAGATTATAAACAGTGACTGCTACAGCCACCTGTAGTTTGTAGGTGTGTGTCCAGCTCATCTGCTCCACAAATAAAATAGGAAACATTAGAGTGTTCAGCAGATCATCGGCTGCTTGTTGTTCCGAAGGTTCGGTACAAATCACGGGGGGAGAGCGCCTTCTCTCATGCAGCCCCACAACTCTGGAACACTCTGCCCCTCCATGTGCGTTTGGTTTGACTCCCTCTGTCAGCAGATTCAAGTCGGTCCTTAAAACACACTTTTTCAGCATTGCCTTCCCTCCGTGTCACCACATGAAAATCCAGCACCGGGTTTACTTTTCTTAATTTAGTTTTTACGATTCAGTTGCTCACTTTTAACACGTCGCACCGTCTTGTAGCTTTTTTTGGTTTTATTCGTGCCATTTCAAATGGTTTTTATCATTCGTTGCATTATTTTATTTTTGACAGTGCTGTTAACTGTTCTCTTATTCTATTGTTTTTAGTAGGAATTTTTATCCTTGATTATTTATGCTATGTTTTTATGTATTTTACCTGCTTTCATTGTGTTTTGTTGATTTGTTCAAGCATTTGGCTCTTATGTACAGCACTTTGGTATGGTAAATTGGTATGGTATGGCACAGAATATGGTGCAAAAGTTCACTTATGTCAGTAATTGAACTTAAAATGTGAAACGAATCAATGAGACTCATTCCATGCCAAGCCAGATATTTCTAACCTCATAAATGTGATGATTATGGATTACATCTTATGATAAGCCCGCATTCAAAATCTCAGGCAATTAGAATGTTGTAAAAGGTTCAATAATCTAGACTCAACGTGTCACACTCTAATCAGTTGATGAATCCAGAACACCTGAAAGGAGTTCCTGAGCCTTTAGATGGTCTCTCAGTCTAAGATGAATTACTGACATAAATGAACTTTTGCACCATAATTCTCATTTTTCCAGCTTCACCTGCACTCCCATGGCACCTAGACAGGGTATCTGCAGGTTTACGGGAGCCAGATTTAAGACTTTTTAAGACCTTTTTAAGGCCACTTTGACCAAATTTAAGCTATTTTTTAAAATTTAATTTAAGCTATAATTTCCAGCTATTGCCTGAAACCGGTGCTAACCATGTCGCGAACGTGGGATTAGCCATCCAGTTACCATTAAACTTGCACTTCCCCATGGTACAAGCTCCCACTAGCTTAACCAGCTAATGTGCTCATCTAAAAATAGCCCCCTTTCACAACCAACTGAATGTGTACAGTTCCGCTTACGCAAATATGATACACATAAAATGCTGAACACTAACTAGAAATTCCCGAAAATTTTATAGAAATAAAAATATCTTGTTTATTGGGTCTTTGGTCATTTAAGACCTTTGGAAACTGTATTTAAGGATTATTTGTCATTTTTAAGGATTTTTAAGGCCTTAAATTTGGAAAAGCTAATTTAAGACTTTTTAAGGACCCGCGGATACCCTGCTAGAGTTCTGCTGTTGTGTGAAGGAGACTACAGAACCATATCCATCCTGGTTTCTGTTGTGGTAATTGAACAAAAAATGTGTGTTCCCCACTAAAGACAAGAGCAATGCTCCTCTGTGATATATTCTATGTCTGGTCCCTGCACCATCCAGGGTGGTGTGGTTATGAGGAGGTACCGCTACACCTCTCATTGTACTTACGCTGGATGGCCCTCAGACGAGGCAGCATGGGTGGACTGGAGGGGGGGCTGGAACTGCTGCTGAGCAGACTCCTCCGATGATCGTGAGATGGAGACGCCTGCACCGTGATTTTGTGCTGGAAATCTGAAAGATTCAGAATAGGGCAGTGAAAGATTTCTAGGAAAATAAAATAACTGACGTGTGTATGGGTCAGAGCGGGTGGTTAAAGAGGGACTCAGGAGCTTGGATTCAGTCACACACCTGAACCAGACCTAAAAACGTCACACCCTCATGAGAACTTCTCCCAGATTCTCCCACCTGGATCACCTCCATCCTTTATTTTGTTTTTGGTAATCCCCATAAACCTTCAGTTAAGCTTTAAATCAAAACAGCACACTCCTTCCCAACAAATCTAATCTCTACGTTTGTCTTTGAGGTTTCCTATCAATGAAAACAGTTTAATGACCATCTGATAACTACCTGAGGGCAGGCTGATCCTGTTCCCATCCTTGAGTTTAAGGCGGCTGCGGCGAAACTTGCCCTGCCTGCTCTCCACGCGAGGCTTCTCCTGGTAAAGCTGGTGAATGATTATGTTGAGCTCGCGCTCCAGGATGTGGATCTCCCTTTCAGCTAGCTCCTGCTCACGTCTCCTCAAAGCCTCCTCCTGGCACTTCTGCTGCAGCGCCGCTCGGGTCAGCTCTTCCTCCCACGATCGCAGCTCCTGATGGGTCCCAACAAGAGCGGCGCAGTAAAACAACACAGCTGTCATCACATCTCAGCCGTGGCTGTAGGAGAAACAATCATAATGAATGAGTTTTCTCCTAAAATGTCTACCTCTCGTCATCACCTTTTCCTTTGTCCTAAGCTGATCAAACATTTCCTGGATCTCCAGTTTCCAGTCATCCTGCAGAGACTGGAACGACTCTGCAGGCATTTCAAAAAAGCCGGACTCCTCAATGGCTGTGAGCTGGTCCAGTATGGTGGAGAACTGGGGCCGGGCGTGAGGGTCTGGGCTCCAGCAGCCTGTGGCAAAACATAAAACACACTTTCAGAGACGTCTTTTGACTTTTCAGACTGTAATAAAAATTCTATTCTTTTGCCGTTTCATGCATTCCAGATAAGCCTTAAGAGGCCCCAAAACACAAATATCAGCCATCCTCTGACCATGACCACTGCATTTAGGTACCGGCAAAAAAAACTAACAAAACAACAACACATATTGGTCGACCTCTACGCCGTAAAACCACTGATCACTTATGTGTTTAAAGCACATCTAGCTTTGTCCTATGTTACATAGACTTTGCTTGTTTTCTTACTTTCCATAAGATGTGCAAAAGGCTCAGGACAAGTGGAGGGGATAGGCAGAGCCAGCTTATTCATCGCCACCCCATAAGCCACTGCAAGACCGTCGATGCTTCGGAAAGGAACTTCTCCAGTCAGCAGCTCCCACAACAGAACGCCATAACTGGAGCGAGGGGGTTACGTATCAGAGAACAAATATGAGCAGAATAGGAAAGAATAAAAATTAGAGATCTCAGAGATAAATGGCTTTATTATCATGTAATAGTGATGTAAGGAACATATAAACGTTAAAACAGGTTGTTTGCTGCAAGACACTGAAATGCAATTCAATTTTATTTCAATAAATGTCAAAAAGAGATGATTTTGCAACCTAATCATGTTTAGAAAAATATAAAAATCACGCAGATAAGCGAGGATGCTGACAGCTACAAACTACAAGCTGATTATAAATAAGGCATAAGGGCTGAATTACAGTTCTGCACCTCCAGGTTTAAGGATTAATAACTGATCTGATCAGGATGCAGGAGAAAAGACAAGAACTTGTTTGTTGTTGGACTTGTTTGAGCAGAAAACATCTTTTTCAAAATGTCTTTCATTCATAGAAGAGCATCGATTTAAATGATGAAGTTTTAATAAGACTTTTTTTTAGGTTTTCCTAAGAAACTGAGAACAGAGGGGAATGATTGTGCTCCAGGTTTTAAAGGCCGATCGTCCAAGACAAGGGGTGTTTTCTAGTTGAGGGAAAAAATAACCTTACTAGTTCTCCCAGGCCACAACAATGTGGTTTTATCTATCAAAAAATTTCAAAAATACATTTATGGTGATTATTTATCATGTATACTTGTTGAATTAGGTCCAAAATAGAAATATTAGTAAAAATATGAACATAAAAATTAGGGCCAATTCAATTAACATTTTTATTTGCAATTAATTGCAAACTGATGTCAGATTGTAAACAAGCCTCAACGTGATATTTTTTATGTTTCTAATACATTTTTATCTATAGAAGCAGACACATATACTTCCATAATGCACATGTATGGAAGTATATACGTTGCAACAAGAAAGAAAAAAAGATAACAATCTCTTATATAGCGCCTCAAGATAAAGAGAAACCCACAATCAAGAGAGAGAGCCGTGTGTTTATCGCAGCGCCCTTAGCTCCAGGCACAGTTTGGTCATTCCCAGGCCCGTGTATACGTTTCTGCTCCCACAGAGCAAAAATTCCTTCTACTTCATTCATGAGTTTGGAACTTCCTCTTTCATATCATGCTGATGTGATCGGTGTTTAGTGTGTTTGCGAATAGTTCAGACTAGGGCTGGATGATAATTCAATAGTTCAATATATCTATCGGTAAACATGTGGTGTGACAGACAAAAAATGGGTCGATAAAACTTCAATTAAAAGTTTCCTTTTTTCATTATAACCTATCAGGTAGCAGCATACTAGACTCACTACTTACTCCTAACCAATCAAAACCACAGACTCTGGCAACGCTGAGTCACCAGTCCCTCATCTCTTTACAACAGAGCATGAGGAAGCAAGATGTCGCAGCAAGAAGAGGCGGAGAAAAAAATAAAAATTCCAAAAACAAAATGGCCAGGGCTGCACGTAAAATATATTTTCTACAATATTTAAAATATTTTCAATAATTATTGATATCGATCAATATTTACATTTTTTTTATCAATATACTATTTTTTATATCGTCCAGCCCTAGTTCAGAGTGAGCGAGCAACGGACTTTCAAAACAATTTCAAATAATTGTTAAAGCTCAAAATAATATTTGCCGTGTTAATGAATGAATGTTTTAACGCGATAATAACAAATCAATTTTGACAGTCCTAACAAAAATGTTAGAATCACTCTGCATCAACAACCTGCTAGAAAGATAAATTCATCACTCTATAAATGCATCTGAAGGCGACACCAAATCACTCCAGCCCTTTTTAGAAGGAACACCAGCAAATCAGCGTAAAACTGCTGCCACGGTGTGTCTTACGAGCACGCTGTGGCAGCAAGGTGCTGCGGAATTCGTGCCATCACGCTTGTTAGTAATATTGCTGCAACGCCGGCCTTGTGAATGCATATCACGCCTTGGCGCAACAGAGGGAGGTGTCATGATCACGTGGGGAGTTACTGCCGAGCTCCGGCTGGCAACTATGTTGAAAATGAAAGTAAAAACGGGCTGGAAGCTCTGCTTTTGTAAACAGAACCAGCTGAGATGATAAACTGGAGCGATGCTCCAGGAGCTTCTCTCTGTTTGAGCAAGAGATCAGATCACCAGAGGCTGCACAGGGACCGTGGAGGACAAATACGTTTAGGAACAGCTTGTTAAAAAAACGGAATGAGCACAGCTTCGATTGCAATAAAAAGCAAGTTATGTCCAAGATAAAAGGAAGTCCGCAGCAGCGCAAAGACTGCCCCCACACCGCCTTTATACCACCATTAGGTAGTCACATTACCGCCACGGTGTGATCACTTACAAACGATCTAAAGCTACCTGATGCCACCACAGCGTTGCAGCAAATTAGCGGCTTCTGAGGGCCAAACATGGACCCCGAGCCTCATGTTGGAAAGCACTTCACATGTTAACCTAAACATTTTCCAGAGCCTTCTAAGAAAGTCTTCCAGTCAAGTTTAGGAAAATGCTAAAAAAAATAAAACACTAAACACCTGGAGCACAGGGACCTGTATCTTATGATCATAATCTATCGAAATACATTTTCCCACACTGGCTATAGAGTAAGACCTTTTCCTAGGGATTGGTGTTTCGACTGATTGTCTTTCTGGCTTTGGTTCCATCAGAACCCCCGCCCCCCCATGCCTGCCCACCTCCAAACGTCGCTACCCTTGGAGAAGGTGGATGAACGGATAACTTCTGGAGCCATCCAGGCATACGTCCCAGCGGCGCTCATCTTTGTGGTGCGGTGCCACTCCCGAGCCAGGCCAAAGTCTGTTATCTTCAGAGTCTTGCCGCTGAGGTCTTCCATCTCCACCTTCTCAAGGATTAGGACTGGGGCGATGAGGCACATCGGAGGCGATAATGGTGGTGGTTTGGTTGGAGAATGGAGGGTGGGGGATTTGGGAAGGTTGCAGGTTTAAATGTAGGGAGAGGCAGCAGGAATTTCACGATGAGGCACAATGCAAACGTAAAGGTAAACAGACAAAAAGAACAAGGTGTGGTTGATGGGAGGCCACGATGAAAGGATTCAATGGATGAAAGCAGAGGACAGAAAAAGAAAGAACAGAGAAAGCAAGAGACTATGAGCTACACCAACAAAGCAAAGCAGGGATGAAAAACCCATTGATCATTGCTGAGTATTCACTTTTTACTTTCACAAACATTCTGACTACAGAATCAGATTCATCCTCTGACAACATTCTGCACCAACAGGCCTTAAAAACAGCTCCTAAATGTGTGTTCACACAATGCAAGACTCCTCCTAAACTCAAGCTATGTCCACTCCACAAAGCCAGACCATCGGTGCGGGAGTGTTCCCTGGGCCGTGGTTCACATCAGCACCTCTTTGCTGCAGAAGGAACTGCCAAAACCTGTGTAGCTAAAGCAAACCCTGCTCGCTGAGGAGGTACAATGTGGAATATGTTTAGAGAACTGACAAACACCAACATGGATGAACAGATCAAGATTTCAACACAACAAAATAAAAAATGCATGTGCCCTACTTTTATAAACACCTCTATCCTGTTTGGACATTTTAAGTTATTTATATGCAGCCCAACAGTTGACAGGTTTACAGGTATGAATGCAGTCATAAGTATGAGTGAGAAATCGTTGCACAGATTTATTTTTTATCATGCATCTGGAAGTCTTCTATAGATATGACAACAAATATCTGTCTTCTGTTTCTTGCAGATGTTAGAGGGGCAAAAACAAACACTGAACGTCCATTCTGGAGGGCTCATCCAGCAGATAATCACCATATATGGAGAAACATATGTTGGTTCTGTAAAGCTCAGGAAATAGACAGGCCCTCCAACAACTGGAAGGCTAACAAATCAATTTCCCACCCTTCATGTGTCAAAGAACACCAAATCCAATATGTTTATTAATGTAGGATTTAATGTATAACTTATATGATAGTTGGTGTTGATAAAGATGGCAACACATGGAATCTGCCTTAGACAACACAAAAATGCCCACAACTGGCGGCTTAACAGATACTGAGCTCAATATTCTCCTTGAAGTAGCGACTCATCCAAGATTTATGTTCCAAGATCTTTGAGCTTGTACAAAATCATGTGAAATTGGGAATAATGTTATTAAGATTTGACCAGATGGCAATAAGATGATCCTAGTTTAGGATCGTCATGCAGGCGATCTGTATTCCTTATAGCAGAGCTTCTGACCCCCAAAACTAACAAAGACTTGTGACTACAAACATCGCTAAAAGCTAAAAACAAAACTAGGACTAATAAAAACAAACAACTTGAACCTGCATAGTGTTTATTATAACCATCTATACCTTTACTTTTTAAAGTGACAGTGTGTATTTTCCTTGGCAATAGGGGGCAGTGCCTAAATCATTGCAAGCCCTAGCCTGTAGAGCAAAATCCTACAGGCCGGTCTAGATTTACAGGATAAGTTTATTTAGAATCCATAAAGATGATAGGCTTACCTTGTACTGTGATATAATGTAGGCAATACATCAGTTTGTTGTTGCCATAAGCCCCACCCTGTTCCATAGAGCCCCATGTAATTTCACTTGAGCGTCAATCAGCATTGGCCAATAGCGTCAAGACATGCAATTGCGTACATATGTCAACCACAGAGCGTGTGAACAAGTTTGCAAAAGTCCGTTTTTAAATTTTGTTTAAAGAGCTGCAAAGATATGGCTAATCACAGAGCAGCTGCAACCACTTTCACAGCCCCGAAAAAAATCCTGACTGCCTGTTTCTACTCGAAGACAAAATTTAAGAAAAGCCCATGGACTAAACTTGTCGAAAAGCACCTCAAAGACTAGCAAACCTTGGACCTGCTCTTCAACGAAGGAAGATCTCAGCGTTCAACTCGAATGTGATCAGATAGTTGGCAACATTTCTTTAAACCATATGTAAATAAATGAACAGTATAAAGAGAGAATAATATCTAACTGTAATTGTAGAGGTGGTGCAAAAATCTGGGAAGCAGGGAGAAGGGTTTAAAGGTGCAATGCACCCTTTCCACTTCTAAGTGGTGCCCTCTCAATAATAACTAGATTTCTGCGTAACTGCATAAAATAGCACAACTACAATAGTTTAGTGAACTAAACCAAATTCTTGCCTTGCAAAGTTTGGTCTAGGAATGCTCCAATGGAACCTTTGCAGTCCCTAGCAGCGTTCTGGCTGGCCAATCACAGCATTCTATCTACTTTGTGGACCAATCACTGCACTTTATCCTCTTTGTGGGCTAATCAGGGCTCTTTATTCATCTGGTGGGCGGGATGATGTGTGGAACAAAATGGCGACAGCTCGTTTGAAACGGCTTTTACATCAATTTTGGACTATTTGGATTTGAGCTTTATTAGAATCAGGAGCAGATAGATGTGTTTATGTCCTTTATTTAGAAAAGGGATGTATTTTTGCTCTCTTCAACAGCAGACTGCTTCGTTTACCAGCATCCGTTGTGGTGAGTACGTCATGTTGTTCATTGTCTAGTAGCATGTGGAGATCGAAAGACAACGGCAGAACCCGACCCACAACCGAGAGCTGTCAGTGTGGAGTGTTGCCAGACTAAAGAATATATTTATTTAGTCTGGCTTGCCAGGCTACAACTACTGTGTTTGTTTTGTTGTTCATCAACAAAAAGACCAATTTAGTGTCAGGAAGAGAGCCAGAGAGTTTGTCTGCTTTTCCCAGACATTAGACGAGACCACAATGTTACTGGAGACAGTCTGAACATTTTTATGTGCATATGTTCTGTTTAGTGGACAAAATATATCAGTCTGTAGGAAAAAGGAGAACTAGATAGCATTATTAACAAATCCAAATTTTTTCTTTCAATTACAAATACTCTTACACACAGGCCATCACTTTAAAAAAAACATTTTTGCTATTTTGCACCCCACTCATCATAGCTTTACCTCCAGAATATAATTAGAAACAAACAGCAACCAGGTAAGTGTGAACATGCCTTAAAGAAGAGGGAAACTTTAATTCCTGCACTGTCCTACAAAAGGCGAGTCCAGGAACACGCCACTTTATCACTTCAAATCAGACGAGTGAGCCAAAGGCAGCCAAGAGTCTTGTTTTGTGCACAGTCAGAGCTTCCATAGGGGAGAGTGAGGGAGTGAGGCAGAGCACGGGGCAAATCCTTGGTAATAGGCTTGGGATTTAGGAGCTTCAGTTGGGCAAAAGGCAAGATTACAACAGCTCTACAAGCAAACACCCAAACTCCCCTTAGCTGCTCTTTCCGAATTAAAAAAGACTAACCTGAGTACATGAGAAGCACGAGGATGTGTCGTAGTCGTGTTTTAAGTAAGATTCAAAGCTGCAGTAACTGGGTCTGTACCAGCACATGCCTTTGTATGGCCGATGTGTTAGGAACTAACTACTACTGTAAAGTGGGATAATGAAAGAGTCTGGACTAGTGTGGATCTTTGTGAATTGGTTTTATAAAACACGTTAACCTGGTTTTAAATACACTCGTGTACAGAGGAACTCTTACTGTTGCTGGACTTGAGGTCACGGTGGATGATGGGGATGATGGCCTGGCTGTGGAGGTAGAGCATGCCCCGGGCAATCTGCACAGCCCAGTCCACCAGGGTACACGGAGGGATCCGTTTCCCAGCCAGGGCCCGGTTCAGAGGACCTCCTCGAGCGTACTCCATAACCAGGCACAGGTTGGGCTCCAGGAGACACACCCCCAGCAGAGCCATGATGTTGGGATGGTTGAGCATGGCGAAGAGCTTGGCCTCCTGACGCACGCTCTCAGAAGTCTGAGCGACGTCCTCATCAGGGTCCCGTCGTGCTGCTTTAACTGCCACCTCTGCACCCCGCCACACTGCACGGTAGACTTTTCCAAACCCGCCGACCCCAATGATCTCCTCCAGGGTGAGCTCCGAGAAATCTATCTCCAGGACTTGGGAGAAAGAAGACACATTTTTATATGTTTCAAAACCAGGTCAAATGAAAACTGCCCTGCTATCCCAAATCCAGTACACTTTTGAGCAACTTTGCTACAAAAAATGGCTTGAAAGGTTTGTACATTTGGAGTTTCAACAATTATGGTAAGTTAGGAGCTGATGTTGTTCATTCTGTGGATTCCTCCCAGCCGGCTGAGCAGACTGACCTTGATGAATATTTCAGGTGTGTGAAAGTAGGCCGGCTATCTCCCTAAGAATGAAGCCGCTAACAAAGATAGCCCTAGGTGGTGCAGTCCACTCAAACAATCTGCTTAACTTTGTTTTACTGCCTTCTTTATGCTTGGTTATAACATGGAAAATAATAGGTGGATGCAGTAGGAGTACCAATTACACTTGGCCTATAAAGCGTGTTCCTGCAGTGCATTGTGGATGCTCTGCACTCACTGGGTCTGTCTGAGATCCTGATATGAACATTTCATACTGGTTTACATATCACTTAAGCAAATCATTGCACAATGCAAAGCTTTAGTGAAGAAAATGAACATGACTGGTGATGTCACTGAGGTGGAGTGACTGTTTGGTCCTGATGCTGAGGATGCGCGTTCAAGCTCCCCCCCCCCCCCCCCCCAGGCCAACAGCAGCGCTATGCTATGACACATCACTCTGTTACCAACAGTTCTAACATGGAAACACTTAACATTTCCTTCAGTTCTTGAGACATTCACATTTCTATGAAATCAGATACGTACGGTGCAGAGAAGGTACGGATCCCTCCGAGCTATCCCGTAGGCCTATTTCCTCCGGTATGCCGTTCCTTCTGCTGATATAATTGCACGGGAAAATGCCAACCCGATCTGCGATCATCCCGGTCCACCAGCCTTCATCCCCGGAAACCAGGGAATCCTTGGACAGGACCTCTACCAGGTCCCCTCTGCGAAGGCTGAGCTCATCATCCGCATTCGCTTCGTAGTCGAACACCGCAGTCCAGACGACCGGAGCGGTGGGCTCCGCATCCTGCCTGGAGCGGCTACCATTCTCCGGTGAGGGCCAGAGGAACACATCGGTCTCCTCTGATGCTTTAGGACTCAGACTATTGTCCAAAACGGCCTTGAAGACATCCATGGAGGCGATCCATAGGGGCGGAGTGGATCATTAAAGCACATCCACCTGGCTCGGAGCGTCCTGCGTCCGCGCGCGCACACGGGAAGCTAAGCAGAAGTTCCAGCGATGCTCGGGTGCGGAACCGAGCAGAGACGTGATCCTGAAAGGTGGAGGACGCAGCAGGAAGCGAGGTGTTGTTTAGCCTCTCTTCTTTGTCAGGTTCGCTTGGGCGTTCAAAAAGTCGCTAAGCTTGCGCACGCGCACAGAAAGTGCGCTCGTGAAAGTGAAGAGCGCGCTACGAGCAAAGAGCTACCTGCGCGGGCTGTGGAAACATGCATGGTCAGGTCAGCGGGCGTTTCTGCACCGTGTTAGTGAGCAAAGAAGCCTCCTCGCAGGGGCGGTTCTAGACCAAATTTTCCAGGGGGGCCAGTATTTTTTCATGGGGGCGCAAGACAAAAAAAAAAAAGGGAAAAATTAGGGCAATATCAAAATTCTTTTTTGTCCCCGCCATATGACTAATTTTGTGCTTGTGCACAATTTTGCCAAAGGAAATTCCTAGTACTGTGAAACTACTCGCTTTTTTGTTCTCTTCTTTTTTATATCTATCTCTACTATATTTTGGGGATCAAATTTATCAAAAAATTTCCTTTACTTTTTTCATCTATGATTTTTTACAGCTGTATTTTACTAAAATAAGATTAAAAAAATTCATAATTAAAGACAATGAACAAGTAAACTATTACAGCGAATGCAGTAATGGTTTACTTGTGAAAGTAAATCTGGCATGTTTTTATGGTACTCAGATAACAATTCTGAATGCTTCACTGCAACATGAGACTTGAGTAAAAAATAATTCTAGTTGATTATTATAGTTTGTGACTTTATTTGAAGATTACATGTACTGTACATATGAAAAATAAACATTCAAACAACTTAAATATGTGCACAATACAATTTCAGACAATTTCAATTTTTGCCTTTCAGACTTTGCATGTACCAAAAAAAAATTCCTCTCTCAGTTGCTTTTTTCCAGTTCCTAAATCCACATGGTGAGTCAAACACACTTCCTGCGCTACTTGCTGGGCTAAAATGTCTGCATGCATGACAATAATTAGAGTCCATAGTAACAGAATATTCAGCCCAAGGATAACTTTCATACCAGCTTGGCTGAAAGCTGTGTGTTCTGTCTCCTATTAATGTCACTGGAAATGTCCTCAAACGATGCTGAGTAGGTGGGTCATCCTTACACTTGCTGATATCTGAAAGAAAATAAATGTTAGCATGAGGATAAAAGTTATACGGTAATTAGTTAATTCAGAGTCTTATTTTATCTATTTATTAAATATAAACAACAGAAATTTTGGTCCAGAGTCAGCATGCCTCAAATGCATTTTACACACAATATGAGCTGCAATCACAGAGGGGTTGTTCAACACCCACAAACCTGACGGTAGTGTATACAGTGCACATGACAGAAGATGTCCCTCTTTTTGCTCCTCACTCTCTCCCTCATAGCCCACATCTTCCTCCTCCTCACTCTCAGGGTGGACAGTCTGACCTCTCTGGTTCCTCTCCAACCAACTCCTCCTTCTCTCTTTCATCCTGCTTCTCAGCTCCCTCGTGACTTTCATCCTCTCTCTGTCTACGCTGTTCTTTATTAACAGCGGTAAAAAAGGACTAAATGTACCTTTTTCTTTTCATGGCCGCTGATGCTTCCAGTCAGTGCTGCGAGAAAGTCATAGATAAATGAATACTGTGATCTAATCTCAACGTGTCTAAGGCTTAAAATGCAGCAACTTCATTTTTATTTTACAGTTAATGTTACAAAGGAAAAACAAATCAGTGTTAACTGTGGATAGACTCAGACTCAGAGGCTGAGAAAAGCTGTTGTTCCTACCATCACCTTGTCGTGAACAAGCCCCCTGCAATTTGATTTGCCCCACGGCCTGTAAATACAGACCACAGAGCTTCTGAGCTTAAACAACACACACACACACACACACGCACGCATGCACGCACGCACGCACGCACGCACGCACGCACGCACACACACACACACACACACACACACACACACACACACACACACACACACACTACAACACATAATGAAATGGTTTTTAAACAGATACTTTTAGGGAAGGACTAAAATGAAGAAACAGCAAAAACACTGAAGATTTCCTTTGTTGCTGGTCCAACAGGTTCTACGATGCTGCAGGAGTTCCAGCTCAAAATGTAAACAACAGCATGAGGCAGGATGTTTATTTCTGCAGAGACGATAAACCAAGGACAGCTCAAACACTAGAGTTGTTTAGTTTAGTTCAGGTCATGTGTGCTGATGTGGCTTGAATATACTTGATTTTGTGCTGTCCTGTTTTTCATCAGATCATCTAGGACTATTGTTAATGTCAAAAGTAAACAGGCCCTAAGATCTACTAAAGTTCAACCATTTAATACTTTGTACGAGGGAATTCATATTTCTATTTCTGTTTCAAGCCCGTTGTTGCCGACTGCAGCATTCACCTCAGTTTCTGGCTCTTGTAGTTCCTGCAAATTTATCAAAAGGGAAATATAATCAAGACATTAGTGTACGCTGTCGTTCATCTACATTACAATAGAAATATTGATTTTATATTTTACATTTAAACTTTGAAATTTGGGACAGAAAACTACTTTTTTGATTGCTTTTGGCCTATTACCACCCTGATGGATGTGTCTTCTTCTTCTCTTTTGGCTTTTCCCTTCAGGGGTCGCCACGGTGAATCATCTGTCTCTATTTAATGCATAGTGCTGGTCTATTAATCTTGTGATTCTTCATTACACAGCATATGGCAGTACTTCCTCACTACTGTCACCTAAATTACATGTTTTTGGTGCCTTTCCCTAGATCCTGGAGAGAAACATTCATTTGTCAGGAAAATAATAACTCTCTGGCAGCACAGACTGATCCAAACAGCAGCTAATGAAAATAACAATGTTTGGCCAGCAAGTATCCTCTATGGTCTCCCATCAGGCTTGTACACAGTTTAGGAAAAGAGTGTGTTGTGTGGGGGAGAAAACGCTTCAAGTTTCTTCAAGTTGGACATGCTGTCCATCATCTGGGCAATCTTCCAAATCCAGCACAGGCTCCAGGGACTCCAGGTCTCTCAGCACAAACTGGATGGCAGTTCCAGCCTTCTACAAATAATTCTATATTTCTTGAGCCTTGGAAGAATTGCATAATGCATGCCGACAAACTTTAGATGAAAGGCTGTAACCATACTCATAATAAAACCACAGCAGGTCTGGCCTTTTTAGATCAGAAACCACATAAAATTGAAATGGGAAAAATTACAGTGAAATGAGTTTTGATATTAGCTAAACAATAACCAAAGAATGTAACACACATCTACCTGTAGATGTGTACATTTTTACCAGAGATGGGGTTTCCTCTGTCATTACCAGAACACTGATCGTGAACTGGGTGATATCCATGTTCCTCCACTCTCTGCTGGGTCCTGTGGAGGTGGATGTTCCAGAGGTACATGATTGTATAGGATGTCCTACATGTACAGCTCCTGAAACCCTTGGGGGGCTCTGGTAATCCAGATTCAGCTCAGTCTCCATCGAGGACGACTTCTAAGCTACTGGCATGAATCCACCGTTAAATATGTTAAACAATGTGTTTTACTAACCTTTGCTTTAGTCACAAAAACATGCTTTTTAAAACGAAGAAACAAAACATTTATTTTACGACGTTTATGAAGTTTGAAGCACTTTGAAGCCACGCAGAACTAACCGCAAAGGTAACGTTTAGCTGCATGTGAACGTCTATATTATTTATATATAATTATCTATATTGTGGATTAGTTTAAAAAGTGATTACAGGTAAATCAAAATACCTCTCAATGTCAAGTCTTTAAGTCTTTAAATGTCTTTAAATATGACGACAATTCTTGGCATCTCCCTAAAATACTTACAGGCCAATCTTTTACAATGGTATCACAACCACAATAAAAAAAACCCTCTCAGATTATTGGAAATATAATATCAAAAACTACTTATTTACTTGGACTGACATACTATTGCCTTCTTCATTGTTCATTTCTGTGCATTGCTGCCACCTATTGGATTGAAGACTGTTCCAGTAGCTCACGCCTATAATTTGTTTCCCCCTTATTTGATGAAACTATTGCGTTTGTCATCTTATGCATTTAACAGTCGCTCTGCAAACCGGATTTTATCAACAGTTCCTAAAACTACATGTGCATCAGGCATGTTGTCGTTTCAGTCTGCTGCAGCCAGAGACAGAAAACTATCAACAGGCCGCTTAGAGTAAGACTCACGCCTGAGTCAGGCCTAACCAATGGCGTGATACTCCGTTGTGTGTGTGTGTATTTAGTTGTTTATGTATTAGTTGGTTTGTTGTTTTATTTGTGCATGACTGTTTGGTAATTTGTTGTTTTGTTTTTTTAGCATGTATTTGTGTTTGGTTGTCTCACACACTGTAAAAAAGGAATAAATCAACAAATTAAACTGAAAAATATTGAAACATAAAGTCAAAGTCTACTTTTTCACATTTAAACAACAAATGTCTCTATCTTATATATTACTGCAAACATTTTTTGCTAATGAATCAGTTAATTTCCCCATTATTGTGTATTTTTGTCATCATTGTAACTTTCCAGGTTGTTAAGGTAGTTACAAACATCCCTACCTTTCATTCAAGGCTTGTTTGCTTTCCAGTAAAAGCTCCACCAGGAAAACCTCCAGAGTTGTGAAGTGATTTCTTTATTTAGTCTGCACTTTAAATAATGCCTAGAACCCAAAACTTAAATTTTGTCTGCAAGAGGAAAAGGATCTCTGTCCAGTCTTCCTGAGGAATCAGCAGAAATGTTTGGATTTTATCTTCAGAGCCTCCGAGCCAGAATGTGACTTTGATTTCACAGATTGCTTTTGTTAAACCACCACCAGCACCGGAGTAGATTTCAGACCGATTACTTCTTCAAACCAGGTAGAAGTAATGAGTCACAAAAATAATTTATGTCCATGAAAAATGACATCTCAATAGTGCCAGGTGTAAAATAGCCTGATACAGCACATTCTGTTCTACAAGCCAAACTGAGCTGGTAAAGACAGCACCTCATTTAAAACATGGTACTTTAATAGGAAAACCCTTCCATGTTTAAGTAGATTTCAGCTGTAACCAAATATGCATCGGATTCACAAAAAATGTGGCAGGAATTTATTTTTTAAATATTCACCGTCTCCTGAAAGATGGTGGTACTTGGTTCTCAGGAGAAGACTGGACAGCAGATTTAATCAGATGTGTTGGTCAGAAAAAGTCAGATTTATCTTCTGCTTTATTGATGAGTCAGCTTTTTTATGCTAATTCTCAAAAAATGTGTCAACAGACTTTTATTTTTATTTTACTTTAAGACAAACAAAAATCTAATGAAAACCAATGCATGGAAGCAGGGATCCATCTTTTTGACACAAAAATAACCCAGCTCCTAAAGGAGAGGTGGAGGGTCAGATAATGCCAGAATCCAATGATTCGGAGATGAACTTCTCCATGCAGTCTCTTTCTGGTTTAGACAGGTTGTATAATCTACTCAAGGGAAGAGAGGCCCCAGGGAGGAGGTCAATACCACAATCATAGTGTCTACGAGGTGGTAATGAGGAGGCTCTGTCTTTGCTGAAGACCTGGTGGAGGTGGTATTCCTTGGGAACTGCCGACAGATCGGGTGGTGTAGGTGGACTAGAAAGGGTATCCAGGGCAGGAATGGAGGCAGATCGGAGGCAGTGAGAAAAACAAATGAGACTCCAAGACTCAACTTGCCCAGATCTCCTATTGATGTGTGGATTATGTGAGGTGAGCCATAAATGTCCTAAGACCACTGGGGACTGAGAAGAGGGAAACACAAAGAGATTTTTTCACGATGATTTCCAGAAGCAAGTAAATCAACAGGAACAGTTTGGCGAGTTATAGCTACTGGGTGATTACCGTCCAGCAATGAGACTCTTAGAGGGGTCTCCAGAGGAATGGT